GAATACTGGTTATTTAGCTTTGACATTACCATTTTTATAACAAATTCAAAATTCAAATAATAAAGATGTTAATGATGCCTTAAATTAACTCTATTTAGATATAGAAGATTATGAAAATCTTAGAGAATCTGTTAAAAATTATGAAAACTTTGACTAATTGGCATTAGCCTAAAAGACTTAATCTCATGAATTAGTTGAATTTAGAAGAATAGCTGCTTATTTATATAGAAAGATCTAAAAATTTGATTTATCTATGAACTTGAGTAAATAAGACTAAATGTACAGAGATGCAATTGAAACAGCTTAAGAATCTTAGAATGTTAAGTTAGTCTATGAATTATTGGAATTCTTCATATAAAATAAGGAGAGTGAATTCTTTACTGTGTGTCTTTACACATGCTATGATTTATTGAAACCAGATTAAGTTATGGAATTAACTTGGAGATCAGGCCTTATGGAATTTGCTATGCCATACTTCATTTAAATTACTTGGGAATTGACTCATAAGATAGAATATGTTTAAAAGAAACATGAGGACAGAGAAAAGAAGGTATAATTTATATTAATTAAAATAGGAAATACAAACAGCCTAATAATAATAATCATAAGCTTTACCAATAGCTTAAGATTTCTTATTGAACTAAGGCTAATTAATGTTGGGTCCACCAAGTTAGATGAGTAGTAGCAATTTAGGTTTTGGATAGCCTTCAGGTTATGGATAGCCTTCAGGATTTACAAATTCTTAAATGAATTAAGCTCCTATGGGTTATGGAGGATAACAATTTGGATCATATTAGCCACCTGGTTTTTGACCAAATTAAATATATTAAAATAAAACATATATATAATTTTATTTTTTATGATTATTGATTTTCTGGGGGGCACAAATTCATTTGATGTAAAAAATGATTTAGTTGCTTTTGAATAAGGAAACAGTTTATTATTGCTTGATACTACAAATAACTCTAAAGTTTAAATGCATGGTCATGTAAATTAGATTATGGCAATCTGTTTTTGTGGATAGAATCTTATTGCATCTGTAAGTATGGGATTTAAGAATCATTTATAAATATCCGAATTCGACACTTTTAATCGAACCTTTGATGACTATCTACCTGATACAGATAAGAAAACAGTCAATATATTTATGGAGAACATTAATAATTAATTGATTCTAATTGAAGTTAATACAGGTCATCGCATACTTGTTTATGACATTCAATAATATAAACTACTTTTTATTACTGATTTAGATAATCTGAATCCTTGCTATGGATTCTCTTATCTACCTACAAAACCAAAAACTAAAATATGTTTGATGTGTAATGGATAAGTAACACTTTGGAACTTAACATCAAATAATGTTCAAGTTACAAATAGAATAACATTAAAGAATATAAAAAATATGGACACAAACAAATCATTAAATTTAATTATTCTAATATTGGTTACAGGAGATTTATACATTTTGAATTCAGATGGAGATCTAATTTCTTAATTAAAAGCTCCAGATTAAGAATTTACTGCATCTACTAGTTATGAATAATATTTATATTTATCTACAAGAAATGGTAAAATATTTATATATGAAATATCAACCCTTAAATTTGTAACAGAAATTCATGCTAATGATACTTGTTATTGTGTATAATTAAAACACTCTAATCAACTATTAGTTTTCTCTTTAAATGATTCTAACCTAATTACAATGGATATCAATAAAAGAATAATATTAGATTAGTAAAATGGTCATGGAGGAAGAATCAATTAAGTTTCTTGGGATCCTATACAAAGTAATCAATTTTATTCCTGTTCAAATGATGGCTCTTTTGGAGTTTCTAACTCTCGTGGAGATAAATTCTCAATGAATAAATATTATATTGGGTAATTTCAAGCTAAAATTAAATGTTGTGCAATTGACAATTATAGAGATGATATCTATTTAGGAGATAATAAAGGATAATTGTTTGTCTTTTCTTTAATGAATGTATAATTTAGAAGACAAATTGCTTTAACTCAAAATCTAGGAATAAAGGAAATGTAATTTAGTCCAGCTTTTCAGTATTTGGGAGTAGCATTTAAAAATGGATTTACAATTATTTTAGATTGTGAAAATTAACTAAAGCCTGTATTAAAGTTGGAAGATAAACTTGAAAATATATCATTTGTGGGAATCAAATTATTTCAATTAGAATTTGATATTGTTAAAGTTAATACTCAAGCATATTCAACATCTTATATTCCAAGAAATGACAAATCATTTAATTCATTAACTATTTATAATCATAATTCTGTAAGGAGACATCAAATTGATAAAGCTAATTCTTAATTATCAGCTTTAGCTTTAAGTATATATACAATTGAAGGCACAATATTTGGATTTGATTTACATCCTTCAAAAGATTACATTCTAATTCTATCAAATTATGGATTTGTTTATATATATAAAATATAAAGTTCAGAGAAGAGAGCTAAAATATCAGTTCCTCCTTTTTCAAGACATTTAAAAATTGATAAATCTGGATTATATTTTGCTATTGCTCATTTACCATTAGTTAATACATCAGAAAAATAATTTATAGAGATACCTTCAATTGAATTTTTAACAAAAAATGCTAAAATAAATAAAAAAATGTTGCCAACTAATATAAGAATATATGAATGTGGAACAGGTTAAGTGGCTGAATAAATTAATCGAATTTTTAGTATAGTTTCATTAGACTTTTCTAATGATGGATAATATTTGTTAGTTGGAGGTAAAAAGGGTAAGATTTCTTTGTGGGGATTAAGTTAAGATTTAGTTTAAAGTGCAGAAGATGTAATTAAAGATATGAAAATAAATCCATTTTTTTGGAGAGACTTTTAAATCTATATTGATGATGAGGAGATTTTAGAATAAGACATTTTAGATTTAGAGTTATTAGCTAAGAAATTACCAAATAAGCCTATTGTATAAAGTTAAAAATATCAACAGATTGTTAATCCACATACAATGTATATTAATTTATTAGTATTAGATTGTAAACTCCAGGTAGTGCAAGTTCAAGATATGAATTATATTGATGATAATTTAAAACTCATTTTTATTTAAAATAATTATAAAAAAATGATTAAATTGGGACACCTGCTTGCATAAGAGTAAGCTAAACTAAAATCAGAACTTAAAGCTGTCTAGAAATAAAGAACAACTAGAAATACAACATCATCCACATTGTAATAAGCACACTAACAATAAGTTATCCCAACATTTCCAAAACGTCCACTTTGTTATACAAGTCATAAGTTAATCCATCTATTAACACAGACTTCATTAGTTAGAATTGTTCTCCCATTAATTCTCCAAAAATGTTTACTCATCCTTCTGATCCAGACCCTTCATTTAACAAAAATATTCATTCATCATATAGGAATAAACTTGAAACTGTTTAATTGCCTCCTAACAAACCTCCTTTAAGAAGAGGCAATAAAATAACCAATTTAAGAAACTTAAACAATAATAGTATTGCTTAGTCAAATCCACTAAAAGGTGATGAATCAAAAGAAAAATTATTATAGTAGACTCACTTTTTATGTGCAATTATGTAATAATCTCATAGTGCCACTGGTAAAATAGTAGCTAACTTTTTAAATGGTTAATTAGAAAAAAATAGTTATGAATCAATAATATAAATGGAAAAGTCTGCATAAGCACTTTAATAATCTGCCAAGGAAATGTCAAAAGCATTATTTATTTCTGATGATGAAGGGGAATTTGAAAATCTTTAAAATAAGTTCATTGATTAGATTAGGTTTTCTAAATATAGGAAACCAAATTAAGAAAATAATATTGTTTTTAAAAGAAATTATGGTTAAAAACATGAGATGATGATAGATTAAGTAGCTTCTTAAAGATAAAAGACAGATGAAAATCAAGATTTTGATGTTTTTATTCCAAAATCTTAAATGGATTAATTCTTCTAGTAATAATACTTAAATAACTTAGAATAATTTAGGATAACATTGATGGAAGAATGAAGGAATAGACTGAATAATTAATAAAAGATGAATAAAAATTAATAAATGGAATGATTGCAAATGTTAAAAAGTTTAGAGAAGACATCAGAGAAGTTAAATATACAATGAATCACGTTAGAAAAAATAAAAAAGCTTTGTAACCATCATAATAATAAGTATCTGCATATCGAACACTAAAGACTTTAAGAACACTAAAATCTTAATCATCAGCAAGGATATAGAGTCCAAAAACTTAAAGATTAGATGAAGAAGCAAAGGCAGATCTAAGATTAAGAGTAATGAAAGCACTTAGAAATTTTATGGATAAATTAAAGAGATTTAATATAACTCTAAATGATGTTGTTAATAATTAAGTATTCCCATCTTAAGCATATGAAAGACCAAACAGTGTTGAATTTTTTAGGTAAGTAAAAGCAGACAACTTAAGAGAAATTGAAAGTATGTTAAGAGATTGCCGTTATCATGTTTATGATCGTGATAACTAGTAAAAAACACCTCTACATCATGCTGTTAGTAATCATTCAATAGAAGCTATTAAATTGTTAGTTGAAAATGGTGCTGATTTAGATGCTAGAGATATGAGTATAAATCATAATAATCTTATTATTAGTGGGTAGAACTCCTTTACATATAGCTGCCAAAAATAATAATTGTGATACTGTTAGAGTATTACTAGTTTATTAAGCAAATCCATCAATTAAAACGGTTGCAGGAAAAACTGCTTAGGATCTGACAGAAATGCCAGTAATTAAAGCTTTAGTTAAAAATGCTAAAAAAGTAATATTCCATTTATTTTAAGCTTCATTTTATGATGAATTTATAACCATCAAAGAAAAAAAAGGATTTCTGGGTTGAAAAGGCAATAGTTTACTTTTAAGAAGATGATCCAGAAAAGATACTAAAATTGCAGCTTTATAAGAATTAAGCAAAATTATTTTTATCATGATTATATATATGTTTCTAATTTACTTTTTAATTATAAAATTATGGAAGAAATTAATACTCAGAAAATAGAAGATTCTCCAGCTCCCTCTAGATGTTATCTTTGGAATTATGATAAGTGCACAATAGGAGTTCCTCTTGATAATTAAAGATAACCAGAGGAAGATTTTGAATTGTAAATCATCTTTGCTAAAATGAATTTAACAATAGATGAAACTCCATTTCACGAAACTAAATGTTAAAAATAAAAATAAGACTTATCTTACAAAGCAGAATTCAATATGAAACACTTTGCATAATATTATTTGTATCAGTTGGTATTTTAAATTTGCTAATTAGTTATTTTATATCTTTGGTCCCTTTACATGTATATTTTTTTTTAATAAACCTATGTTAATGTATAATTTAGGTTTTTGGTCTTGCAGATAAGATGTTATATTTCATTACTTTTAATGGGGAGGACATATTTTTTCACTTATTATGTATTTTTATTTTGGACTAATATCATCTTTAGAAATGGGACTACTTTGGTTTTCATTGCTAACTCGATCTATTATCATAGCAGCAAAATTCTCTACATTTAATGAAGATAGAGTAGAACTATATGAATAATCTCGTTTATCAGAAAAAACTATAAAATTTGATACAGTATTATTTGATTGGGCAGCTCAATCAAAAAAACTAAAATATTTAGAAATTGCAAGATCAGCTAAACGACATGATTTTGATACACAATTTTTCTACTTCGACTTTATAGTTGAACCAATGTAAGAAACTTAAAAAGCACTTGCTCAAGAACAGAATATTGAAATTGATGAGGTGAAAAATGGAAAATATAGTGGAATCAATTTAATTTCTTATTTCATAGAATCATTTTAATAATTGAACACCAGAAAATATATTGTTTTAACATCACTAATCATTAGTTTAATTATAGTAGCTACCCCTAAAGCTATTTATTGTTATAACTACTTTTATTCACCAGTTGAAGTATTTTTAAATGTTATTTGTGGTATATTTTAAACTATCTAATTTAATTGCATTTTCATTTATTTATCAATTGCACTTGATGATATGAAAAGAAAAATATTTCTATTAGATCAAGTCTTTTATTTAATAAGTACAAAAAGAGTAAAATGTTGTGAATTCAAATTAACTCCAACTATTGATATTAATTGTCCCAGAACTATTGAAGCTTGGAGTATGTTAAGATCAATTACTTTTGATTATGGTGCATCTTATCACATAAGAAATTAAGTTTATTTTACTGTTTTAATATTATTTTGCATAGTTAGCATAATTTTTGTACTTCAAATAATTTTAGATTATTTTATAATTGATTATTACTATTTGATTACATTAGGTATTATTTTCTTCGTTTACTTAATATTTGTTTCTTGTTATTTAATGAGTGCAGCAAAAATAAATGAATATTTTGAAGATTTTAAGACATAAATTGAAAATTTAAAATTTATTTGCTAGGATGTAAAAAGAATGAAAAAGTATTATTTTGAAGATTGTCTTTCAGAACCATAAAACTTTATTCATAAATCATTTGTTAATCATTTAAAACAGTAACATGGAAAAGATACTTTAGTTATTTATTAGAGGATAGATTGTTTAATAGAATCTTTAGAAAATGCTTAGAAACATATAGAATATGATTGTAGAAACTATCCATTAAAATTATACGGGATAAAAATTAGTTTTGAGATTCTTTAAAACTTTGTTGTAGGTTTATTTACTGTCATAAGTTTTGTGATTTAACAAAGATTTTCGTCTTGATTATTTATTTTATACAATAATTATTTAATTTCAAATTCTCAAATGAAGGAGGCTGCAACTATTAATGATGAAAAAAGACCCTTAGCTTCAATACCTCTTCAAACATTTTTATATTTTGATTATATTTTCACAGTATGCTACTCATTACTATATATAGTATATCTATTTCATAATTGAAATAATAGTGTTATATATAAGGGATATGGATTATTTTATCCACCTAATAAAATAGGAATAGAAATATTTCTGTAATTTTTGTTAGCATTTTGTTAATTTCCAAGATTGATATTAGGATCAATAGGAAATAAAACTGAATCTCCATCTTAAATTTTATGGTATTTTAATTCAATATTTAGGTTTGTATTGCTCATTTTTCCATGCATTTTCTTCTACATATTTTTTATTGTCTTATAAACTTATGTTGTTATCTTGGAGATAATAATAAATGTAATTGCATTAATATTTATTTTCTTTGAATTATTATTTAGTTTGTCTGCATTTTTAACTTTCAAAAATTATGAAAAACAACAATGAATTGAATATTATATTTTGTAAATTCAATTATAATATATTTATTTATAATCATGGATGAATGAGAATAGTTATAACAATATTTATGAAATTACTTGATTTTCTTATTAAATTTAAATAGATCAAAAATAAATTAAACAATAAATAAATAAAGGTTAATGGAAATTGCAGAATAAGATTATTTATTAATTATTAAACAATAATCCTTAATGATCAAAAAAATAAGAATCTTTAATAAAAATTGGATGAATTCATAGTTTATTCATAATAATAAGAACTTACTAATAATCAAGTAGTAGTCTAATTATTATTAATAATCTTGGCTAAAAATATCATGCTAGCCTTGAGAGAGCAGAAAGAAGGATTAAATGTATATCAATCAATATATAAGTAGAATTAATTTTATGCATTTGATTAACTTGATTTAACTTAGTTTGATTTGTTTAATGATAAGTAATAATAAATTAAGATAATTAAGAATCTACTATATTTAAATTATCAATAGTATATTTTACCATATAAATGGATATTAATAAGAATTTTTTATAATTTAATAGTAAATATTCAAATTAAGTTTAAAAAATAAATTATTATAAATGAATTAATAAATTTTGACTGGATTCAACAATAAATCATATACAAATATTGCATGATCACAATTTATTGGAAAGTAATTTTTAGACATCTTCTCTTCCTATTAAATTTTAGAGACGCATAACATATTCCTTAAAATCTTCATCAGAAACAGCAGAAAAATATTCAATAGCCTAATTTAAATAATGATTACTTATTAATAAGAGTTCATAAGAGAGTTCAAATTCTATGTGGTTAATTCTTATTCAAGCTATTTCTCATAATTAATGACTTTATCAAGAAGTTTTTAAATTTCAAAATTTTCAAATTTTTATAATGTTACCTCTTCTTCTAAAATTTTTTTTCCCGATGAACCTGTTTTATAGAGAAGAATAGAATCCATAAATTGATCTATATTTGAAAGGATTAATGTTTATGGTCTAAAATTGTCATCTGATTTCCATGTTAATTAGGCACTATTGTCTACTTTATCAACTTTAACTAAATCTTTTGTAGGTTAATAGCTTTATAGAAATAACATTTTATTTTTAGATTCCAACATCAAAATATGACTATTGCTTAATTATATTATTTTTTAATAAGATCTTCCATTAATTATTTCTTTGCATTAAAAGAATTCAACATCCTCCAAACCTAATTATCCTTCGTATTCCTAATCTTGATTATATTTGCCTAAAGATAATAAATAGTCTCTATTATCTTTCTAAAGTCTAACTTAATCCTAATTATAGAAGATTTATATATTTACGAGAAATTTAGGAAACTTTTGAATAATTTCATTTAATAAAATAGATGGGCTCCATTATTGGTGTATTACATCTTCAATATAATCTCTTCCATCAGCTAAAGTTGGTTTAGTTAACTAATTTAGATATTTTAATTTGTACATGACTAAGTATATGAACTTTTGGAAATACAAAAGGGAATTTATTATCAAGATATAAGCAAAATTTAATAGGTTTGCCTTAATTTAATTATACAACTGGTCGCATTTCAACCTAAATTGTTAATTAATGAGTACAATTATTTGTAAATTATTAGATAATTGTTTCAGAGTAATTGTGAATTCATTTATATCTAGAATCTCTAATTATTTTAATTCTAGACATATAATTATGTAATACCCTTCCGAATTCTTTTTATTTAGATTTCATTTTTGAAGATATTCACAATTTAGTTATCTAGATTGTCCATTAATAAATAAATAAATAATATAATAAAGCAATAGTCATTTTAAGATCAAAAATTGAAAGTAATCTTCATTTCCAATTTGATTATTTCGTAATACAATTATAATTCTCATAAACTTTTACATTAAAACTCCACTTCTTTAGATGTGAATATTTTCAAATTATAATATTTTATAAATAGTTATGGATTTCGACACCAATGACTATCTAAGGGTGAGAGATATTCAATTACAGGAACCGATTTCTCATCAGAAGATAGGGCAGCTTGAGATTCTGATATATTGGATCTTTATGGTTTGTTATTAGTAGCATTTTAGATTTCTGAGAAAAACAACCTTAACACTAAAACAATAGAATTGGCTGTAATACTTATAAAGATTTATGTTTCCAAAAATTAAATACAACCAGATAATTTATAATTGGTGGGACTAGCTTCATTAATGATTGCAATTAAAGTAAACTAGTTTTAATATCAAAAATAAGTTTAATGAATGCCAAACCTAAATAAATATGAATATAGACAATGTTGTATCATAATCTAACTTTGAGTTTAGTTCTAAGTTAATATTAGAAATGGAAATGAGCATTTTATCACTTGTGGAATATGATGTAAATATTACCACAATAACTGACTATTACAATGGATTAGCTGTAGATTCTGATCTTATTTTGTTTGTCACTCTTGATTCAGACTTCCTTTACTATCAAAAGTACGAATTGTTTGAAGCTATAACAAACTATTATTCTTAAGATACATAAAACTTACCAATAAAAGTTAAAAATGTAACAATTCAAAAAAAAAGTAGATCATCTATAAAATAAATCAGAAAATAAACCATTTGACATAAACTGAAAACATTGAAACTCCAAAAATACGAAGGAGAAAGATTTTCAAAAGAAAATTCAGAAGTGCAAAATAATAAAACACTTCAGATATTTTGCAGTGAAAACGTGATTTCAATAATAATTTATGATTATAATCAACATATAGATAATCATTCATTTAAACTCTTTCTTAACTTTTCAATCTAAAATTTATTTATGCTAGTAATCTAATTTTTTTAATTTGGTATAAATATAGTCTTATTTGTCAATAAAGAAAAAAACATATTCAAAAAAATTACTATTCTAACTATTTTATGGCTTCTTGCTGTTTGATAGTCATAAATAGGGACAAGTAAAATTATCATAACAAAAGAAAATCATTCCTAATGATATATAAATACAATTATTCCTAAAAATATTAAAAATATATGTCTCAAATGCTGATGAATATTTGAATTAAAATCTTTTATTTAATTAAAAACAAATGGTTGTCAAATCACTTGCTCATAAGAGAATTGTTCACAAGAGAACAAAAAGATTTGTTAGATTTGAATCAGAGGACTACCCTCATAAATTAAGACCAAGTTGGAGAAGACCAAGAGGTATTGATAATAGAGTCAGAAGAAGATTTAGAGGAAATAGACCTATGCCTAAAGCTGGTTATAGAGGTGATAAGAAGACAAGGTATTACAAACTATTTTTATCTTAGATATTTGGATTAAACTGGTTTTAGAAAATTGCTAATCACTAATGAAAAAGATCTTGAATTATTACTAACAAATAATAGAACATTTGCAGGTGAATTAGCTCACAATCTTTCTGCCAGAAAAAGGGCAACCCTTGTAAGAAGAGCAGCCGAACTTAATGTTAGATTAACAAATGGAAAAGGTAAAATAAGAGCAGAAGAAAAGAAAGAATGATGAATTTAATTGGTTTAATAACTAAATCCATCTGTTTATCTGCATTTATCTGTTAATAAGATTAGTTAGCAATAATTATTAATCTTAAATAACAATTATTAAATTATAGTTGTTATTATTTTGAAGCTTTCTTTATTCTTATTGAACCTTATAGTAGTATTAATAGCTATTTATAATTTTTATTTCTCTATTTTTAGACCATCGATCTCATTTTAATATTGTATTTTACGAAAATAAATTTGAAGTATTATCAAAACATCATTATAAACCTCATTTATATAATTTCTGGCTATTAGATTATTTAATAATCATGATAATTGAAGATCTTTATCAATTATAATGAGGTTTATCTTCTTTAATATTTTTAAAAAGTAAAATTTTTGTTTATTCTCTTCAAATTATATTTAATATTCATTATCTGTATGAATAAGCTATTCATAGTATTAAAATAGAATTAAATGAATGTTGTATGTTAAAGACTTCTAGATTAATTCTTCTTATTTAGAATTTAGTTTTAATTGCAATTTATAAATATTTAATATTAAAAATGGAAAGTAAATTAAACTTGATCAAGACTTTGCTTAATTCCATAGTAACAAGATGGAAATTGTTAGAAAAGTTAGACATGAATGCTAAGGGAATATTTGAAGATTTAATTAATATGTAAGATTAAATGATGTAAATATCTACAATAAACTGAAGGGCAATAAAAAAGTAAAAATATGACGATAATTTATATTTTGCAGAAATAGATGATTTAGCATAATTAAAAATATCAATAGAAAAAGAATTGTTATTTATATAATTGTGTAATAATAACAATGAATATGTAAACCATAAATGAAAAATTAGTTTGAAATTATTGAAAAAATTTAAGAAACATTTTAAAATTTGAATAAAATCTTGTAAGATTAAAAATTTCCTAGCTCGAAAGCAGGTTAGTTATGCATCATTTTAGATAGAATGTAAATTAAAAAATTTAAATAGCTAAATTTTAATTAACCAACTTAAATAAAATCATAAAATTAGATCAACAATCAAGGATCACAATAATTATAGATATGCTTTATTAAATTACTTATATAAACCAATAGTTGATGATTTCTCTCCAATCCTTGATATTCTAGTATAGTTTTGAAAATTAAAATAGTAATATAAATCTATAAAGTCTTAATTTATGCTATTAAATGATATTTTTTTTAATAAAAATAATATAAATAGAATATTTTGCTTATTTATAAGAACTAAAATGAATTTTTTCTGTATCATGTTTGACTTAATCAATTATTTCATTATTCAAAATGTGCATATGCTATTAATGAGGATGATTGAATTAATCTTATTCTTTAAGAAACAACAATACTTGCCATTCAATATTCTTATAGAATTTAATAACATATTATAATTTAAAGATGTAAATCTTGGATTTAACTTAGAAATTATTTTGCTATAATAAATATATAAGTTCTTTTACGAACTCCATTTATTTCAATAAAATTAAAGAAAAATTTTGCTGAAATAATTATTTTTAATAAATAAAATTTCAACTTAAAAGGCTACAAGCAATTAATTTTTATTATAGTTTTTCATATAAAAGTTAATAATACAATAATTTATTAAAATACTTTTTACTCAATTCATTTTTTTTTGGATTGTTCTATTTAAAATCCATTCTTTTTAAGCCATTTGATATCTAAGCTAATTAAAATAAAAGGATCGAAACTATAAATATTGTGATAAAATTTATTTCAAATTACTACTAATATTTTCTTCAATATGATTTGCTATTTATATAATAATACTTCTTGTGAAGCCTTCTTGGAATTTGTAATCTTTCTTTACAATTACAATTTTATTTTTGAAAACCTTTCTTTTGATCATAACTAACATTTGAATATAAAATTCAAATAACAATAGTGTGATTTGAATAAATTACCTAGAAGAAACCCTTTGGCTAAAAAAATAGTAAACTAAAATTATCTTTAAAAATAAAAATTTATATTGTTAAAAACAAAAGACTTAATTAAAACTAAAAATGAATCAAATTTAAAAACTGTGTTCAATCTATGTTTTTGATTCCGATTCAATCATTGGATGTTTTAATTTACTGTGGAGATTTAAGGATGCCTCTGATCCATATGATTTTTCACACTAAGTACATTTATATATTTTAGAAATTTCATTTGCTTTTCTTCTCTATTTCTTTTAAGGTTGAATTAATTATTAATTCAATAAACTATTTTTATCTTTTATAAACTGAATTTGTTATTGTAAGACTTAATTAAATAAAAATATTTTTCTTGATTCTAAAAGATAATTCAACTTTGAATCATAGTTGGGACATTCTATAATAGATACAAAAATATACAAGAGACGGCACTGCCTAATATAGAGAAAATTGGATTGGGATTTTGCTCGTTCAATTAATTCATACCCGAAATAAATAATTTAAATTTTAATTTTATTTATGCAATATAAATTAATGATTAGTGATTAATTAATTTTAGAATACATATTTTTTAATGAGAAAAAATTATATTGTTATTGATGATCGTGAAAGATCTCGTTCTAAAGAAAAACATGTCAAACAAATTTAAGTAATAGATTTAGAAGAATCCTGTTATTCTTTAGAAAAAGGTGATATAATAGGGGGAAAGTATAAATATTTGGAGAGAATTAATGAAGGAACCTTTGGAAGAGTAATTAAAGTAAGAGACGTTTAATCAAATAGCTAGCGGGCTTTGAAAGTAAACATGATTTTCTAAATAGATCATAAAAAACTCATTTCATAATTACGAAAAGGAATACTAAGCAGTATAATTTTTAAATTTATTCCCTAAATTAATTGACCATCCTGGTAGACATCATATAGTAAAAGTGTATGATTTTTTTTATCACAAATAATGTCAATGCATTCTCATGGAGGCTCTAGGTCCCTCTCTATATGAGTCCTTAGTAAAAAAAAGATTTACATAATAATAAATCAAATCTATCATTTAGTAATTGTTAAATGCAATTGACTATATGCATGAGCTATAATATCTTCACACTGATATTAAATTAGAAAATATTCTTTTCAAATCCTAATTCGATGAAGTTAATGTTAAAATAATTGACTTTGGAAATGTTGTCTTTGGCAGATAGTTCTATAGAGGACTAGTCAATACAGAAGAATATAGAGCACCTGAAGTAATATTAGGACTTGAATGGAACTCTAAGCAAGATATTTGGTGTCTTGGATGTTTGATGCATGAAATGTTTTTCCAAAAAGAGCTGTTTGGCAAATTAAAAAATAATAACCAAAAGCATCTATTGATGATTGAGTATTTAAATGGTCCATTCCCATAATGGATGATCTAAGATTCGAAATTCTTTTCTAAAGGAAGAGTAATCTCAGATTAACTATTGAGACAAGGAATTTCTTTTTCTCATCTTTCAGATATTAATATTCACTCTTCATTCATTGAATTATTAAGATGGATGTTGAAAACTGATCCAAAAGAAAGACCTTCTGCTAAGGAATTACTGAGACATAATTTTTTTAAAATATGAAACTATTTTATTAAAACAATACTGAAAAAACATATTAAATGGAGAAATATTCTATTATAACAAAAAAATTAGAGATTTTATCAAAAAAAATATCTAAAGAAGTTTTTTTAATTTAAGAGACCAATTTTTGATTATTTCTTAATTTATTATTTTATTGTAAAGCGAATATGAATAAAAAGGATCTTTAATTAACCGATAAATGGTTGTATTCAAAAAATATATAATATACAATTCATTCATCTTTAAAATTTATTCAACTCCTCTTTTAATTTATCTTCTAGCCATTTTGACCACTAATTATATATTAAATATTACTTTATGAAAAGGCACACCTTAATTTACAACTTCAGAGTAATAAGATTTTAGTTTAACATCAAATGCATTTTAATGATTTGAATTCATCTGAACTGATTGAGAAGTCTAATTTAACAAATAGATATACTAAATGAAAGAACTACTCATAAATCAAAGTTTTATTTTAAGATGAAATTGAAGATGAACGAGTAGATGGTTATTAAACTTTGTCAAGTTCAATGCATAACTCATCTATTTTATCTTACATTTTATGTAATTCATCTTATAGTATATTTTCGATTTATTTTAATTAAGAACATATTGATCTATTTTATATATATATTTTACTGTAATTTTTCTTTATCTTAAGTTAAAGAAAGTATCTAAGTTTATTGACTAAGATTAATTTATTTAAGTTTTTCTATTTATTTATTCAAAATTGATTCGTAAACTTTCTGATGATCATCTTATTATTCAATTTGTAATTTTAAAGCATGAATTTCTGTATATAATTATTAGATTTACTATTCCTGATTTTAAATAAAAGTATTATTTTTTAATTATTCTAATTAAGTGTTCTGCTATAATATAAGTTATTCAAAAGATGAAATAGATTAATGTTATTATTATAATACGTTTTCTTTTTAGTATACATCTATTTATAGCTATTCAATTTGATTTAAACTCTAAAAATTAACTTATTCAAACTCTTATTAAATTTAAATAGTTTTTAATTGTAACTCTTTAATCATAGCTTGCTATGATTCTATTTATTGATTTTTCTCTAATAAATGATGAACTCCTTTTTCAATTTCTAAATTAATTATTTCTATTTCTTTTAACTTTAAAGCTTCTTTTTCTTTCAACTCTTCTTGAAGTCCATGATTTTTTTATTCTAACTCTTAAATAATAGCTTTGTTATGTTTCTATTTATTATACTTTCAAATAATTATCATTACTCTATATCTCCACTTAATTTTATATTATTATCTCCTCTTCTTATTTTAATATCTAATATTATTATATCTATTATTTTAACTAATTGTTTGCTAATTCAAGCTATTTTATTTATTCTTATAATTCCATTTTTAAATAATTTTACTAGTTTTCCATAATTCTATCATTTTAACTCTATTTTTATTTATTTTTTTCCAATTGATCTATTATATCATAATCTATTAAAAGTTCCTATTTTATTATTCTAATTTTATCTTCAAAAATATTTTTATCATCCTTTAAATTAACTATGTTTATTTTTAAAAGTATACTTTATTTTTAAGTAATTAATTCAACTTCCATTTATTCAAGTTATTTTTCTAATTATTAAATCTTTACAATATCATCTTTTATACTAATTAATTTTTTATTTTTACTTAATTTTTATTCACTAATTTATTTTATTTACTCATTAATTTTATTATTTTCTTCAATAAGTTCTTCGTTCACAAAGCTAAATAAATATTTGTTATTACTGCAAATCCATATTTTATTTTTACATCTCCATAATCATATCATCGTATTCCTATTTTATCTTAATAATGTCTTTGTCTGTTTATTGCTAAGTTTCTACTCTTCCTAAATTAAGAGACAATCGTTTTTTCTAATTAAAATTACAACTTACTAGTTAATCATTTTCATTAATCACAGAAGACATTAATTTCATTTTTTATTGGTGTTAACCTTATATTTCATTCATTCTCTATTCTAATTACTCCTATTCAAGTTAAAATTTATTTTTTTCTATAATAGATCTAGGTTTTACCAGATTACAATTCTGTCAATCTTTTTTCCTATTACTTTTACTATAAAGTCATTTTTTTCTCTTTTATCTTAAAAACACTAATCTCTGACATTAATGTAATTATTTAAGCCTCACACTATTTCTTTTCATTCTCAACAATCTGCAATTAATTAGTTTTTGCTTCAAGATTACTCTTTAATTCAACAATCAACTTTTCTAGCTCTTATTATTCATCATTTTCCTATTTTAATGTTTTTTTATCTGTTTAATCATCTTCGCTTTCTGAATTTTAAGATTTTACTGATGCTGCGCACTATTCTTTAAATTATTCAAGATCAAATTAACCAATATAATGACTTTAACTTCTTGAATGTAAAGTTTCTGATTTTAAAAGAACTGTGTTGCTCTTATTTCTAGTCATATAATTAATTGTTCTTTTCTTTTCCTTTTTTATAGAATCGTGTTAAGTTTGTTACTATTCTATTGATGCATATTGCTGCTTTTCACTTTCTTTCATATAATCTATTTATATGATAAAAATTACTTTTAATTTCCAAATCTTTCAATTATAGTTTATCATCTTAATCCTTTATTTTTGAGATTAATTTTCCTATTTGTGTATCTTTCTAATGAATTTCATTTTTTAATCGATTAATTAATTCCTCTAAATCTTAATTTTTTTTTCTAATCTATTGATTAATCTACTCATTATTTTAGATTGATGTAATTTATTCCTAAAGGTTGTTAAATCATTACTTTTAATTATGTATCCTTTTTTTCAAGTTCATTTACTATTTGAGTGTATTTTAATCTTCCTTTAGATAACTCATCTTCGATACGTTAAATTTAATCAAAAAGCTTTTCGTTTTGATCATTTTAGTTTTCATTTACATTCTAGAGATAAATAAATTATAACTTCTAATTCTTTAATATGTGACAAACATTATTCATACTCTTAATTCATTACCATAATTTTATGTTCATATTAGGAGATTTGATCTTCATTCTCAACTTTCATCGAATTTAATCTAGAGAATAGAATATCTAGTTTAATTCAATATATACTGATCAAATGTAAAATTTCTTTTATTACATCTTCCTTTTCTTAAATTCCAATCATCAAGATTTAATTATCTACTTTAGTTATATGATATACGGTTATTTCCGTCAAATTTTTAGTGATATTCCATAGTATTTAAGAAACTATCAGACTGCTCCTCGCTAATTTTTAGTATTATTTTGTAAATCTAATCTTCTGTCCATTCCTCCATTAATAATAAATTTAATATTATAATAATTATTCAATCAATATTGCTTATTACTATAAGAAAAAAAATAAAAATGATAATATTGAGGGAAAATATTAATATGAAGATGAAACACTTGAATATTAGCATAATATAGATTATAGATTATTGTATATTATAATTTCTAAATTTAAGCTTAAACCAAATAGATACGACTCTAATGTTTATTTGTTTTCCTTTATTGAATAAATATTGATTTTTGTATTTGTTTTAAAATTTGAAGTCAATATTCTATATAATTAAAGTTTATGGAAACGAAAATGAAAGCAATAAATCTGAAAATTTTAACTCATTTCGATTAGATAAGTATCATTAATACTATCTTTTTGCATTCTCATTATAACCATTTAGAATTTTTATTAAAAAGAAAAATAAATTGAAAATTCATATATTTTTTTCTGATTAAAAATTTTAATATTTTGAATTAATAATTAATTTTCAATTCTTAAAATTAATGAGCACATTTTGTTATGATACATTTATTCTACTGAAAGCTCACTATTTTACTAATTGTTAAATTGATCTTTAAATAAATTAAAAACAAAAAACCTGCTAAGAGAATAGAATAGGAAATTTTTCTTTTGTGTATTGTTCATAGGCAAAATCATTTATACTTATTTTTCACATATATAAATATATATATATAATATAATAAATTGCATTTTAATCTAATTTCTTTAAAAGCTAATTAATCAAGGTAGTTTATATTATTAATAATGAAATCTATTCAAATTTATAGAGTAACTTAAATCCCTAAATTCTATTATTGGAGCAGAAAGATTCTTAATTAAATTTTTATTGCTATTTAATAAATAAACTTTAATCAATAAAATGCAATAGGAATTAGCAGAGCTTAAAAGTCTTATAATATAGACTTTAGAAGCCAATGGTTAATTGGCAAAAATTAGGGCATCGATTAGAGCTTCAGTTTTTAATGTCGTTGATTCCCAAGACAATCATGAAAAAATCTCTCCTTTTTTTAGCGAAAATAAAAAAATTCAGTCAATAAAAGAGTTAGAAACAGGCAGAGAATTGCTAGAACTTATAAAGGAATTTCTTAAATTTTACGAAATGAGTTACACAAATTCTATTTTCTCAAGGTATTGATATAAAAAACAAATTTAGCGAAGCTAATCTTAGGGAAGAAATTAATAGGGATACTATTTCTAAACGATTACATATCAATATAGAGGACAAAAATAAACCACTACTTCATTATATATTAATACAAGCTTAAAAAAATTAAAAGTTGCAATAATCCTAAAGCACAAAAACTTTTAGTAGTATTATATCAAGTTAAGAAATGTTTTCCCCTCAAAAAAGTATTTCTTCTTAAATGTCCAAAAGTAAACCCTTGATTGGTGTTTCACAATAAGAATTTCTAAAAAAATAAAAGGAACAATTTAATCTATTATAAGAGTAAGAAAATAAAAGGAGATAGAAGGAGGTTTAGAAGAAACAAAGAGAAGAACTCTAGCATCAAGAAGAAATAAAAATTTTAAAATTAAAAAAAGAAAAAGAGGAGAATTAATTGTAAGAGGAGAGACTTAAACTAGAAAAATAAAAATTGGAATAGATTAAAATGAATTAGGAATTAAAATAAAAAAGTTTGGAAATAGAACTTTAAAGATAGGAACAATTAAATTAGGAATCTGAATTAAAACAATAATAGCTAGACTTATAGAAAAAATTAATTGAATAATAATAATTGGCATAAGAAATTTAAGAAAATAAATTAAGATAATAATTTGAAGAAACACAAAAGGAGGAGTAAAAAAAATTATTAAGTATATAGCAAAATTTAAATGAAACGGAACAAAAATTAAATATGATACTTTAAGAGAAAACTAAAATTTCAGATGAACTTAATTAAATTAAAAAATAAATATTAGTAGAAAACAATAAATTAAATCAATTAATTGAGAAAAATTAATTAGAAGAAGTAAATTTAGAAAAATTAAAACAGCAACTTACTATTTAATAAGAAAATAAATTAAAAATAGAAAATGATTAGAATGCTATCCAATAAGAAGTAATAAAATCATAAAATGAAAAAAAAACAATTTAAGATTAAATTGAAAAGTTAAGATAATAGTTAAAAGAAGAGGAATAAAATTTATAGAGCTTTAAATAAAATAAAACTTAGGAGGTCTAAGAATTAGAAGAAAAGTTCAAATAGTTTTAATTTGACAAAAATGAATTGGACAAAAAGTTAGGTTAATTAAATATTTAACAAAAAGAGTTGTAGTCATAAATTGAACTAGAAAATAAATTAAAAATAGAAATTTCACAAACAAATGAGAAATTTGAAATTAAAAAAGAAACAATATCAAATTAAATTTAGGAATTATAAAAAGAAAATTAAGATTTGAAAGAAGAAAGGAAATTGCTGTTATTATAAATAAAGGGTCTTGAAAATTAATTGAACGAAGCATAAATTGAAATTGATTTTTTCAAGAATAAAGAATTAATGGGAGACTGTGTAACATCAGAAATAGAAACTTTTTCATCTACAATAAAATAAGTATTGATTTTTTTTATCTTAGAAAGGCAGCGAAGTAGAAGCAAAAGCAGCTATTGAGCAAAATTTGGAAACTAAGGGGGAAAAAAGAGAGTATAATGAAGATTATGATTCGCAATTTGATCATTAATACAAGTTTTAAAATTGAAGTTGATTTTATTTCAGATAAATATTGTTATAATTATATTATTATACTCAATTTAGAATTTTAGATTATTATGGAGAAGTTTTTGATAAATTTTCTCATGGTTTATTATATAAATTATAATCAATTAATGTCTTAAATTGCATTAAAGTGGGAGATTCAACGTTTATAAGGAACATTACCAAATAAAATTACAAATCCTTGCACATTTTATGAGGATAATTTATATTTAATAGTTGATAACTACAAATAGAATGATTTGTATAGTTTAAGTCTAATTGATTTCAAATGGCGGAGATTATACAATGGAATTCCATTTAAGGCAAGGTGAAAATTGAATATGAACAATAGATATAATAGTTAATTTGTAATGAATTAAGGAAAAATATATTGTTATGGTGGAAGCATAGATATCGAGGGGACGATTTTACTTGATGATTTTTTGGAAATTGATGTTGTACAATTGAAATTCCGTTAAATAAAAAGCGCTCCAACAGGAAGAGTTGAACACAGCATGTGCATGTATAGAGGTTAAATATTAATAATTGGAGGAAGGACTTAAAAGAAAATTTTTAATGATTGTAAAACGTACACAATAGGAAGTGATAAGTAAAAAAAAAAAGTGTATTGTATTAGATGGAATTAAATTGAATTTGAGCCTGCACATAGATTTGGTCATTAATGCACGGTTTATGAAGACACTATAATTGTAACTGGAGGAAGTGATGGATAAATAATATTAGATGATGTCTGGTTATTAGTTGATTTAAGAACTTGGATAAGATTGGATATAAAAAATCCTTTACCAATATTTAGACATTAAGCGGCATTAGCCATGAAAGAGTATTTAATAATTTTTGGAGGGTGTACATTTGATGGAAAGAGATGCAATGATAATTTCTATGCTTTAAATATAGTCACATTAAAATGGATTGAGCTACCTAAATTAAGTAGACATCCATACCCTCGTGTACAACATACAATGCTCTGTTTGTTACATTAATCTCGAGAAGATATTTTAATTATTGGAGGATTAAATTATTAAGATCTCTCAATTCTTAATTTTTCTCAAGTAAATATTAAGTTTTAGATTAAGTTAAGATGGCCAACTTGGTCGATTTATAACCTCAATCATCATTAATGAGTTATCGAAGTCATACAGTAGAGAGAGAAGAATTTTTGTAGGATATTCCATTAGAAGTCTAAAATATAGAAGAAGGAACTTCATTTTTGGAATTAGGAAAATATTATGAGTGGAAGATAGAAACTAACTAAGAAATGTAAACTTATAAATGAAATTTAGAAAGTTTACTCCTAGAACAGGTCACTCAGTAGTACAATGTTAAGAAAATCTCTATTTATTTTGTGGATCTGATGACACTACTATAGTAAATGATATGCATTGTTATAATATATTCAAGAAATAATGGGAATAAATTGCACCAAAAGGAATAGCTCCATCTCCAAGATCAGGTTGTAAAGGAGTTGCTCATTAACATGACATTTATTATTTTGGAGGGTATACTAATAGAAGAGGAGAATATTTTAATGATTTATATGTTTTCGATACAAAATTAAGATAATGGAATTAAATCAGAACAACAAGAGAAATTTAACCAAGAGTTGATATGTCTCTTGTAATAAATAATGAAAAATTGTATGTTTTTGGAGGAGCAGATGGTAGTAATAGATTTAATGACTTACATTGCTTTGATATTCAAAATAATTAATGGGTTAAGTTGTAAACTCATGGTTAAATCCCAACACCAAGATTTGGTCATACAGCAGAAGTATATAAAAACTAAATGTATGTTTTTGGTGGTTGGGATGGCTTTAAGACCTTAGATGAACTTGTACAATAATTATTAAAATATAGTACACCTATTCATTTGCATCAAACTATTGGTATTTGGAAAAAGTTAGAAATAAACCTCCTTCTCGGTATAGGCATAGCAGCACCATAATTGGATATAGTATATATATTTTTGGAGGAGTCGATGCAGCTATGACTAGATACAATGATCTCTATGAATTTAATTGCGAATTAAAAGAATGGAAATTTATAGAAACAGCAGGTAATACTCCATCTGCAAGAACATTTCATCAATTATGTTCTTATGAAACTAACATATACTTAATTGGTGGGAATGATGGAACTAAAAAAAACAATGATATGTAATTTTAATATTCTTTATCATTAAAAGGTACTCAATTTAAGTATTTGATCATAGATTTAGTGATTTATCAAGCATTTCACAATTAGAAATTTAATCAACAATAATCCCAAAAGAAAATGGTCTTATTAGTATTTTGAAAAATTAAGTTAATGAATTAGGATAGAGATTAAGAGAAGAGTAAGAATTTAATTTATGTTAAATTTGTCAATCTAAAGATATTAATTCTGTATTTTAAAGATTAATATTAGGTCTTTTTGGAATGTGGCCATAGATTTTGTTGTTATGAGTGTTCAAACAAATTAGAGTTATGTAAAATATGCTTAAAAAAGCCAAACAGGATCATTAAAATATATGTAGTTTGACTTTTTTAATAGTATTTATATTCTTCATAAAACAGATTATATTTATATTAAATTTTTTCATTAAATTTTTAATCCATAAAACTTATTAAATTATTAATAAATAAGATGATTATGATTAATAAAATTAATATTATCTCTTATGGATATATAATAGAAGATTGCCTAATATTATGACACTGTCTTATCAAAAACTCATTTAAGAACTCTCTTAGATAATGATGAGAGAAACAAGCATTTGGTGACTTAATTTGATGGAATTTTATTGGATTATTCTCATGAAAAAGTAGACACAGAATTGATTGCATAATTTCAACAATTAGTTGATAACACAAATCTTTTTGGAACTCTAAAAGATATCTAATCAGGAGTATTGAATTAATTCTAAATAGATCAAATTTAATTCCACTGAAAATAGAGCAGTATTACATACAGCTTTAAGAACACCAGAAGCATAATAAGTAATAGTAGATGGATAAAATGTTATACCAGATGTCTACTAAATTTTGGATAGAGTCAAAACATTTACAGAATCTGTTCGTTCTGGAACATTTTTGGGATACACTAAAAAATAGTTGTTAAATACAGTTGTTATTGGAATTGGAGGAAGCTATTTGGGAATTGAATTCATTTATGAAGCATTAAGAACTCATCATGAAGGATAATTGAAATCAAAGGGAAGATAATTAAGATTTCTAGCGAACGTTGATCCCGTTGACACAATAAGAGCATTGCAAAATTTGAATGTGGAAGAGACCCTTTTTGTGATCAATTCAAAGACATTTACAACTGCAGAAACAATAATGAATGCAAAAGTATGCAGAAATTGGATTTTAGAATAATATAAAGTGTTGGGTCATGAAAATGAAAAAGTATTTATAATTAATTAAGAAAAGGAAATATTAGAGTCACATTTAACAGCTGTATCTACAAATTTAGCAGAAACAGGAAAGTTTGGAATTAATGAATAAAGAGTATTTGGATTTTGGGACTGGGTTGGAGGTAGATATAGTGTTACTAGTGCTATTGGAGTTTTACCATTGAGTCTATAATTTGGTTATGATTACATTGCTTAAGTCTTACATGGAGCTCACTCTATAGATTAGCATCTTGTAAGTGAGAAATAAGTAAGTAAAAACCTACCTGTTCTTTTAGGATTATTGGGATGGTATAGAGCAAGCATTTAAGTAAATGATATTTCATTTTATTAGAAATATCAAGCTTTGGCTTTGATTCCTTATGCATAATGCTTATTAAGATTCCCTGCCCATGTCTAATAAGTTCATATGGAAAGTAATGGTAAAACAGCACTTGTTTATCCTGATAAACATGAATAATATTTTAAATCAGCTTGTCCATTCATTTTTGGTGAACCAGGAACTAACTCTCAACATTCATTTTTCTAATTAATTCATTAAGGATCTTAAGTTATCCCTTGTGAATTTATAGGTTATGCTAAATCTTAGGCTGAAACTGGAGCTTCTAATCCAGCAGCTGTAAGAGATTAGCATGATGAATTGATGTCTAATTATTTTGCTTAAGTTGATGCTTTAGCTAGAGGAAAGACTAAAGAAGAAGTTATTGCTGAAGGAGTAAAAGAAGAATTATAACATCATAAAATATTCCCTGGAGACAGATGCAGTTTACAAATTCTATTCTAAAATGAGGCTAATCCTTATAATGTTGGATAGTTATTGGCTCTATATGAACACAGAGTTCTAGTTGAAGGGTATATTTATTAATAATACTAGTATTCTTTGGGGAATTAATCCATTTGATTAATGGGGAGTTGAATTAGGAAAGGTTCTTGCAAAGAATGTAAGATCGGTTTTGTTAAAAAATGTTGATAATCATAACAATTTAGATTTTACAGGATTTAATGCTAATAGTGCTACAAAAAATCTTATAAATCACTATAGAGCTTTTTAAGGTAAATAATGATTTACAAGAAATAAATATTCATATCAAATATAAAGATCTTAAGTCTATCTATATATTTTGTAAAATTTTTATTTGAATCCATTTATCTTAAATACTCTATTAATTATGATATTTTTCTAATAGTCTTATAATAATTTAATTAAATTCTTTGTAAGTGCTGTGTTTTTGTTGTGATTACAAATTGATTATAAATAGATAAAAATGATAATAATTATTATTGATTTTAACCTTTGAATGGGATACTTATTGATTGATGTGTTAAGTGAAATTGCTTTTTATAAAAGTCCTACCTAATTATCAGATAGATATTTCAAAGTTCAACTTTTAATTTGTTCATTATAATTTTTAGCGCTATTATTTCCTAATGATGGATGGAATTTTTGGAATTATGAATAGGATCCTGTATTTAAATACTTTAAATAAGTAATTAATTGCTTATTAATTTTGCCTATTTAGCAAGATCAAAAAATCATTCATTAAATATTAGCAGCAACTTTTTTTGCATTTTAGTCAGCAATTATTATATTTATTTCAATTTTAACAATATTTAGAAAGATTTCACCAAATACAGAATTTACTAATGGTATATTACACTTTATGTTAAGAGTTGTAAATTTTTATTTTCTTCACATAAATTTTTCAATTGGTAATTTATTTCTTTTGTTTTATGGAAATGGAATATTTTGTGAAAAGTTTAATTCATTTTAAGATTAAAAATGTTCTTAACATTCAATATTTTATATTGGATTAGCTGGATCGATGTTGACATTGTTATCATAATATATTGGAATTTATCTTTTTAGATCATTCTCATTTAAACCTTTTTCTATATTATAGAGTAAATATTCATTTAATTAAATGCTTTATGTTATAATAAGAGCAATTATGTTTGCAGTTTATTTACTTGAAACAAATAGTTTTAATGTATATTTGTTTTTTATTCTCATAAATTGTTTAATCTTATTATAAATGATTGAAAATATTTTCCTAAACTCCTATTATCCTCCAAATAATGAATTTAATTTTAAATTATACTTCATACTATTCTCTATATCAATACTAATTACATTAAATGTTTTATCAGAAAATACAATATTGTAATAAAATATGATACTTGAAAGTGTGATGTTGATTGCATCATTTTCATATCAATTTTCTGAAGTTCTTTTTGAAAGGAAAATATTTCATTAATCTCAGTATAAGCTTTTATCCTCAAGTAGAACAATTGATGTAATCTAAAGGATTTATGAATTATCATAAGATTTAAAAAAAACAGTAAGATAGAAAAAATTGTTTTATTATTATGCTTATATTGTAAATCACTTATAAAGTGATAAACATATCAATAATTATTATTTCTAAGATATGTCATCAAGAAAATTTATTATATCATTTTTGTAAAGGTAATTAAAGCTATCAAAATAAAATGGTAGAGTAACTTTTGAAGATATGTAATTGATATACACTAATTTTTTGTCTCATTATTGCAAGAAACCATTACTTAGTTTAGTTGAATTTAGAAAATATGATATTTTTTATTAATAACAATAATCCTATTACTTTAAATTTATGAAGAAACAAATCAATAACAATTTACAATAAACAGTTCAAAAATAACAATAAGCAAATATTTTTTAAACCCAAAACAGAGAATAAGAAAAATAATCTTTGGATATAATTCATATAAGTAAATCAATAGTTTTTGAAGAACTCTACATTCCTAATATAATTAAGTTAATGGATGCAAAAATCTATTTTTGGGAATAATTAATTAAAGGATACAACACAATTTAAGAATTTCAAAATGAGGCTATTAATTTAAGTAAGAAAGTGTAATCATTACAAAAAGAGTTATTATCAAAATTATCATTTGATGTTGAAAACATTAGTCATTTAGGAACTAATTGTAATGTATTAGAATTGAAAATAGCCTCTATTTTTTATAGTTCAATTATGAATGACTATTACAATTCAGCTTAATGTGAATTTTTAATATAAGAAATATTTAATATTGAACACACATTATCTTCTGATGTTATAACTAATTTTACATTGGTTGAAGACAAGGTAGCATTAATAATGTTAAGTTTAGTCAGAAATTTAGGTTAGATTATTAATTAAGATAAAAGAGGTTTATCTCAATATTTTGGTTATGATGATAAAGAATTTTAACAAATCTAATATATAAATTAATTAATGCCTCCATTTTTATCTGCAATACATGATAATTTATTAGAAGATTATTTACAATAAGCAAAATCTAAATTATTTTAATCTTATAATGTTGTATTTAGTTCTGATAAATAAGGTTATTTAGTAGCATAATAATTAAAAATAGACAACAATTTTCTAATTTAAGATGATTATGTAATTATGGGATGTCTATCTTAAGTTAAAAGAGGAGTAGATTTTTTAATTTTTGGAGATGATGGTAAAATATGGGGTAGTACTTAAAATTTATTTTAAACTTATTTTTAAAATTAGAATGAAAAATTAACATTGTAAAGATTGATAAACCAATGTTATATATATATGTTTCTTCCATAATTAATTAAAATTATTGATTCATATAAAAATTAACTAATTTCATAAGAATATGAAGGGTTATTAATTGAGGATTCTTGTATTTTCATGGTAAGAGAAAATATTATTGAATTGATTTAACATTTTTAATCATTAAGTATAAATATGCCAAAGAGCAGCCATTTTGAAAAATCATTTATTCCAAAAAAGGCTTAATTATCTGAAGGATCTTTATCAAGAAAGATAGGGACAATCTCTATTTAATAAAATGATTTATATGAAAAACAATAAGATTAATTAGCTTAGATTGAATTAAATAGAAAATAATCTGAGGAATCTATTAAACCAGCTTAATATAATGGAATCCCTTTATTAAATAAATAATATTAAAATGAGATCTAGTAATATTTAGAGAGTATAGAAGTATAAATATATAATATATATATATAGGAAAAACCAGCAGATAAATATCTAATTAAGTTTTCTCTTAATTTTAAAAATATTGGTAAAGAAAACTATCACAGATCATTTTTTATACTTGAAATTATAGATATAAGAAGGAAAGATTTAATAGGAAAATCTATATCTGAAAATTAAAATTAATAAACAAATGATAGTAAATTCTATTCACTATAAAATAATAATCATAGTAATTGTATTTTAAATGTTAGATACAACATAAGAGGAAGAACAAACTAAAGCTAATGTATCTGGATTTGTTTAATCAGAATAACCATATTCTGAGATTGTTCCAATTAGTAAAGATATTGGTTGTGGAGTGACTGATCTTTTGGAAAGAATGGGACCTTCAAAAAAATAAAAATAAGATCAAGATTTTGGTTTATTCAATTTAGATTCTGGTAGAGATAGTATGAGTTATGGTCCTTTATCTTAAAGAGCTCATTTTATAAATCCAAATTAAAAAGAAGGAGAATTAGAAGAAATTGTAAAATTGGATTAAGATTTCAATGTATTAGGAATTTAATTAAATAGTGCTAGTGCTATTATGTAAAAAGTAAAAAACTAATAATATGAACCTGAAGATGAATTTGATATTGATGAATCACTTAAATAATAAAAATAACAACTTGGTAAATCAAGTAGTGATAATGAAAAGGATAAAAAAAATGATATTTTAGAAATAATGAAAAAGAATAAATTGAAAGGAAAAAATCATGAAGAAGAAGATGTTGAAGCTTTAAAATCTAAATCAAGTATGACATCTGCAACTTCTGGGAATTCAGCAATTTAAATTATCAAAAAGTTTTAAAGCACTACTCATCTTACATAAGGACTTAAATTTATATCAATATCTAGTCTAAGTGTTTTTTTAATTCTAATAATCTTGATAACAGTCCATTTAGTAATAATTACAATTAGTAATTAAGATACATCTTTAACTATTAATGATATTAATGGACCTTTCATATTAAATAGAAGTTATTTAGAAGTTATTTCATTTACATGGAGTTTAATTGTTGGAACTTTAGATATTATTGATACGAGTGAATTTATGAAAGCATAAACATTTAGTGATTTATATAATACTACAAGTGAATTATATGATGAAATTAATAATATGTATTTAGGGTTTATTGAAGTAGAAGAAAGAGGTATGTTATCTTTATAAAAATTTACTTTTTTAAAAGGAAATACAGAAGATATAAGATTTCCTTATTTTATTAATTTAATTGAGGGAACCTTAGATAGAGTTGTAAAAATAGTATAACTTGAGATTAAGGATTTTTCTAAAATATTAACAAGGGAATATTTGGATTAATTATTTTTATTGAGATTTAATCTAAATCAATTATATTTGATGTCATCAGAATTAATTGATTCTTTGAATGTAGTGTTTTTGACTTAAACTAATGAAAGGGTTATTGAAATGTAGACTTAAGTTATTATTGAAATAATTTGCATTGCTGTCATTTTATTAATTGAGTTGTATTTTTGGAAACAAATATAAAATTATAGTTAGTAACTAATGCTTTTAACAGGAAGACTTTAAGAAAGTGATGCAAATGAATCTATTGCACGAGCTTCTTTGGTTAAAGAAACCTTAACATAATAAAGTGGAAAATATAGTTGGAAGAAATAAAATTATTATTCTTTAAATTATTAATCTCTTAATACATTAAATTTTGAACTATTAAATTAATAGTCTAGAATTATCAAAGATTTAGCTTTAAAAAATCATCTTGATATAAATTAAAATAAGAATCATTAATAAGAAAATAATAATAGAAAGTAATAATCTTAAACAAAAAGAAATATTAATGTTGTCTTAAGTTCAAGAATTTATAATACTCAAATAAGTTTGTTATCTTATATTATTATGTTACTCATAGTATTTATTATAATAACTTTAATGTTGTTTGGAGGATTTTTACTATTTTCTTAATAAATTTCTGATTTAGGTCCTTCTTAGGCTTTAACTGGAAATTATATTAAATTTACTTAAAAGTTAGACACTTTAATGGCATGTGCTTTAATATTAAAGACTTAATAATTAGTTTATAATGCAGTAATAGATTTAGAAATTTATGATCAAGCAACAATAAATTCATTCCATTAAACAAATGATATAGTTGAATTATTCAGTGATTTAAGTAAAATTTATTCTGAAAATTTAACCTCTATATATGAGAGTATATTATAGTCAAATAAAATAAAGGAAGAGGATAAATAATTATTATTTTCACTTTATCAAGATGATTTTTGTCAAGAACTTAGTGATGAAATACCTATGTGCAATTTAGATGATTTTGGATTTGAAAAGTTTACTTAAGCCTTTGAATAACCTATTTTACCTTAAGATGATAATAGAGAATATGTTAATAAAGGTATTGTTGGAGTAATAAGTAGATTGGATACATTATTTGGTTAATTTTTTGATTATGAAATTGAGTTTAAGTAATTTTAACCAGATACTGATTTATGTTTAGAATAAATAAAAATGAAAGAGTTTAGAAATGCAGTATTTTCTCACTTTTTAGATACTAATGATGGAACCAATACATTTTTGGATATCATTTATATTAGTATTTATGGAATATTAGATGAAAATCTAAGTTATATATATCTGTATTATGGTGTAGTTGGTGTATTAGTTGGATTATCATATGCAATATACTATATTGTAATAATCATTAAAACCAATAATAAATTAATTAGAACAAGATTGGCTTTGATTACATTACCTATTTCAATTTTAACAGAGTAACATACAATATCAATGTTAAAAAGATTAAATTGAATATTTATAATTTATATTTTTAGCTATTTAACTATGTTTCTGCATCCAATTAGTTAATTTATTCAATTATATAAAAATTAAATTAAAATTTAAAAAATGATTGCTAGTAATGAATTAGTTTTAGGAGATTAGTAAATTTAAATATGATGTAGACCTAAATAAATTAAGTGTCCTTTTTGCTCAAATTCAACAGTTTCAACAGTTACTTTTAAGAATGGCTATATAAGCTATATTACGTGTTTCTTAGTTTTACTAATTTTTGGAATTATGGCAAGTCTACTACTAATACCAGTAATTATGATAATTACAAGAACTTTAATTCATAAGTAATTAAAAATTAAATGATTTTAGATGTTCTGCATGTAATGAAGATATTGGTGGAGATGGAAAAGTATTTCATGTATTAGGTGTAAAGGATTCAGTATGAGTATTAATATATTTTTAAAGATGATGTCATTCAAAATTGGAGAATTTGGAGTTATTTTAACAAAAAGAATAGTTATTGGAATATTGTTATTAATCTTAACATTAGGAGTATTATGGTATAGAATAATTGATTTACCAACTTCATAATGGATGGATTATCATTAACATCACAATCCAAATATCACTATAACTGATACTTGGACTGATTATTTAGAGAAATGTGCAAAATAGAAAATATTTCAAAATCTATAATTTTAATAAATTTGTTATTAAAAATATATTGACCGAACAATAGTTGATTGGAAAGGTATAATATAATAAATAACTTCATTTTAGGATATGCAATAAGAGTAGAAGATAATCAATAATCTTTATTGAAATTCTTACATCATTCTGTTAATATTTTAGTTAAAATGGATCCTGCAGAGAGTGAATTTCATCCTGATTTGTTATTGACTGCAGATAGTGAAATAGCTTCTGAATTGTGTAATTTTATTATAGATTCTTTTAGCTTCAGAAATTGAGAAATTAGAAAGAGGCAGTGAATTTATTTTCACAGCTATTATTAAATCCATAGGAGATTTCTAAAATATCAGACATTTTCATCTTTTAAATATAACACAATTAGAAAGTTACATTGAAATTCCACCTCATCTTCATTAATAAAGCAGATATGGAAATTCTTAACAATTTTTAGCTTCATCAACTGATTGAATATATGAGTAATTATATAAAAATAAAGTATATTTACATATGTAATATAATTATTACATTATAGTTCATTTATAATTTTATAGCTTGAATATTTTTCAAATTTGAATTTATTTTTCATTTATCCTCAATCAATTATTTAATAATATTATTATTTATTATTATTTATTATTATTATTATGATCTTTACCTTCTAAAAAATGTCAATTTTAGAGATTCCATCTTAAAATCTATTTTAGACCTTCTAAATAATTTTGATTATCATCAAAATGAACCTTAATTTTTATGTTAATAATGTTATATTTTATTCAATATATAAATTTCAATATTTTTAATAGAAAAACTAAATTTTATTGCAGAATTTAGTTGACTTAAACTTATATTTAATCATTTCTACATTATTAATCATCTTATCATTGTTTAACTTAGTAATCAATCATTTAAAAAATAAAAATATTTATTTAACACTTATATTTTTAATAACATTTATAATTATGTCATTTTATAATTGTAATAATACCATTAATACTCTAAATTTATTATCTAATATGCTTTAATCATATCCATATATGTGACATCTTATGAATTGTATAAAAGTCAAACATTTTTTATTAAAAAATATCTATTTTTTTATGTTTACCAAACTTTTCAGCTCATTTCGATATTTTAATATTTTTCGAAATAATGCCAAACAGTTGATGTTAGTTGGATTATTATCAACCATCTGTTATAGATAGAAACTAAACTTATAAGTAAACCCAAACATCAAACAATATGGTGATAAATTAAATCGAGCATTCAAAAGAGCATTACAACCTGAAGATGATTTTTAGTATAAATTTTCACATTTATTTTAGTAAAAATACTATCATCTTATCTGGTAACTCTAATAAAGAGTTAGCTGAAGGTATTATTCCATATAAATGATTATTAGAAATTGCTGAATATTTGAATATTAAATTAGGCAGTGTAACAATAGGAAGATTTGCAGATGGGGAATGTCAAATATAAGTATATATTATATACATATTATAGGTTCTTGATAATATTAGAGGAAAAGATGTATTTATTATACAATCAACTTCTCCTCCTGTTAATGATAATTTAATGGAATTATTATTATTAGTCTCTGCTTTAAGAAGAGCATCAGCAAGAAAAATTATTGTTGTGGTTCCATATTATGGATATGCAAGACAAGTATCTTTTAGTTTAATTGATTTCAGGATAGAAAATGTGCACCAAGAGTTCCTATATCAGCAGCAGATGTTGCTAGACTATTAGAAACAGTTGGAGTTGATAGACTTATATCTGTTGATTTACATTGTGGATAAATTCAAGGTTTCTTTGGACCTAGAGTACCTGTAGATAATCTTGAAGCAAATTTAGTTGCTCAAAATTATTTATCACTTTAAAAAAAATATGAATTCAAAGATGTTGCTATTGTTTCACCAGATGCAGGTGGTGTTTATAGAGCAAAGAAATTTTAAGAATAATTTGATTTACATCATCCTGGAATGCAATCTCATTTAGCAATGATTATTAAGTAAAGAGAAGGACCAGGAAAAATAGCATCTATGAACTTAGTTGGTTAAGTTAAAGGAAAAGATTGTATTATAGTTGATGACATAATTGATACTGCAGTAAATTTAGATATCATTCTTTAAGGGTACACTTTCTGAAGCTGCAAGAGTCTTAAAAGAACAAGGAGCAAATAGAGTATTTGCATTTGCAACACATGCATTATTCTCAGGTAAAGCATTTACACATCTCTCCAATCCTTCTCTAGATTAGATTATAGTTACAAATACAATTCCTTCAAAACCATAAGAAGAAGTTTTAGGAGATAAAATCTGTAGATTATCTGTTGGTAATTAATTTACATTATAGATAGCTCCTTTATTGGCAGAAGCTATTTATAGGGTCTAAAAAAAGGAAAGCGTTTCAACTTTATTTGATATTAAACATTGATTTTATTATCGAATTTTAGATGTTCATTTTTATTTTAAATTCCAAATTAGTCTAAATAAGTATTTCAAAATTAAAATCTAAATTGTATATCAAAAGTCTCTTTCAATAATATAAGCAAAAAAATCAATTTAATTTAGTTTTCTTTATTCATAGTTTTGAGTAAAACTGAATTAATAATTGAGACTTTTGGATATTTAGATAATTGAATTTTTGGATAATCAATTGAATAAAATAATCAAACTAATTAACCCTGTATTTCATAAAAATTATTTTAAATTTACTCATAAATAAATTTATGTAGACATAGCCTTAACCAGTTGGAGTAATAACTTATTATTCTGATTAATATGAACCATAATGTCCATATTGTTAATCAGGAGAACATTCTATATAATCTGATAGTAGCTCGTTTTAATAAACTCATCTTGTCACTGAATAAGCTATGAGGGGAAGAGGTATTTATTTAAGTTAAGTTAGTTGTGTATGTATCTCCTGAGAGAATAGTTTCAAGAAAAATTATTGAATCAAATACTTTATCTCCTTCCATATAATAATTAATGACTCCATCAATAATTTCAACAGCTACACCTTAAATTATAAATTCTTAATATCCACTTACTTAAGTGTCACCAGTTCTGTATTAAAATTAGAATATCTCTAAACAATAATCTCCAATTCTAATTCATCAATAATATGTGGTTCCACAATAATCTTTTATTTAGCAATAAATTCCTATTGTCTAACAATCTACTTAAGACTATAAACTGAATATGGAGCTTTAGTAATCTTAACTAATTTAATAAGATATACAATTAAAATAAAAAGAGTTAGCAGAAAAATTACAAAATTAAACTGAAGAAATTCAGTAATCTAATTTAGCATATAGACAATTATAGTAAGCTTTATAAGAGAAAAAGGAAGAGTATGAATAATTAAAAAAGGCTTATGCATATTAAACATAATATTCTCCTACTTCATAAGTACCTTAATCTTTATAAGAAATATATAATAAATCATAAATAAAAGAGAAAAAAGTAGTTTTAACATAAGAGGAATTAGAATTATATTGGAAACATCGAGTATTTGAATTAGAAGAATATTTATATGAATTATGGGGTAAGATTGCCAAAATGTAATCTTAAAAAGAAGAAGCAAAAAAAGATGATGGTATTAAAGTATTTATATTATATTAATATATCAGATAGAAATATTGTAGAGAGAAGTGTGTTAATTGGAACATATTTTAAGACTAAAATCTAATTCAGTTGTAATTTTAAAAAATAAATTGAATAATTTAATGTATCAATATGATCCAGCATCTGAAATTACAAAATAATATGATCAACAGTTATAATCTTTAAGACAATAAGTTATGAATTTAAATTCATAATATTTATAAGTACAAGAGGAAATTAAAGTTATAGAGCAATAAAATTAGAAAAGTAAATTAGAAATGAATGATTATGAGGCTATTCCAATTAATCAGGAATCATTTTAGAATTGAATTGATTTTTTATATGAAAGAGTTTTTAAAATATTAATAAACTTTAGATGAACATATTTTTAAGTTAAATATTTTTTGAATATAGTATATTTTATATATAAAATTTAAAAATTAATGCAAGGATTTAAAGTAGAAACTTTAACACCAGGTGATGGAAAATCATTTCCTCAAAAAGGGTAATAATTATTACAATAATTTAGCTAAAAAGTTAGTGTACATTATGTAGGAACCTTACTTGATGGATCTGAATTTGATTCATCAAGAAAAAGAGGAAAGCCTTTTTAATTTGTCCTTGGTGCTGGATAAGTTATAAAAGGTTGGGATTAAGGTGTAGCAAAGTTATCAAAAGGAGAAAAAGCTATACTGACTTGTCCACCAGATTATGCTTATGGTCAAAATGGATATCCACCAGTTATCCCACCTAATTCCACATTGAAATTTGAAGTCGAATTGCTTGATTTTGCATGATATTTTCATACATTATAAAAAGTGAAATTCAGAAACATAATTATTAACGTATCTAGATATTTATAAAATAAGACAATCTTTACTTCAATTTAAAACTATATTTATATATATATTTATATTAAAATATAAAAAAAACATGATCACGGCCAGTCTCGAACTGGCGGCCTCGTCCTTGTTAGGGACGCGTGATAACCCCTACACCACGCGATCAATGGATAACAAATTTGAATAATTATATATAAAAAACCTAATGGATTTCTAGTATATGATTATTATTTATAGATTTAATGGAAAAATAAATAAAATTAATAATAAATGTTTAGTTTTGGAAGTTGTGATGAATAATTATAATTGATTGTATTTCTGATAATATGGAATAATGTGAATAATATGAATAATAATATAAAATAATTACTAAGTTTATAATATGTTAATTATTATATAACCAATTTAATCCTAATCTTCTAATATTATAAATTTTATTATCAATATGTGTTAAACATCTATGGAGGAAGAATACAGTATAATAAGCAAAATAGGATGTGGATTTTCAGCTGAGTATTGTTTTTAATTGAGAATTAGTGTGTAATTGGTTTCAAGATCTGGAGAATTGATGGCACTGAAAGTATTTAAGGCTAAAAAAGATTAACTATATGAGAATGAGATTTGTATAATGAATAAGTTGAGTCACATTTCTGGAGTTATTAGAATAAGAGAAAGTCAACTTAGAGGGTGTATAATGATGGATTATGCTAAGTATGGAAACTTACTATAATACTTATAATAATCACGATTTGAAGAAAACATAGCAAGAAGTTTCTTTAAATAAATGATATTCAGTAATAGTTCATAAATATTATTAATAGTAATTGATAAGATTCATAAGATGGGTATTGCTCATAGAGATTTAAAATTAGAAAATATATTATTAGATGATTAATATAAGTTGAAGATTTGTGATTTTGGATTTGCAATATAATATTTGGATGAATAAGGAAGAAGAATAAAAGTAAATGAGTAATTTATTATATTATGATGATAGTTATGTTGGAACACCTTAGACTGCAGCTCCAGAGATATATCTTAGACAGCCATATCATCCAGTAGAAGCAGATTTGTTTTAATTAGGAGTTATTTTATTTTAAATTTGTGCAGGATCTAGTCCATTTCATAATGCTAATATAAAGAGTGATCCAGATTATTAGTTTATCTATAGGTAATATTTGGTTTGATTATGAAGATAATAAATTGGAAAGTTTTGGGAAAAACATTAGTATTAATTTTCAGCTGAATTAAAGGATATTATAGTCAAACTTTTAGCCTTTAATCCAAATAGAAGATTATCAGTAATTTATATATTTATTATTATATTAAAGATTCCTGAAATTCAGTCTCATCCTTGGATGTAAGGTGAAGTAGCTGATTAATCTTAAATCATTGATTAAATGGAATACAGATAATCAAAGCTCTCTTTATAAATCTGATTATTAATTACTATAACTTAGATTAATATTTATTCATTTCTAAAAATTATTATATTAAATTATCACTTCTACATATAGATTTCCAATTGAAATGAAAAATAATTAATAATTTTAGAGTATTCATATATAATATTTGATTTAATTAAAAAAATTAATCAATTTTAATCAATTTATTATCTTAAAGATTCCTATCTTCCAAAAACTGATTGTTTTCTATAATTTTAAATTGAATCTTCCTTATTTAATTCTATATCCTTTAATTCTTCATCTGTCACTCTATATTCAGTTGTAAAAATATCTAAAAATTCCATAAATTCACAATATTAATATTTTCGATTGTAAACTTCAGCTAATTTTTTTGTATTAACAGTATTTTTATATAAAGCTATAAAAGCAATTCCTCTTTTTAATTAATCCACACTTATAAATAATGTAGGATATTTAACATCTTTTATTCTCTTAGTTGTATCACTATCCATTAATGCTTTAAAAAGAGATAAATAATAATATATATCTTATCTTGATAAATTCTTCTCTAATATAATTTTTTCAATATTAATTAATTATATAATCTCTTTAAATTTTTCATTATCCTTATTTTGAAACGATTAAAAAGGATCTTCTATTGATAAATTCTATTTTTATTTTTTTTTGAAAATATGTGTGTTCTATGGCATAATCTCATCAAAAGCTTCTTCTTAAATTTCTTAAATAGTTTATTCATTTTCCTACATTAATTTCTACTCAAATATCTCTTCTTCTTTAAAACCTAAATATTTTTTCTAATTTTTTAATTATAATGTTTACTGCTTAAAGTTTAATTTGAATTGAATATCTTTTCATTGCTTTTATCTTTTCTAATCTTTATCTCATCATTTCTTCTAAATTCTTAAGTTTATTGGAATATTTTGATTTATTTGATTATATGTATTGTTACAACAATTTTAAATATGTATCTTATTCTTATTCATTCATTTAAATTATTGATTATTCAAACATTTATTCATCAGGTTCTCTTAAATCATTCTCAACTTCAATTAAATATTATGAAGGAATAGTAGTTTAACTTTCATGTTATTATTATCTAAAATAGAATGGTAATAAATTTTCTCTTTTTTTAAAGAATCTTGAAATATCTTCCTTACATTTTAAATCTAATAATTTTATAGCTAATTTTGGGTATTTGTCTAATTAAAATTCTCCTGAAAGATTCAATTGTTATTTTAATTGAATCCATAAATCAAATTATCCCTAAAATTAATAATATCTTTACTTAGAGTTAAATATATAAAAATTTATCATATTAAGGTAATTGATTTAATTGAGTTATTTCAATACTATCTAAAGTAAACACTTTTGTATATTTCATTTGATTTCTAAAATGTAAAATGTCCAAAAAATATGAAATCCATTATCTAAAATTATCTATTAATTCTTTATCATTTATGATTTTCTCATAAATTGGTATAAAAAAAGGGAATATACTTAATTCTAAGTTATTAGTTCTATAAATTAAAATTAAATTACATTTATTTAGCTTCAATTTAAGAACTCTTTAAATTAACACATTGATGTGGTAAGAAAATCAAAATAAATATCTATTTCAAACCTTTCTTTGTATTTACACCAATTTGAACTATCTTTTACTGTAAAATTTGTTGAATTTCATCAGTTTTCCAATAAGTTTTAAATCTTTCTAAATGATGAATTTTCTTTTATATTTCATAAGCTTTATTAATTCTGTTCACTTTATTATTCTTTTACCAAACTTATCCTTCAATTTCAGGACTTAAACTTCGAAATTTAAATGAACTCGTTCTTTCAGATATACTGAAATTATCTTTAATTAAAGTAGTAAGCTATGTTATAATTGGTTTTTGAGAAGGACCCTTTGTAAATTAAGTATGCATTTTAGAATTTGATTTATCTTTTTCTTTTTATCTGGTTTTTATTTCTTATTGCAATTTACATTCCCTATGAGTTGTTAAATTATCAGGATCCAACTATATTTATTAAGAATGTCTATATCTAATAATATCTAACTTTGTTCTTGAAAGGATATTAGGAAATACAGTTGCCTTTAAAAAATTAGGGATTGTATTTTAAATAGATGTAGATCTGGAACTATTTATATGAAAGCTGATCTTAGGAGATTTAGTTTCTTATTCTTTGAAATGAATTCTATAAATTTAAATTATGATATACTTCTCTTCATTAGCTTCTAAATTGCTATCTCTTTTGCTTATTTAATCTTTGATCAATACAATTGGAACATATTCTTTTAATGTTTACATATTTAAGTATATATTTTAAATAATTTGGTTTATATAATACAATCACTTCCAAATCATCTGTAATTTCTACCATTTTTAATGCATTATACATATTAACAAAAAAGTCAATCTCATCATTTTCTACATTATCATTTGTAATTGAAATAGTTTCATTTAATTTTATGTGATCTGAATTTATACTTCAATTAGATTACATATCTCGATGTTTATTAATTAAATTAGTGATTAATATATGAATTTTATGCTTTTTTCCGAAAATATTTTTTAATGGAATCATTAAAACAACAAAATTTTTTAATGTAAAATTTTAAAGTCTATTTTCTAAATATAGTGTTCAACTAAAATAATTTATTTTTATAATTTGATTGCACCTTTTATGTAGCTATTTGAGGTCCTTGATATTAATTTAATTGTTTAACTAAATATTAAATGGGTTTGTTTATAATTGATAACTATTAATGTAAATTTTTAATTTGTTTAGTTATATTATAGATTGATAATATATAGTAGTAAATAATATTTATAATTTATTCTTGCGACTATGAAATTAATTACAGTATTGATTCAATTTATTAATAGAAATAGAAATAGTTTGAATATTTAGAGTTGATTACAATTTATTATCTTAATTTTTACTTAAATTATCAATAATCATACATAAATCTTATTTTAATAAATTAACTTATATTGTATTTTAGAAATGCTTGAAGATTAATTATTCTTCTATTCTAATCAATTAGGTTTAGTAATCTTCAAGCATTTAAATTAGTCTGTTTGATAAGACATGAGATTCAAGTAAAACTTTTTTTAGAAAATGTCTATGAATATGGATAACATATTGATAATAACTTAATCTAATTGCAAAAGTAAGAAATTTAACTAAATTTTACTTTGCTTCTCATTAACATTTGTTTAAATATTTGCAAGGAATGATGTAATGCTTAGAATATTATTGAAAGTTTTGGAAAAAGGACAAATAATACAATTTCTTTGTTGGTTATTTCAAGATAATAAAAGATAAGTTAGTTTCATCATTCAAGTCTCCAATTGAATAATTTTAATGATCAATGACTTTTTGCGAGATATTTATATATGAAATATAATATTTAACAAATATAGATTATAGTGATATATATTTAAACTTACTCACTTTTACAATTATTAAACTATATATTAGATTCATTATAAGAAATTCAGCTTACTCCTTGCAATTTATAATATATTAAAATGTAAAAAAAAATTGATGACGAAGATGTTGACCCATGTTAATTTATAAAAAATTTAGATACAGGAGATACGTATAGTGTTAACAATTTTGGTGAATTAGAGATTGAATTTAAGCAATACAAACCTTTAAATTAAAAAAAAGATAGGTGGAAGACATTTTGGACTAAGATGGAAGAAATAAATGAAAAATTATATGATGCTTGTGAAAAAGGAGAAGAAGAAGTTGTTACAAAATTACTTAAAGATTAAATTGAGTTAAAATAATAAGTTTAATAATAAAATGGATCTAATAATTCAAGTTTGATAGGAGATGATTATTAAGAGTTTATAGGATTAATAAATATTGATTGTAAAGGTTTGGATGATTGGACAGCTTTACATCATGCAGTGAATAATAGAAGAGTGGGAATAGTTAGACTATTACTTGATTCTAAAGCTAATCCTAATTCATGTACATTAATGAAGAGAACTCCTTTACATCTAGCATGTTTAAGAAGAAGTCTAGAAATAGTAAAACTTCTTATTTAACACAAAGTGGATTTGAATTGTTAAGATTCTGATTTAAATACTCCTTTATATATAAGTTCTGAATTTGGAGATATATAAATTGTAGAATTTTTACTGATAAACGGGGCAGATGGTATGTTTTTATAATTATAATTTATATTAGCTTCGTTAAAGAATTGTCAATAAAAGTCTCCTTATGATGTTACTATGTCTCCTGAAGTTAGGAAACTTCTTGAAAAGTATGTGCCTAATACAGAAGGTTATTAATCGAGATCATTAATAGGAGGATAAGTAGTTAGAAATTCGAGAGCTGATCATATTGAAAGATTATTAGGCAAGGTTAATGAATTATCAAAAATGGAAATTTTGAAATAATAATAATAGATAATGAATCAAAAGGAGAAATCTGTAAGTATTCCATAACCTGTGGCTTAATTTATAGATGTCAGTGTTAATGTATATAAATTATATATTAAAAATAGGCTTCTTCTCCATAAGGTTATATATTTCATAAATTACTTGGGAAGGGAAGTTTTGGAGAAGTATATTTTGCTACAAGAAAATAGGATGGAGAATAATTTGCTATAAAAACTCTTTGTAAAGAGAGAGTGCTTACTAAAAATTTAACTAGATATGCTTAAACAGAAAAGAATGTTCTTAGTGTTATGAAACATCCTTTTATTGTTAGATTACATGCAGCATTTCAAAATTCATCAAAGTTATTTATGGTTTTAGATTTTTGTCCAGGAGGTGATTTAGGATAATTATTAACTAAAAATGTTAAACTTAGTGAAGATATTGCTAGATTTTATATATGTGAAGTTATTTTGGCCTTGGAATCTTTGCATAAAAATTGTATCATCTTTAGAGATCTCAAACCAGACAATGTAGTATTGGATTCTAAAGGACATGCAAAATTAACAGATTTTGGATTATCAAAAGAAGGAGTTTATGATAATATTACTAAAAGTTTTTGTGGTTCAATTGCTTATCTTGCACCTGAAGTTTTAATGAAAAGAGGTCATTCAAGAACAGTTGATTGGTATTTAGTAGGTGTTCTACTTTATGAAATGATTGTAGGAATGCCACCATATTATAATTAAGATAGAGAAATGTTATTTGAGAATATTAAAAAAGGAGTTTTAAGAATTCCAAAAAATATGAGTGAAGAAGCAAAGGATTTAATTAGATCACTTTTAGTCAGAGATCCATCTTAAAGATTGGGAGCTAAAGCAGATGCTGAAGAATTAAAGAAACATGCTTTTTTTAAAAATATTAATTGGGATGATATTTATAATAAAGTATAAGATGGTCCATTTATTGAAAAAGATAATACAAAATAATGGGTTAAAGATACAATTGATGTAATTATTTAATTTATATATTTAGATGAAATTTGGTGATTAATCTCAATCAAGTCAAAGGATATCAGATTGGTCTTTTATTTAATGAAATATGTTTTTATTATTGTTTTTAATATTATAATTAAATTTTAGATGTAAAAATATATATTTGTTATTTAAATATATATATATATATATAAATTTCACAATTATAATTTAATCTAAATATTAATAAATAATTTGATTAGATCACAGTAATTTCTAAAGATTATTTAGTATTGAAGTTTATATTAATTAGGGATAAATTAATTAGTTAAAAATTTCATGATCAAGAGCTTAAGAACAAGAATATCTTAAATCTTAATTAGGTTCTATTAAATTATTCATTAAATCAATCAATTAATCATTCTTTATATTTTTTATTGGATATAAAGTTTGTAAAGGTAATTTTTTATAAAGCATTTCATAAATTAAAACACCAATACTATAACAATCTACTTTTGATGTATATTTTTCATGTAATTTAATTTCAGGTGCCATATAACCTAAAGTACCACAATATTATGAACAACTTGTAGTTCTTATAGAAATACCCAAATCAGCCAATTTGATTACATTTTAAGAAATTAATATATTCTCTGGTTTTATATCCCTATGTATTATACCATTGTTATGTAAATGATTAACAGCACTAATTACTTAATGTAAAATATCAATCATTTCTTTTCTAGTTATTGTGTTATGTCGAATAAAATTATATAATGTTTGATCACTCAATTCTAATATTAAAGCAATCTATAATATATATTATATTTTACCTATTTTTTATCATCTATTATTCCATAGCATTTCAAAATATTAGGATGATTTAATATCATTTATGTTTTAATTTCATTTGATATCAAATTACTAATACCTTTACTTTAAATTAATGATTTTTATATTGTTTTTAAAGCAAGTGCCATTCCTGTTTATTAATCAAATACTGAATAGGCATCACTAACATTACCCCTACCTAAATATTTTATTTTTTAGAATCTATTTAGAATTGAAAATTAGTTTTTACTAATTTTAATATTTTATGTAGCTTTATCAATACTAGAACATCTTTATTAAACTTATGTTTCTTTTGCTTCTTCTATAATTAAACTACCATGTAAAATACATTTTTTTTCAGAATTATTAAAATCCGTAATTTATCTAGATTAAATTCCATATAAATCTTATTTTTAAGTTGGTTTGATTTTTAAAGTTGCTCTCGAAGTTTTACCTTCAGTTATCAACTCCTTTATCTTTTCTATCTTCATTCGATTCATTTAAAGAAGTGTAGGATATTGAGGCTTTTCTTTAGGTTATATTATCTCATAATTAACTTTCAATAAATTTTCATTAAATTCTAACGCATTCATACATTTAAGATGTTAATCAGGTTTATTATCATCATCTTTTATTAAATTAGAAAGTTTAAATTATTTTATTTAAGTAGTCTAATTACTTCTACTTATTAAATTTATTTTACAATCTTTAGTTATATTTTGAGATATTTCAACTTTAATAACATCAATATCAATTATATCAGATTTCATTAAATTAGAGTTAAGATTGGGTGTAGGATAATTCTTTATTGGAATTTAATCATTCATTTATAATTTTTTGTCATTTATTTGTATTTCTCCTATCAAAATGAACAATTAGAATAAAGGAATCTAATCTTTTTTTAGTAAATTGAATGATAATTTCATGGGTTAAGATTTTAATAAAATACTCTCTTTAATAGGTTGATCATTTATTAATTTATTATTTTCATGAATAGAATTTTATTATATGTTTACAGTTTCCATTTTTATTTTTTAAAACTTTAAAGAAATGGTAGGAAAAGTTTGAATGAAATATTATTTAATTTCATGTATAGTTTCTATTCTTAAATTCAATTTTTGAACACTTTAATTATCTTACTCTTATTATAATGGTTTTCTAAAATTTTAGATTTTTGGTTATACAACTTCACTGACAAAACTGTAATTGTCATTTGATATAATAGATTTTTAGATTTCATAATCTAATTTATTTAATTGTTAATCTTATAAATTCTCTTATTAAATAGGATTTATTTTTATCAATTTTATTGATTAAGATGTCTATATTTTAAGTGATAATTCAGGATTTAATAAAAATGATTCCTTTAAAGGATCATGTTTAATAATTTTCTTATTCATTTCATCCTTTTTGAATTTATTTAATTTTTACATCATATACATTTTATGTGTTATTTTGTTGCTTTCGGCTTTTTTCTAAAATGTGTTTGATAAGATAGAATTTTGAAATACTATAGGTTGAAACTTTAAATCTAAGTAGTTAATAGAATTATCAATATCATTAGAGATGTTTATAAAACGAAATTAAGACAACTCTGTTTACATATTACTAATTTATATTTATTCTTAAGAATTTGATTCATCTTCTATTTCCAATTTAGTAGTTGCATCAATATGGAAATGTTCTTAATTAATAATCAATTTTATTTATGGAGTTGGTTAAATCTAATTGTTGTCAATATGTGAATCGCTTTTAAAAATTTAACTGCTAATAGTAATTGTAGATTCTATTGAAATATTGTCTTGCATCAAAGTTTTAGGTGTTTAATTTTATTCATTTATTAACTTATTAGGAGAAGTACGATAATTTGAAGATCTGTTGTTTTTGGAAATTCTTATTTAATTTATTGATGGTTAACGTACAAATTAAGTTACAATTTCTTTCTTGCAGCTTTTTTACCATTAATCTTTCAATTAATTTATAGTAAGGCTGATAGTTGTGTTATTTTTTGACATTATAAATTATCAATTAAATTTATTTTAATGAAAAATGTATTCTTATAATCTTGAGTATTTCATTTAAGTAATTGTTTTAGACTATATATATTATATATATTTATAATTTAAGAAGATTTAAATGTTGATAGCAAACAATCATATTATATTAAAATAAAATAAAAAACAATAATATTAATATTATAAAATTATTATCAATAATTTTTCATCGCCATCTATAACTATTTTATTAATTATTAATACTACTATTTTATTATATTACTATTAAAAGTTAATCATAATGATTTGTTTTAAGAAGATTATATTATAATATATAGATTAAAGATGATAAATAATTAAGTTCAAAGTGCTAATACATTTTGATTATTTCTATTTATAATGTTGAAAATAATGTTTATGGAACCTAAATATTTATAAGGAGAATGATAAAAATAATAATTATCTAATTATTTCAAATATTTTTTACTATGTATATATATTAAATATAAATCTAAGTTTTAATGATTATTATTATTAAACTTGGTATGATTAAACTTATTATTAATCAATAAAGTATATTATAAAACTATTAATATATAAATATATTTATTATTATTTAATAAAATGGATGAGTCAAAGCTAGAAGATATCTAATAAATGAGTATTGGATCATTGGCAGGAGTATTAAGTGATTTAAACTAAAATGATGTACCTTTCTTAAAAGATCTACCTCTTAAAGAATTAGAGACTTTGATTTTTGAGTTCAGAAATACAAAGATGAGATTATATTAAGTATTTTTAATATCAAAAATATTAGATTTAGAAATATAAGTTTAATTTTAACTAACCTACCTTATCAGTGTTAGTTGATATTGTAAATAAAAAATTAAGATTAGCTTTAGAAATCATAGAAAAATAAAATAATATTAATCAATAATTCTTATTAGATTATCATAAATATGAAAAAAATATGATAAATTTAATTTAAGATGCTCCAAAATAAAACAATGATGTGATTGAAGAATTAGAAGACAAAGTAGTTGATTGGTATAAATCAGTTACAATCAAGTTTAATGAAATAACTAGTCTTAAAATTTTTAGCACAAATGAATTAAATGTTATTTATAATGAAGACTTTTACACTAAATTTTAAAACTAAGAAAACTTAACATTCTTATAAAAGGGATTATTTAAGAATTGTGCTCAAGCTGCTATAGAAGAATACAAAAATTTATTAAATAAATTCAATATTCAACATTCAGAAGAACTTTAAGGAATTATGGATAATCTATAGAGTCTTGATCAATTCTATAAAATATAGTAGCTAATTGAAGATATAATAGATTTTCTATCTTCCAAACTTATGTTTGACATAACATAAGTCATAAAAAACAGTCTTATTAATATTGATAAAATTACCAATTATTTGAATAAGTTAAATTATAGGTTTTTAGTAAGATAATAGAATACTGAATTTAGATAATATGAATCTAAAGAACAATAAACATTATTTTTAAATATGTTTTAATAAATTAAATACTTTAAATATCCTAAAACAATTTAAGAACATTAAGTCTTAGATGAATAATTTAATGATCTTAATAAATAATTACATGTCATAATCTAAAAGAATATAGAAATGAGTGATTATCCAAAAGCAATATAACGAAACCTAAAAAAATTATATGAATATTTTTTTAAAGGAAATAGAAAATTCATAAAACTTAAAATAAGATATATTAAAATTGCATAATAATTTGAAGATACATTAGATAAATAAGAATTACTAAATTAAAATGTCTTGGCTGAATTATAAACTTTATAAGCAAAATCAAATACTTTAAATTGTTTTATGACTGGTCTATTTGAAATGGGTGAATTCTGTTTGAGTTGTTATGATTTGGCAGAAGAAGTTCATAATTTTCTATTTCAAGTCTAATTATTGATACATCATTATAGTGAAACATTAAGAGTAATTGGAGCATCTAAATAAACTAATCTTGGATAAAGACCAAGAATAAGAAAAATCTTTGAGCCATATCCAGAAGAAGAAAAGGCAGTCCTAGGCAAAAAATATTAATTACTCTAAGTAAAATAGACAGGAAGCTCAAAATAAATAAATTGATCTATAAATATATATATATTTTTGTTCATATCACCAATATCCACCATGTTCTTTGGTTAAATGTGAATAACATTCTGAAGATGTTTCAAAAATTGCCATACATGGTGTACCATCTGCTTTATTTTTCCAACAAATACTCTTTTTACATCCTGTACAAGTAACTCTATAACAACCATCAATTCTTTATATCAATATTTTGCAATGAGGACATCTTCTTACATCATTCTTCTTCATATATATATTAATAGAATCTTCATTACCAGCTTTGAATTCTCTACATGTTTATCCATAATGATATGCTGTCTATAGAATAATAATTATATATATATACTCTGCATGAATTACAATATTGTTTCTAACATTTTTTACATATATATCTTGGAATCTTTTAGAAATGAATTATTGGACAATTCGGAGTCAAACAAAAAGCAATTTATGCTGCATGATCCTATAAATCTAATATTATTATAATAAATTAATTACATTTGTTAATAGATAATTTTATTAATTTTTCCCAACTTGGTTCATCAATTAAAATATACAAATCAGCTAAAAGTATACCTTGATTACATTATGGACATTTAATTGGTAATTAAGTCATATCTCCTAATGAATTTTGAATACTAAACATTATACATTATAGACAAAACTTATGTCCACAACCTTGTAACATATATCCATTTTTCATATTATCAAAACAATAATTACAAGTTAATGCATTGATAGGTTTATCTTATTATTATTATGAAGATATAATTTCGCTAATTGATATGATAGCTGCATCAAGATTCTTCTGATCACCAAATAATTGTAATTCACCTGAAATACTATTGAATTTAACACTCTTTAAGTCAAAGTTTTTCTTTATTTCATTTAATCCTTGAGAATCATTTCCCATTATCAATCTTATACAATTCTTAGGAATTTATATTATACTTTTTGAACAATCTGAAACAAATTATTTAATAGCATTAACTAATTAATTGTATTTAATAAAAGAGCTATTAACAAATAATTGATTATTAATAAAATCTTATCTAATTAAAATTTATAAAGATTCTTCTTAAAATTTAAGAAATCTTGTACCAGATTAACTAAATAAAACTGTAATATCAAAATCTTATGAGGACTTAATGATTTTTGGAGTAAAAGCATCTTAAATTTCTTTATTCAATTATTCATGATCTTATTTACTCCAACATTAAATAGTAACTTTTACTCTTTTAAATTCATCATCACTTGTAATAGTATATTAACCAAGTTTAATCTTCTTTTCATCAAAGATTTCCTCTACTATTTATTTCATTTCAATAGGTCCTTCATAATCATGATAATAAACAGGTTTTACTTTTAATTATACTTTCAATCCTCTAAATTATTTAATCTGATTATTTAAAAGAATAAATTATTCCATAATATTTTTATCATAAACTATGATCTCCAAAATTCTTTTACAATGTTATTTAGTAATTGATTCAATTTTATATTAATCTTAAGAAATATTCTATAATAATTTTTGTATTTCTAATTATAGATCTCCATTATTTTCATATCTTAATTGTTTATCTATTAAAATTGATTTGATATCAATATCTTTGCATTATTATTTTAAATCAGCCATAACTGATTACTCATCCTCATAAACACTCTTGAGATTCATTTTATATGTCAGATGTTAAATCGTTTCAAAATCTTCAGAATTAAATATATATGGAGCATTCAATTTAATAATAGCAGTACCTTTGTTTAAATGTAAATTCCAAGTGATAATTACTTTATAATGTTCATTGAAAAGTAGTTTTTCTTCATTATATTCAAATTAATCTTGTTAAGTATAAACTTTCAATTGATTGTCTTTATATACTTTAATATTTTCCAAACAATAAAGTAAATCTTCATGATCTTAAAGAGATATTCTAGCTGTAATTTTATCACCTTCTTTATACAATTTCATTTCTGAAATCATCACTTCAGACAAGAATTCTTGAAGCAATTCTTAAGTTATATCTAAAGGTAAACCTTCTATAAAGAAAGTCTTATAAGCACTTTTTTCAATCCAATCCTTCATACTTCCGCCACTATTATATTAATTATATATTTATACGCTTGCATTATAAATTTAGAATCATTCTCATATGGTATTTCTTTGACTTAATTTCTATAAAAATTCTACAATTCTTTAATTTTACTATTCAATTCCTATTCTATAATTTCTTTTTTAGCCACATTAGGATCATACAAAACTGTAATACAATTCATTTCAATATTAGGTTGTAAGATACAATCCTAAGATAATTGAGGACCTGATTAATGTTTCCATAATTCATTAAACAGAACTTAACCTATGCCATTAAAGTTGATTTCATTCAAATGCAATGATTATCTTTATATAAATTATAGTTTGTATTCTTTAACAAATTCTTTTGGAGCCAATTATGGTATCATAATATCATCTATTTTAGTAGAATATTTAATTTCATATTATTGATTCTTTTACAGCAATGCCATAATTATACAGGTTAAAGGAAAGTCTCCAACTATGGCCATTAAATTGTTATAACATAATTTAAATTTCTAGTTGGTAACATAATTATAATAACCAGCACTCTTATGACCACTAAAGATACTTAAACCTTTATAAAATAGCCTTAATAAACATGCTTATATGTCTTCAGAATGTTCTGGCATTGATTATTGTTTCTTTAAAGATACAGTTCTATTCAATTTTAATTAATCAAGTGAACAACATTTATTAATGACTGAATATTCAGATACCTAAATAATGAGAAATTAATACATATTTTTAGGTTAAATCAATTATGTATTCATTATAAGCTAGAATCAATATCATTTTTGGAATATTGATATTCTATAATCTACACCATTTTATTAATTCATTTTTAGAATTCTCTTATTCTTTTTCATCATCTTTAGAATTGATATCTTCAATAAAAATAATAAATTTATTTATTAATTAAATCCATGAAGTAATATCTCCCATTTTAGACCAATAATGATTTGATCTTATTATTGATTCTCTCTATTGATGAATTTAAAAACTTTTAAATGGATTCTTTTTACTTTCAACATTACCTTCTGATAGTATTTCACCATCTGTCAATAGTGTAGATATAACACTACTATAATAATGAAAAGTCTCATTTTCTGCTTCCAATAATGGTTCATAATATATTAATGGAATATAGTTTTATAATGAACTATATTCTGAGTCAACTACATTTTACAATTAATCAATTTAAATATTGAATTATTAAGCATAAAATTTAGTATTTTATGGATTAAAAGTGAATTCTTCATCAAAAATTAATTTATGTTCTTATAAATCTTTAAATTCATCAAATCCAAATAAATAAATAATTTTAGGATAATAACTAATTCTGTTACGAATGATGATATCATGTCTGCTTAGATTATATTATTTATAAACAATAGCATTATTTATTTCTTCTAAAAATGTTTTGACTGTAGTTTAATAACCCATATGTATAATTAATGATATTTTTGATTAAACATTTTACAAATATTTTCTTAGTTATTAATAATTTAATGTCAAAAATACCTTTCTTTTTCCCTTCTATTATGGATATACCATTTCCATTAATTGTTAACCAAATTGTTCATAATATTATTAGAATGGTATTATTTGATGGACTTCAAATTCTTCTGATTGTGATAATTAATTATGAAAATAGATTGCTTAAAATATTTAATCCATTTGATATAATGATTCACAATAAACAACTATATCCCTATCAATCTCTGAATTAGAGTTTTTAATCTATTACAAAACATATGTCAATTTTTAATCATAAGATATACTTATAAACAATTCATCTTATTAAGTTTGCAAGTAAGGAATTTCAATAATGTTATCATAAGCGATATTAAAATAATTAATTAATTGTTCATGTATTAAATCATTTGATATAATGATCAATTAGGATTTTGTGGTTAGTAACTAATTATAATACTAATATATATACCCATTTTATTCCAATATATTAATATGAATTCAATTTAGTCTCTGCACGAAGATCTGCAACAATAATTTCAAAATTCTGGTTAACCAAATTACACCAATTATAATTAGCATCAACTGTGTCTGATATCACAGTGATTGTATGATCTTTAGACAATAATTCTTTTATAATTTTTAGAGTGTCAACTTCCTAGAGTGTATCAACAATAAGAGTTGTTTTTTGTAATGGTAAAAGTGAATCAAAGATTTACCCCCATTATTGTCTTAGAAAAGCATTGGATCTATCTTTTAGATAAATTTCTCTGACGAGATGTTATTGATTTTACATTTAAATATTTATGAGATATATTAATATGTTGCCAAGATATTTAATAATCATATTAGATCAATTTCCTTTTCTTGATAATCTTCTTTTGAAAGCTGTACCATAAAGTATATTTCCAAAACATGTTGCCACTATTTCTAATAGAACTGGTAACAAACTATATTGTCTTAAATTATTTTACATAAATGCCGCCCAATAATACCATAATTCATAGTAAGGCCATGCTCCTATTATAAACTCGCTGTAAATTATAATGCCAACTGCATGTAAACATATAACTAATTGAAGTGAGATAACTTTTACTCAAAAAATTGCTTGTATCATAAAACATTGTAATTCCAGTAATAATGAATATCATCTCAATACCAAGGCCAATCAATCCAAGTATGATACATGAAACAATGGAGTTATATGCTGATATGTACGTATCAGAATTGGTGTCATATGTTTTGGTTTGAAAATTAGCCAAGATGTTTTCTTTCTAATAGATGAGGAGTTAGATACAGCTCCATAATAAGCCATTAATGATGTAATGAAATGGCAAGAAACTAGAATAAATTTGCTAGGTATCAATAACCCATTAATAGTCATTAAATTAATTTATAACCAAATATTCAAATCAACTCATGAGCTGTTTCATCTTATATTTATACATCATCATCTTTTTCTATCAAATCTTCATCAAACTTTTAATCTTCTTATTCATTCTATTCTAAATCTATTGGTTAATATTGTTATTATTATTATTGTTGTTATTATTACTATTATCTTGATTATTTTTATTAAATCTATTGGATTAATATCTAATTATAAATGATAATATTTATTACTTCTTATTTTGATTATGGTAATTCATGCATTTCGGTTCTAGCAAAATATTCTTTTACTTTCTCTTGATTATTGTAAACCCAATATAATCCAAATAAAACTCCTCCAATAATTAACCAATCATATATCCAATTCTTATTATTGGGACAAGTGAATCTCATTGAAATATGTTCCACTCCACCTTCACAAATATCTCCTGCTATTTTTCTATATCCACTTGAAACAGTATAATATCCATCGCATTCAGCAGGTGGATCAATATTTAAAGTACCATTTATTGGAATACATTACTAATTATTCATAACAAATCCTAAATCACATTCGTAATCTTCTTATGAGCATTAACAAGGAGTAACACTAATAATTCTTTCCAATTATTCTGGATTATAACAAGCAGCTTCTCTACGTTTTCTCATATAAGTAACCTTTTTACCAAATAAACATTCAGGATTAACAAGACCAGAAGGTGTCCATAATTCATAATCACTTCCAATTTCACCTGCTTTTTCTTATCCAATACAATTTCTCTAATGTAATTCATCTAAATCTATAGTTGCCAATAATCCTTATTCAGTTCTAATGCCATTAGATTCTAATTGAATAGCTCCATAAGCTATAAATCTAGTTCCTTTATTTTAAGGTTCAGTAATAATATTTTAGATTTCTGCTTTCTAATCCAATATATTGAATGGAGTCCATTCCATACCACCATTCCAAGAATATACAATCTAATTAGTTGTTTCTTAATCTTTAGCCATAACAATTAATCCTCCATGATTACTAATTTCATAAATATAAGATCCTTTTTTAATTTCAATCCAAGTCAATCCTCCATCTCTACTTAAATATGTATGAACTTAATCCTATCGATAACTTAAATATTTTCCAATAGAACCTGTTGCTACAATAATACCAATGGAATTAGTTTAAGTGTAAATAGGTGCGAATTAATAAAATGCTTAACTAAGATGCAAATGCAATTAGCACTTATTGCAATTAATTGGTTTTCCATCGGCATCAACAGTGGGAGGCTAATGAAGATAGAAATTTAATCAATACCTTCAAAGGGACCCATTATCCTCCCTTATCGAAAGTAATCCTGGTTTGTTTATATTTCTTTAGATCTTCATCTTTAAATCCATTTTGTTAAGAGTAGAAGCCTTCTTCCATAGATTCAAATACTTAATTTGTATATATCTTAGCTTAATCTTCAGCATAAACATTAGCTAAATAAATGCCTTCCAATCCTTAGACTCTATAAAATTCAGCACTGTTTTCCAACCTTGAAACATTCTCCAAGGATCTAGAATATCTAGTACCAGTAGAATCACTAATATAAATAACTCCTAATGGAGAAGATGGTTTGAGATGATTAACAACCATAAAAACTTAATTTTCTGAAGTGTCTAATATGCTATATGAATGTTCTAATAGTTTAGAATCTGCATCAATTATACTATATTTATATTAACCTAATTCTGTTCCACTCACATATAGACTAACTTCTTATGTTACTTAAGATGTAACTTTAGCAACAAATAAGAAGGATTCTGTAAGCATAAATTTAGAACCTGCAGGGACACTTAAAGTACGAGTTTAGAAAAAATCATCACTATAATATAGATTATAATCCATATTCCAACTGCTAATTGATTAATGTCCTTTACCCTATGGTTCAAATGATGCTAGAATTCGTTCCTTAGGAGTATATTTAGCCATTTCTTTATTTTTGACACCCCAAGTAAATTGATTTACATAAGTTGCTATTTAATGCCATGTAATTCCTGTGTCTTAACTTAAAAGAAGTTCCTTATAAGAAACACAAGGTGTTCCTGCTAGTAATTCATCAGATCCACATTATTTCCATGCTGATGCAATAATCCAATCTTTTTCAAGTGGATGAAATTGATATTCTCGCAACTATTTTCCAGCATTGACAGCTGTTATTGTTTTTCCACAATCAAGAGAAATCCAAGCAATTTGATCTGTTCCTGTAAATAATACTAATTATTTATCTACAGGACTAGGAACAAAATTATTTACAATTCCTACTCTTTCATCTGAATCTTCAAGTTATATAAGAGCCTTGCGATGAAATATCTCAGACATTTTAGTCCATTATCTACCACGATCATCGCTTCTATATACAGATCCTTTAGATGTGAGTGCTAAGACAGTATCACTACACCAATGTATGTTGATCAAGGGGGCATCTATATATGAGATCTAAACATCAATATTGGAAGCAAAGCATTGCATGATCAACAAGAGAATGATGTGTCTCATTAACACGTTTTATTATTTTAATTAATTTGGATTTATTTATATTAACCTCATACTCATAATTATGATTAGCATTATCCAGCACGTTTACAATGGCAAGATGATCCTTTACTTAAGACAATCTTCTTAATATCATCTAAATTGACTTTCTTTTCCTTTAAATCCTCAGCACTTGGCATAACATTCAATCTTAATGCTTCAGATATAATCATTTAAGCCTTTAAAATTAATAAAAATATCATACATTAGGAGTATTCATACTAGCAGAAGCTACAACACGTCCTTTTCTAGCATAATAAGCAACAAATTTTTATTGACTTAAGTCTCCATCCACAATAACTTCATCAAATCCTTATCCAACTCCACTATATGCTAAGGTTCTATCCCATTATCTTGTCCAAAAGAATGGTACATCTGTCAAAGGAGTTGGTCTACCTAAAATATTCAAAGCAGCAACATATCTAAAATTAATCAAATATCTTACCCTTATCTAACAGCTTCATTTTAATGTTCAATTCTAACATGTTCACCAGTAACCCAATATGGATAACTTGATATATCACCTGATGCATAAACATTCTTGGCAGCTTTCAAGAACACATCTGTTTCAATACCACCATTTGGTGATATTTTTAATTAATCTTTAGCAAGTTTATTATTTGGTTGAATTCCTGTTCCTAAAATAACTAAATCTGCTTATAATGATTTTCCATTTAATAAATCAACTCTTTATACTTAACCAACTCCACCAATTCTTTTGACTCCAGCATTCAATTCAAATTCAACTCCATTAGCTTCATGTAATTTTTATAGAGATCCTCCTACTTCTTTACCAAGAACTCTTTCAAATGGAACTGTTGTACTGTCTACAACTATTATATTGNGCTATAATATAGATTATAATCCATATTCCAACTGCTAATTGATTAATGTCCTTTTCCCTATGGTTCAAATGATGCTAGAATTCGTTCCTTAGGAGTATATTTAGCCATTTCTTTATTTTTGACACCCCAAGTAAATTGATTTACATAAGTTGCTATTTAATGCCATGTAATTCCTGTGTCTTAACTTAAAAGAAGTTCCTTATAAGAAACACAAGGTGTTCCTGCTAGTAATTCATCAGATCCACATTATTTCCATGCTGATGCAATAATCCAATCTTTTTCAAGTGGATGAAATTGATATTCTCGCAACTATTTTCCAGCATTGACAGCTGTTATGGTTTTTCCACAATCAAGGGAAATCCAAGCTATTTGATCTGTTCCTGTAAATAACACTAAGGATTTATCAACAGGACTTGGAACCAAATTATTTACAATTCCGACTCTTTCATCCGAATCTTCAAGTTATATGAGAGCCTTGCGATGAAATATCTCAGACATTTTAGTCCATTATCTACCACGATCATCGCTTCTATACACAGATCCTTTAGATGTGAGTGCTAAGACTGTATCACTACACCAATGTATGTTGATCAAGGGGGCATCTATGTATGAGATCTAAACATCAATATTAGAAGCAAAGCATTGTATGATCAACAAGAGAATGATGTGTCTCATTAACACGTTTTATTATTTTAATTAATTTGGATTTATTTATTAACCTCATACTCATAATTATGATTAGCATTATCCAGCACGTTTACAATGGCAAGATGATCCTTTACTTAAGACAATCTTCTTAATATCATCTAAATTGACTTTCTTTTCCTTTAAATCCTCAGCACTTGGCATAACATTCAATCTTAATGCTTCAGATATAATCATTTAAGCCTTTAAAATTAATAAAAATATCATACATTAGGAGTATTCATACTCGCAGAAGCTACAACACGTCCTTTTCTAGCATAATAAGCAACAAATTTTTATTGACTTAAGTCTCCATCCACAATAACTTCATCAAATCCTTATCCAACTCCACTATATGCTAAGGTTCTATCCCATTATCTTGTCCAAAAGAATGGTACATCTGTCAAAGGAGTTGGTCTACCTAAAATATTCAAAGCAGCAACATATCTAAAATTAATCAAATATCTTACCCTTATCTAACAGCTTCATTTTAATGTTCAATTCTAACATGTTCACCAGTAACCCAATATGGATAACTTGATATATCACCTGATGCATAAACATTCTTGGCAGCTTTCAAGAACACATCTGTTTCAATACCACCATTTGGTGATATTTTTAATTAATCTTTAGCAAGTTTATTATTTGGTTGAATTCCTGTTCCTAAAATAACTAAATCTGCTTATAATGATTTTCCATTTAATAAATCAACTCTTTATACTTAACCAACTCCACCAATTCTTTTGACTCCNGCTGATGCAATAATCCAATCTTTTTCAAGTGGATGAAATTGATATTCTCGCAACTATTTTCCAGCATTGACAGCTGTTATGGTTTTTCCACAATCAAGGGAAATCCAAGCTATTTGATCTGTTCCTGTAAATAACACTAAGGATTTATCAACAGGACTTGGAACCAAATTATTTACAATTCCGACTCTTTCATCCGAATCTTCAAGTTATATGAGAGCCTTGCGATGAAATATCTCAGACATTTTAGTCCATTATCTACCACGATCATCGCTTCTATACACAGATCCTTTAGATGTGAGTGCTAAGACTGTATCACTACACCAATGTATGTTGATCAAGGGGGCATCTATGTATGAGATCTAAACATCAATATTAGAAGCAAAGCATTGTATGATCAACAAGAGAATGATGTGTCTCATTAACACGTTTTATTATTTTAATTAATTTGGATTTATTTATTAACCTCATACTCATAATTATGATTAGCATTATCCAGCACGTTTACAATGGCAAGATGATCCTTTACTTAAGACAATCTTCTTAATATCATCTAAATTGACTTTCTTTTCCTTTAAATCCTCAGCACTTGGCATAACATTCAATCTTAATGCTTCAGATATAATCATTTAAGCCTTTAAAATTAATAAAAATATCATACATTAGGAGTATTCATACTAGCAGAAGCTACAACACGTCCTTTTCTAGCATAATAAGCAACAAATTTTTATTGACTTAAGTCTCCATCCACAATAACTTCATCAAATCCTTATCCAACTCCACTATATGCTAAGGTTCTATCCCATTATCTTGTCCAAAAGAATGGTACATCTGTCAAAGGAGTTGGTCTACCTAAAATATTCAAAGCAGCAACATATCTAAAATTAATCAAATATCTTACCCTTATCTAACAGCTTCATTTTAATGTTCAATTCTAACATGTTCACCAGTAACCCAATATGGATAACTTGATATATCACCTGATGCATAAACATTCTTGGCAGCTTTCAAGAACACATCTGTTTCAATACCACCATTTGGTGATATTTTTAATTAATCTTTAGCAAGTTTATTATTTGGTTGAATTCCTGTTCCTAAAATAACTAAATCTGCTTATAATGATTTTCCATTTAATAAATCAACTCTTTATACTTAACCAACTCCACCAATTCTTTTGACTCCAGCATTCAATTCAAATTCAACTCCATTAGCTTCATGTAATTTTTATAGAGATCCTCCTACTTCTTTACCAAGAACTCTTTCAAATGGAACTGTTGTACTGTCTACAACTATTATATTGACTTAATCTTTTAATTCTTTTTTAATAGCTGAAGCTGTCTCCATTCCAATAAATGAAGCACCTACAACTACTATATTTTTTGCTGTTTTTGCTTTATCTCTTATTGATTATAAATCATTGAATTATCTTAAAGTGTGTACATTTCCTAAATTGACTCCATCTAATTGAGGTCTACGAGCAGTACCACCTGTTGCCAATAATAATTTATCATAATGAATTTTCTCTTATCCAACAACAACATCTTAATTATTAATATCAATAGAGTCAACTGTAGTATTAGTCATTACATCTATTCCATACTATTCATAAAATGACTAAGGTCTAATTTACAAACCCTATTATTTAACCATAAATGTCATTTTGCTCATTGGAGTTCTATCATAAGGTAATGAATCCTCAGCTGTAATAATAGTTATTCTTCCTCTAAATCCAGCCTAACGAAGTGTCTCAGCTGCACTCTAACCGGATACTCTTATATATTTAATCAATAATTATACCCTCCACCAACAATCACTACATGTGTTGGATCATCACCTTTTGTTACCATATTTAATGTTCTTGGAGCATTTAATAATTATTTTTCTACTCTTATAACTAATTATCCATTTTCTTATTTGACAGGGAATGTTTATAATCCTCTAAACATTGGTCCTTCTTCATGAACACCATCTTTAACTGAAAAACTGGCATTATGAAATGGACATTTGACTTTATCACCAACTAAAAATCCTGCAGAAAGTGGAGCTCCTACATGTGGACATGAATTAGAAACACAATAGATCTGTCCATCAACTTTGCATACTAAAACAGCATCTTCTTTTTTTGGACCAACTTATACTTCTCTCATTTCACCTTCATTTAAATTATCTTCTATTGAAACTTCATAGGCATCATTAAGATTTAGTGTCTAATCTATTTTTGATCTCATACTTAAAAGCCATATCTTATTAGTGGAAGAGAGATTAAAGTAGCTGCTAAACGTTATGTACGTTTGGGAACTACTAATGGAGTACGTCTAAGACTTATTGCAATAGCTGAGGATAATATCTTTCTCATAAAAATTTAATTAAAATTGTGTAAACTTAGTATATAATATAAAACGACTCATGATTATGCTAAACTATACAACTAGATATTGCAATCGTTCTTATTTCCACTACTCAATATATCAATCTTATCAGTGATACTATCTCTAATAGCCAATACTCCACCAAATGGATGACAATCGTGTAAAGATTTCAGTTGGGTTGTGATCATAGGTTATGGACTAATGACTTAATTATAATTAAATACTTATCATTCAATAGAGTTTTGCCATTGAATACTTTGAAAGTGCCATCAAAACTTACAGTTCCAATGAAGCAGTTTTTAATACATTCATATTCATTTTATGTTTGCTTCTTTCTTCTTGGTGATCCACATAATGGAATTGATGTTTAGAGTTATGTCTTCTATTATGGAGTCTATTCCTCTTCTATTTAAAAGTTGATTATTCTGAAACACCACCCAGCATAATTTTTAACTTGTTTTATTAATGTTCCATCCATAAAATCCCAAACCTTAAGTTCACCTGAAGCACTACTACTATAAAGAATACTTCCTCCACCATAAGCTAAACTAGTAACCTCTGTTGGATGAGCATCAGACAAACTCATCGACAATTATAATTTTTCAAAAACATTATTTGTGTATGTCTATTTATATACTTTAATGTTTCTATCCTTTCCACCAGATGCAACATATTAATCTCCAAGTAATGTCATACATGTAATAGAATCTCTATGTTCAAAGTATTTTTTTTATTAATCATTCTAAGTATTCCATTATAATAATCTATTATCACCTTATGCACAACTAAATATAGTAGTGGCATCTTCTAAACAAACAATAGAATTGATTTAACCATTATGAATTCTATCAATTTACTTAAGTACTTCGAATCCTTAATTCAAAATACAAATATCTTTGAATAATCCAACAATCAAAAAAGATGAACCATCCTTTCTTATCTAAACAGCCAATGATGTAACATCACTCTTAAATTATATTTCCTTAAATAATTCATAAACCCTGTATCTATATATTTTGACTGTTCTATCATTTGAACCTGTAGCAATAAAATCATCATCAAATTGTACCATACAATTAATACCTTATTTATGAGTAGTCTTGATTGTTTTCACAAATGATATTGATGTTATTGGATCAGATATGATTAATTAAGTAGTTTATCTCAATCTATGTTTTAATTACATTTCTTTTATTTCATCTTCATCTTCTTCTAATTTAGTTAATTATTTTAATGTTTTAGTGCTTTATTCTTTAATTATAGTTTCCAAGTATTTTGTACCTTTAGGAGATGCCAATTATTGCTTTAAACTTATATTTTCTTTGTTCATTTTAATCATTTAACTCTTGTAGCCTGGAGACATAAAATCTACTTATGTCAAAGAATGATAACATTTATCTATTAACTCTTACATTCCATTATATGTTTATTAAGCTAATCCTTAATTTTTATAACAAGGTCTACTGTTAAGCAATACTTTATAATCATTAACTAAATCATTTAATACTTAATTATCACTCTATTTCAATGCCATATTACTGAATAATGAATATCCTGATTTTTGAGACTCTCCTTCTTCAACATTTAAATTTTACTATTATAATGCTCTTTAAAACTGACCATTTGCCTTACTAACCAATGGTATTATATTCTACATTAATTTTCTAAGATTAAATTAATTTTAATCACTTTTCTTATTAGAAGTTTACTGATCTTATAATTTACTTACTTCACTTAAGAAATTATCATAATCATTATTGTAATCCTTATTTTTCTCTAAATAATAATCAGATACTAATTTTTCTAATATAGTTCCCATATCCATAAGATCTTATAAATAATTTTTATATGGAGCCATAAATTCAGCTTTAACTTTATTAATCATTTCTGTAAATTTAGCTACTAATCCATCAAAATCATTATTAATCAATTATTCTTAGTTTTTAATATATGTTTTAAAGCTAGCTTAATGAGCTTAGGTAGAAAGTACTATTTAATTTAATTCTTTTTATGGCTCGTCTCCCAATCTACCTGATACACTTTACCTTCTACAAAGAATCATTAAGTCATTCCATCCAATTATATGTTCTTTATGCTTAGCCAAATGTTGTTAATGCTAAGTTTCAAAAAGACATTCAGAACAAAATGAAATTGATTAAGTACAAGTTGTACATAAACAAACATGAGAGATGTTAAAAGAAGGATGTTATGGACAAGGAAGGCTTCCTTAGCTAGCTTAATTAATTTGTGTTTTTGTTCTTAAAGTAGCAAAACTTGATCTTGTTTTATTCATATTTTCCGTTAATAAATAAATAATTAACTTTTAAGATTAATTTCTGAATGGTTTTATTAAACATTCATGATTAAAATACAAGTACTTGGGAGGATGGTAATAAATAATCAAAATTTATTTTCTATGCATTTCATATACTTTGATCAAAAATTTAACTCAATTATTAATCAGAGACTTATTATATATAATAAATTTTACATTATTATTATTAATTATGGGTTATTTTGATTTAATTAATCAACCACTTAATGAATTTGGAGAGGAATTAACAAGTAAATTTATTGATCCAGCTAAGGACTTAAGACAGACATTGTGACCAACTTAAAGCCTGAGTCAAGATTTAATGTTTTGGTTGGACTATCAGTTGTTAATTTGGCTATTGGTGTAGCAGTCAAAGGAATTAAATCAAGACCCCTTTAAACTGGTTTCATCAGTTTCTTTGGATTTGGTTTAATTATATATCCAGAGCTATACTTTGGATTGATCAGATAAAAAAAGGTGTAGCAATAAATAACACATCATTTTATTAAGAGAGATTGAATTATTATAAAATACAAAATATGATCTTCAAGTTTTTCTTCTTTTGAATTTCTCATGGTATTTCATTTATTTTACCTTATTTAATAAATCTACCTTAGAAGTTACTCTTCTTCTACTCCATGACTTTTTAATTTTATTTGGAATTATTAATTTTACTTATTCATCAGCTATCAGTTCCACAGACAAATCAGAAAAAGCATAATCTTTTTTGAGTGGACTTAAGCTGTTTTCATTCAAACTACTATTAACTCTTCTTGTAGTATCATTTTTTTCACTCTTATTTATGTAAATCCAATCTTACGTTTTAAATTAACCTACAATTCGTAAAGGACGAGAAGATTATTGATCAGAATAAGAGGAAATCGAGCTCACAGAATCCTGAACTTATTTAGGATGTTCAAAAATTGCTCTTTTTATTGAATTGCAATCACTTTCTAAACCACAATTATTTTACTTTTGTTAAGATCCGATTGATAAACCTGTACACGCACTACCCATATAATTAAATTAATATCATAATTTGATCTGATTTTATTGTGAATTTAATTTTTCTTAAGAATTATGAAATAATGTAAGTAGAATAAGATTAAATATGAAAACATCTTTTATATTTCCTACTATTAAAACATATCTAATTTCAAGATTGCTAATAAAATTTCCATAATTAGATTTTTTGTTAAAATTAATGAATTAGATTTATTAAATGTATTTAACCTCTAATTTATAGAAAAAAATATAATTTCAATGAATAAGCCTTTTCAATTAAATTCGTCAATTACCATTAAATTGATCAAGAAAATACAGTAATTTATATGCCAATAATATTAATCTTCAATTAGGTATTTTAAACACTATTTAGTTCTAAAACGAATCAAATTAATTTTAAAATATTGAAAGTAATAATTTTAATTAAAAAAAAAGAAATTTATTTACATTTCCCACTAAAAAATTTAATAAAATAAAATCAATCGATAAGATTGTGAGCTAGCTTAAATTATTATTATTCATATTAGTGTTGCTCTTAGAGCTTTTGAATTCTTTATTGAGCTTTCTATCTTTCTAAACTCTATAATTTTTCTAATTTAGCTCTGTTTTCAGATTTACAATTTCTCAATTTATCATCTCTTCTATTTTCATTTGCTTATTCCTCCATAAATACTCTCATAATCTCTTAGTTTTATCTTTAAATAATTTAATTAAGTTCAAATAACACTTCTGGACTTGGTGGTTCAGCTGGTTTTGATTTGATTATATCTTGTTTTTTAGCTCTTTTTGGAGATTTTTTTTATGCTTATTTATATTAATAATTATTTACATTATTGTTATTATGGTTATTATTATAATAATTATGCTGATTCAACAGATTTTGTATTCGCATGATTATTCAATGTTTCTTATAATTATGGGGAAGATGAATTAATTTCAGGAAGTTTATCTTAACCTTTAGATGATCTTATAGTACTAAAAGGTTTAGTTAATGTCATTAATTTTTTATTATTTTTATTTATGGATTAAGATTGGGATTTTCTAGCAAAATTCTATTCTTCTTGAGTTGATTATTTTAAATCAGTTGTTGTAATGCCAAATTATTTTTAGATTTCTGAAGGAGGTATCTTTCCTTCTCTAATTTTCTCTAATTTCAATAAGAGATCTCTTTTTTGTTTATCAATTTCTCTTCTCATATTTTATCTTTATATTAACAATTATTCTAAATCTTCTTATATTTTATCAGCTCTTTCCATTTTTTCATTTAATTTTTCTTATAATTTCATTCTATCATATTCTTGTTTTTTCATAATTCTTTCAACATTATCTCTTTTGTCTATTCTTTTTAAAGTATCTTAATTTCTTTTATCAGTAATTTAAATAGATCTTTCAAATTATATTTTTTATAGATTATCATCTTTTTCTTAAAATTTTTTCAAAAAATCTTCAATTCTTTCTTTTTATCTTTGCTCATTTTATAATAATACTTAATGTCTTTATTATTCTTTTTCATGTTCTTCTTATCTCTTCTTTTCTTTTTCTTTTTCTTATTCTTTTTCTAATTACTTTCTTCTCTCTTCAGCTTCATCTATTTTTTTTAAATACTCTTTTTTTTTCTCTAATTCCATTTATTCATTTTATTCAATAACTTTCCTTATAATTTCTGCATGTTATTCAGCTTCAATTTTTTATTATTCTAATTTTTTTCTCTTTTCTTCTTCAAATTATAATCTTTTTTATTCACTAATTTATAATTTTTTTTCAACATCTTCTTTAACTCTTAGAACTTCTTATTCATTTCTTTCTTTTGCTTATTTAATTCTTTCTTCATTTTCTATTCTTGCCTTTTCAGCCTCTTGCTTTTTCTTTTCTTTTTATTCTTCCATCATTTTTTTTCTTTATTCAGCCTTCTCATCCATCTCTATTTTTCTTTTTTCTAATGCTTCCAATTATAATCTAATATTTTCTTCATTTAATTTTCTTAATTTTTCTTACTATGCCTTCTTTTCCTCCTCTTTCTTTTTGTTTTCTTCTTCTCTTAATCTCTGTTTTAATTCCTCTTATTTAATACGTTCTTGTTCTTTAGATTCAAGCAATTTCATTCTTTCCTTCAATGCTTATTCTTCTTGTTCTTTTTTTTATTACTTCTGCAACTCTTTTTGTCTCTTTATTTCTTCTTATTAAGCTCTTTTCCTTTCCAATTCTAATTCTCTCTATTTCTACTTAGTCCTCTCATCTTACATCTTCTTTTCATTTTATTCCTTAATCTCTTATAATTTTAATTCGAACTCCAGCATATTTTCAATCTCTTTTTGTTATTTCTTTTTGATCTTTTCAATTTATTGCCTCTCTTTCTCAATTAAAGATGAAGCATCTTATTAAGAATATTTAGAAATCATTTTACTCTTCCCTAATCCATCGGGACTCCACAAACCTAAATATAATTGTTACACTATTTTACCAGTCTTTTCATCTTCTAAAACTATATGTCTTTATTTAATAAGATCTCTGTATTTTTCTTCCCTCTTCTCTTCAAAATGTTTATAATAAGTCTCTATTCCTTTAGCATCCAAATTGGATAGTCTATACTTTTTCTGATATTCTTCGAATGAAACTTTAACGATTTCACCAGGACTTATTCCTTCCCTTCTACAAGCCTCTAAAGATCTAGGTGTGTTAACTTCAGGAGCATTGGGTTAATGAAAACCGAAATCTTAAAGGGACACTTTCATTAAAATAATTATTAAAATATAAGTCATATACCAGTCTCATCTTCTCTCTTTGTCAAAACCTCATATCCATTTTCAGTTATTAAAATCATATGTTCCCATTAAGCTAACATTATAAATACTTAACAATACCACTAGGATTATCTGGAGATACAACAGTAAAATTATCTTTCCACATTAAATATTAATCATGACGCATCAAAAGAATAGGTTCTATTGTAAATACATTTCCTGGAACCATTACACCTGGATAATCATTTACTATATATATATATTAAATATTAATTACAATTGTGAATAATTGTTGGAGGCATATGCATCAATTCACCAATTCCATGTCCTGTAAATAATTCACAAACAGTAAATCCTTCATCACCAGCAACTTCTTCAATGATATCTCCAATTTTACTAAATTTCTATCCTGGCTTACAAATTTTAATCGCTTCATAAAGAGCCTATTCTATTTGTGGAAATAATTTATAACTTTTTGAGTTGTATCTATTAATTTAGTAATTTCTGGATTCATTTCAGGAACCTATGCCATAACACTAGTATCTCCATGCACTCCATCATAAAATATTGTCACATCAATATTTAAGGAATCTCCACCATCTAAAGGTCTAAGATTTGGAATTCCATGACAACACACTTCATTCACAGAAGTACAAACACTCTTAGGAAAACCCATAAATCCAATTGGTGAAGGATATGCATTTTGTGAAATAATGAATTCATGAACTATCTTATCTAAATCATCTGTTGTCATTCCCTATCTGACAGATTTTTAAGCCACATAAGCAGTTGTTGCAGCTATTTATGCTGCTTTTCTTAATTCTTATTATATATCATGTTTTTACTTTAGATCATATCTTAACTATGAACTACAGGTGCTCCTTCATATATCCCATAGACAGGCTTTGCATCACCTATTATACTAAATTGTTCTCATACTTATATAACTTGGTCTTGGAATATGTGAAGGTACTGCTCTTGCAGGAACTACACCATATTGACCCTAATTAAAATTTATAATAGATACCTCAATGATTGGTTTACTAAAGTATTTTATATGGCTTCTTTTTCTTTATTTCATCCTTCCGATTTGACTAAATTGGTATTGTTTGCTAATTCTCAACAACATGAATTTAATTTATATAATTTTTAATTGCAATTCCATGATTTTTTGACAATTTATGCTTAATCTTTCAAATTAGAAACACTTGAATAGTATTAATAAATTTATTCATTAGATAATGATTTGATATAGAATATAGTGAATAAAATAACAAAAAGAGAAGAATTAATCAATATTGATATGTAAATGAAGGGAAAATAATAGAAGATGGTTTGGACAAAACTGAATTGTAAAGAGATTGTATTACCTTGGAAAAAGTAAAAAATAATTCTATTTTTATACTTGATTCAAATGAATTAATATTAAATCAACAATAGGGTATCATACAACCATTTAGTAAAATTTGAATAGATTATTGCAATTTATTGTTTAAATGTTCAACATTTATATAATATATAATAGATTTGAGTTATGTGAATATCAAATAGAATGTTTAGTGGACTAATTTTTTTTGGAGTCTTGGTTTTAGGTAACTTATTATTATTTTCTTGTTTATTTTATTAATGGAATTTATAGATTGTATAAATTAAGATATGTGAAATGTTTTAATGAGTAGAAAGGTGTTTATTAAAAAAATAGTTTTGATATAAATAATAATAATGTATCAGCTTACAAAATAATTGGTTGATTTTCGTAGGAATCAATTTCTAAACTAAGGGCTTTAGACAGAATTCACCATTCAATCTGAAAATGCGTATTGATTTTATTTGAATGTATAGAAATAAATTAGTGAGTGTGGGATCACAATTAAAAAATCTAAACAATATTGAGAAACAACGTTATTTAAGACCTGATTCATCTTATGATGAGAGTTCAGGGGAATCTAGTGTTATGTGTGAATAGATTCGTTAAAAACGATTAAGTGTAGAAGATGTTATCTCAATGGTAATTGATTCAGAATGCAATTAAGCCATTAAACTGGAGCCTAAACCCTTTTAGAAAAAGTAATAAAGAAAACAATAATTAGTAATCGAGTAGATCAAGAGTGGGAGTCAGAAAAAACAATAATAATTATGGATGTCGATGAGGAAGCCATAGACAATCTAGACTTAAATGAATTTTTTGATGAATAGTATACAATTTTATGAATTGCGGTTTAAGGATAAGCACTTCATATAGTTTAAACGAGTTTAGCTTGGCAGCTATGCAGGCAAGCTATCAATTATTATACGTATGAAGGAAGACAAAGGAGCTTAATATGTGTATTACAATCTAGTGACTTCATCTCATAAATACAGGAAGGCATTTGGTGATAATATAGAAGTAATCATTTAACTTATTATTAACTAGTTTGCTTAACTAAAATATATTGATAAATAGGTGAATAAAAATTAGATTACTGTTGTCATGAGATTCTTGCCGGCAAATTTTAATAGTGAAAAGTTGGAAGCCTTATAAAACATTAGAATTGAGGAACTATTTACATGTATTAATTAATTTAATTTGTCCAGATTAGGGATTGAAGTATGGTATTTTTAAGACTTCTGATTATGAGATTGCTGGAAACATAAAGAAGAAAATATTAAGGTATTAATGGGATTTATATAAAAATAAGTTATTTCTAAAACAAAAAATATAATGATATTCACATTACAATAAAGGCTAAAAAGAAATCTACAAAAGAGAAGGTCAAAGTATTTTTGGAAGAAGAATCATAAAATCCAAGATCTTAATTAGAATAAAAGATTGGAATACCTTTAAGTCCAATAAAAGTACCTCCACTTGTAGTAAAAGAAATTGAACAACCAAAAATCAAACCTACAGTTTTGTAACCCACAATTTGTGCTATGTAATTATTAGTTTAGATTTTTAGATAAATTACTGTTCCATAAGTACAAGGAAATTAAATAAAGCCAGTTGAAATTAAACCTACAATTATAGAATAAAGTGAGTAGAAAGTTATAGTAAGGGCTGTTTAATTAAAACCAGTCACATTAACAGTAGATAGAGAAAGAAGCTCAAGGAAAAAATGACTTAATAATAATAATAATAATAATAATAATAATAATCAATATTAATATAAGATCAATAAATATTTAAAATATTTTTTATAAATATCAGTGTGTTCCAATTTAACTTGCATCGAATTTATATTTCTTCAAAACTGGATCAATATTACCCCATATAGTTAATGATGGTTATTTACCTAAGATCCAATTTTTAACACAATTTTAAATATCTAATTCTGTCACATTAGCTAAATTTTATGCTATTTCTTATCTATAAACTCTTCTATCAAAATAAAGAAGTTAATTTGCTATAGCTTATGAGATATCATTTCCTGTTTCATGTTAACATAATTCAATGAATAATCTTCGCTTTGATCTTTATAATTCTTCAGATGATACTTTCTCTCCATATTCTTCAAATATTTTCTTAGAAACCTCAATACAAGAATCCAATTAATTAGGATTTACTACAAAATAATTACCAAATAAAGCTGTATCTTTATAAGGAGTATATACTGCCTTTTAAGTAGTAATTTCTGGATAATCTAATAATAATTTTTAAAATGAATTTAGAGTTGATTACTCAAATATGGCTGCTTCTAAAAAGTTTGATGGTTTATCTCCTAAAAGTCTTTATAAAATTAAAAAGTGATAATAATGAGGATCTGTCCATTCTGGTCCTTAATAAAATAAACCTACATTAATATCTTCTGTCAATTCACTTTACATTAAAAATACTTCATTTTAAAAATTGACTGGTACTTCTTTTTTGAGTTATTACTTTTTCTTATGAACTTTACTAAAATATTTAGTAACATATTCACATAATTGTTCTTATTATATATTACCAACCCCACAAATAATTAAATTTTCACCATAATAATTATTTTAATGATATTCACTGATCATATCTCTTGTAATTGAATACATATTTTATATTTTTCCTAAGATTGGTAATGACATTTAATGATTTTTATAAGCCTTTTAATTAATATTAAATCATTACTGAACGATGAGATATTTCAATCAAAGTTTCAAACTACATTTTTCTAGTTTCAAATAATTCTCTATAAATAGTATGTCTTTCTCTTTCTACATCAGATTTTGCATAAATTGAATTAGTAAGCATATCTCCTAAGATTTCAACAGCATTTTCAGCTTTATTTTTTTATGCATTTATTGTATAAGATGTATTTTCTCTTGAAGTATATGCATTCAATTATCCACCAAAATTTTCTACATCACATTCCAATCTATCTCTACTTCTTTTACCAGTTCCCTTAAATATATATTGAATAAATAAACTACCTTAAAATGTAAATGCTCTAAAAAATGAGCAGTTCCACTTGTTGCCTCTGTTTCATTTCTACTTCCACATTTGATATATATTGTAATACTTTAATCTTAATAATTATAATTACTGTGCTAAATCAGATGGCCAAAATTCTGTGCAAACTCTAATTCCATTAGACAGAATTGTGTCTCCAAATTCTCTATCTACACTTACATTTTATGGAATTTCTTAATGTCTAAATTATTTCAGATTATAAAGTGTACTAAAACCCTTTTATAAAACTTTCCTAATAATCATAATTATATTTAATTTAATTATTTTTGTAATTAGTTTTAATTAGAGACTTACTTAAATCCAAAGTTTTTGTTTTAGTAATACTTTTAATATTATATTTAATTATATTCAAATTATTTATTATGATTTATATATCAATTATTTTTATTAAATTAAATGTATAATGATGATTAACCCTCGATACTTTAATTAGAAAATAATGTTTAGGATCAAGAAGTATGCAAAATTTCAATTACTATAGTTAAGTTTATGGATTAGAGATTGCTTTATATAGTAATTTGATATTGAAAAAATCTTATATAGATTGGATAATGATAAAAATATAAAAAAGTAACTCAAATATTTGAATCCAACTCATCAATTATTTGATTATTACTATTATTTAATTTAAACTATGAGTGAATTTGTCAATATAAATTAAAATATAAAGAAATACTTAGAATATATTGCATAATCTTAAAGCTTTTAAAATTAAATTTCTGAAAGATGCCATTTAATAATAACCTAAGCAGAATCAATTGATAATTTAGAGTATTAAATTGAATAACTCTTTTAAATATTTTTCCTTCTTAAAGATATTGATATGAATATCTTAAAGTAATCTAATATTTCTTAAATATTTACTTTATAAAAGATTATTGAAATTAATTTCCCTGAATGTAATTACAATGCATTATATAAAAATTTTGATTAATTTTTATGTTTATTGTAGGATAGTGCTGAAATGTAAAAATATAATAATATTCCATCCTATCCATAACCTTTAGAATTTATATAATTTGGAGGTGAAAACAAATAAATGTTTGGGAAAACTAAAAATCATATTGAAAGCACACAAAACTACTTAAATTATCTATTTAATTTTTAAAGAGAAGACTACATTTATAATATAAGGGAAGATATTCATTATTTATCTGAAAAAGGATTTTATAAACCTATTGACGTTGATACCATTGATTTATATCAAGATATCAGATTAATATCATTTGAGATTAATAATTTTGATATTTTATGGAAAATATCTTTAGAGTAATTTAATTTAGATGGAAGAAAAATTAAATTAATTGACTGGAATTATTCAAAGAAATTACATTTAGGGTCTTTGATATGTATCACCAATGTTGAATGTCATCCATTACTTTTTGGTATAATAACTCATAGAAGTTAAAAATAAGATGATTACAACATAAAATAAAGAATTAATTTATAATTTCGATTTTTGGGGTCTAAATCTTAAATAATGGAGTTCTTAAATTTATTATCTTAATAAACAATTTTCATGGAATGTAAAACATCTACATAAGCAGAATCTTTAATTTATTAATTAGAATCAATTAAAAAAATATAAAGTTTGAATTACATAGATTCTTTCATATAAAAGAATTTATTCTTTAAAAATTCTTCATAAAATTTTGATACCTTCTTATAGTAATAATAGTGGTCTTAATTAATGTCAACTTTAGATGAATAATAATAGAAAGCTATTTAATATATTGTTTATGAAAACTTGGCATTAATTTAAGGACTACCAGGCACTGGGAAAACTCACTGCGCAATTTTGGCTGTTAGAATATTAATTAAGAATATGTTGGAAAAAGATAAGCCTATTATGATAGTTTGCTAGAATAATCATACATTAGATTATTTTTTAGAGAAAATAATTGAATATATTCCAATAAACTAAGTTGCTCGCCTAGGAGGGAGTTCTGAATCTGCTATTGTCTAAAAATGCTTATTTAAAACTAAATCAAAAATTGATTTTGATTAAGTTGAATTTTAAGAACTTAAAAAATGTTTACACATAATTTTTAATAGATTAATTTAATATGATTATACTATTGATGCTCAATATATTACTAGATTCTGGCCTTAATTAAAGGATAAACTTATAAATGATTTTCTACTTAAAATAGATTTGAATAATTCATAAATTGATGATGTGGCTTAAAATTAAATCTTAAATTCTTGGATTAATGTAAAATAACTAATTGATTCAATTCTTTAATTTGAAACTCAATTATTTTAAGTGCATTAGAATTTTCAAAAAGAATAAATTATTGAATAAATTGAATTAAATAATATTTTTGGATAGCAGACAAAATAATCTTTTAATCAATAAGATTAAGATCAATAAACCTTAAATTTTTCATTACAAAATGAGTCACCTACTTCTCCTTTTGAATAGTTTAATAGTCAAAACTAAAATGAATCTAATTTACACTATAACTTCAAAGGAATAGAAAAGATATAGGAATGTTTATAAGACAAAACATTAAATTTTTGGGAACTTAATTATAATGATATTTGTGAGATAATTAAATATTTAAAATATCTTAAATATTAGGAAGATTGTCTTTTATTTGAAAAAATATATAGAAAATTTAAAAAAATGTCCTAAACTTTAAATGATCTTAATGATAGTTTTCATATTAAGAAACTTAATGAATATGAAATTATTGGAGTAACTTTTTCTGATGCAGCGTATTATAATAATATATTAACATAATTAAATTCAAAGGTATTGATTATTGAAGAAGCTGACGAGGTTTTAAAATCAGATATCACAACTATTTTGACAAATAATGTTAAACGTCTCATATTAATAGGAAATGAAGTCAATTTAGCAAATTCATTCAATAGTTATCATTAAAAAAATATTGACTTATTCAGAAGATTAAACCCAAATACTATTTTCAGAGAAAATAAAATCCCATAAGTCATTTTATCTACTTAAAGGAGAATGGAAGCAAGAATTAATGATTTTGTAAGTATGTTCGACACAAAAAATTATTTGGATGATTAGATTTTAATATAAATAAGTAACAAAAAAGAAATTATTGGTTTAAATTCTAATATTTTCATATTTAATCATTATTAATTAGAACAAATAGATTCAAAATCAAAAGAGAATGCTGAAGAAGCTGAAATGATTTTTTAAATGGTTTAATATCTTATTTAAGTTGGATATAAGGAGTCATAAATTACTATATTATCTATATTTTAAAAGCAAGTTCAAGGATTAAAGAAAAAATTTATGAATTAAAATTAATAATAAGTTAAGGTAGAGACAGTTAATAACTATTTAGGAGAAGAAAATGATATTGTAATAATTTCATTGGTTATAAATGATAATCATCATTTATACCAAAAAAAAAAAAATTAACAAAAAATAAAAATTGCATTTTCAAGAGCAAAATTAGGTCTCTATGTATTTGGTAATTTTGATTTTTTATAAATAAATTCTGATAAACCACAAATTTTATATGAATTAATTAAAGATTTCAAAAGACTTACTTTTTTGGAGAAATTAATAACTTTAGCAGAAATTAAAAATTTTTATTCTGATACTATCACTTTAAAATGTAGGACTCATGGTAAATAAAGTTATGTATAAAAATCAAGTGATTGGTTCAAATTTAAAGCAGGTTGTTGTGATTAGGTATGTAATTAAAATTTTGATAAATGCAATCATACTTGCTAAGAAATTTGTCATTTAGGAAATCATCCTGAAAATAATTGCCAAGAATAATGTTAAAGAATACTTTAATGTGGACATAAATGTTAATAATTGTGTAGAGTTTAATGTACCTGCACTTAAATGATTTATGTAACATTACCTGTTTGTAATCATAGAGCTCTAATTAATTGTGGATAAGATCCTGCAGAAGTGCTCTGCTTATAAGATTAAGAATTATAATTTCTTAATTGTAAACACCTAATTCATTATTAATGTTATTAAAGAGAAGATTTTTTATATAAATGTCAACATGCTTGTGACAATCTTCTCCAATGTGGTCATTTATGTTCTAAAAAATGTTGGGAAATTTGTTAACCTTGTGAATAAAAATGTGTAAAACGAAGGAATTGTGGACATTTAGATGAATGTTAAAATTTATGTTATTAATCATGTTCTCCATGTAATTAGAAGATTACTATTTAACTTGATTGTGGAAAACATAGTATTTAAAATAAATGTTTTCAAATTCAAAATCATATTTTAAAAGAGATATAAGCCCCTCCCTTTTTCCTAAAGTCTAAAATTGGTAGTCATTACTTAATTTAGATAATGTAAATGTTAAAAAATGGGTAAAAAGAGCCAAATTTTATATTTAAATAAGTAGAAGATTATAAATGCAAAAATCCTTGTACAAAACCTAGAAAGTGTGGCCATATTTTTGAATGCAAGAATTTTTGCTCTTAAGAATGTACACAATGTGAGCAAGTGATTACTCTCTCTTTAGAATGTGGTCATAAATATTAGTTGTTGTGCAAAGACTAAAATAATCTCTTATAAAATTAGTTATCTAAAAATGAGTAAAAAATATTAAGTTAATGTCAACATCAAAAAAATTAGTTAAGTTTTGAAACCTATTAGTCATGTAGCTAAATAATTAGGAACTAAATAGGTTATAAGATTAAATGCTAATAAGTGTGTAATAGACAAAGATAATGTGGTCATATAGATCCTTGTATTAATAAATGTGGCTAGAAATGCTCTCCTTGTTAATATATAATTACAAAAACCTTAGATTGTAGACATGAATTATAGATTGAATGTTCCTCTGAGAATTTATAATGTAATAGACCATGTACTAAAATAAGGGAATGCTTGCATTATTATCCATGTTCTAATTATTGTAGTTAACCTTGTAGTCCTTGTTAAGTGGAAATATTAATAAACTTACCTTGTGGGCACTAAAAGCTTGTAAAATGTTATAATAAAGAAAATGAACAACAAAGATTAGTAGAGAATGAATAAAATTGTGAATATTGTCAGAATTATTTTTGATTGTAGAAATATATATGTGTGATTTTTATTTAACTATTTTAAAATTATATCAATTCAATTTGAAAGGATGAATTATTTTGAATTTTATGTATTAATGTTGATTTTAATTTCTTATTTAATAGTGTTAATCATTTAGATAACTTTTAGATTGTTAAATGTTTATGAAGCTAAATAGTTATTTACAATTAATTATTATAGTGTTAATTTGATTTGAGTTTCTTATTTTGTGATGAAAATTAAATAAATAAATAATTTGCATCAATAGTTGTATACTAATGATAGCTACTGAAATTTTATCTGATAAGGTATTAAATATGTTAATATCATCTTAGCCAGAAGACTAATATTAAAGACTAGAGAAAGCTGTAAATTTAATTAATGTATAATATATTAGATGATTGAATTGTTCAAATATGATAATTTATTAAATAATGAGTATTTAGTCAGAAAATTTGAGACTGATATTATGAAGCCTGAGTGGTATTTACTACAATATGTTGTGGTATAGAGAGAAAATTCGATAAAAAGCTAATATGTTTAAAACGAATTAAACACTCGTAAAAAATATCATTTAATTTTAACTGATGTATAGAATATACTTATAATTTTAGATTCTAAACAAATACAACAAATAATTATGGAATTATGATCATCAAATGTTAATCATACGTCCTTATTTTCCAACAGAGAGAAAGAGAATATAAATAAAAATACCAGCTATTTAAGTATCAATAATTAAAGGTACATTATAAAAATCTGGCTTTGTAAAAGAAGAATTAGTATTTGAAGAAGAAATTTATTAAGCTGACAAAAGTTATGTTAAATTAATATTAACATCTTAAACTGAAGGTTATGCAATTGAAATATTTGATTTTCTTATGTCTAAAAAAGCAGAACTTCAAATTGATTCTGTAATTATGTAAAATGTTGATTATTTGGATGAATTTCATAAATAAATTAATTCAAAAAAATGTTAAATGATGACTAAAAAAATAGAATAATAAGAATATGATCCATAAGAATATAAAAGAAATGATTAACATGAAGAATAAGAAAAAGATCATCATTATTAAAAATCTAGAGGAAGAGGAAATAGAGGAAGAGGAAATTATGGATATTATAGAAATGATAAAGATGATGATAGACATGAAGAGAAATATTAGAATAAAGATAAAGGAGATAGATAAGATAGATAAGATAAAAATGAAAGACATGATAGAAATGATAGAGGAGGAAGAACTTATGATAGAAGAGGAGGATAAAGAGATAGAGGAAATAATGTAATTGTTTCAATTTTATTATTTTAGTAATATGTATAAAAAAGTGATGCTCATCATTAATAATAATAATAAGAACAGTAACAATAACATTATCAATTGATTCCTAAAGCAGTATTATAGAAGACTCCAAAATAAAACATTAAGCCAAACACATTGAATGCTCATGATTTCCCTTCCCTAGATTCTGAATAAAAGAGTTGAGTTATACGAGTAATAGCTCTATAGAATTATTTAAGTATTAAACTTCCCTTTAGCTTATTTATCTAATTAATTTCTAATATATTCAATATATTTTTTTAATCTTAAATAATCTTCTATAAACAGAAATCTCAATTATTTATTAGTTAAATACTTAAATACTTAAATTTAATTAATCTTTTTTTATTATTCCAATAAATAATATTTAACAATAATTTAAATATGTTGTATATTATTTGACTACATAAAGAACAGAAATATTAAAATATATAGAAAAAAAACATATTAACTTTAGATATTATACTAATATTAATGTATTCTCATGCACCAATTGCCAATCTATTCTTAGCTACTTATTTTCTTGATTAACGAGCAACAACCTTATTATTTGCTTCTTTCTTCACATTCTCATCTTTTTCAGCAGCCCATATTTCAACATGTGCATTAGATGAAAGGAATGCTATATTATTTAATAAATTTATTTACGATTAATTCTTCCGTGAGCTCTGTATGTTCTACGTCTACCTTTTTAAGCTCTGTTAACTTAAACATGATTGATGATAAGCTTTTCATTGCTCAAATTCTTGACTTAAGCATTAGCTGCCAAATTTTATAAAAGTGACAATACTATTCTTACACTCTTTTCTGGCCATCTACCTATAATAATTATTATTTCATTAATTTACCTTAAGATCTGCCGAATTCTTTGGCTTAGCTTGTTCTGCCAACACCTCCATTAAATCTAGTAAATGGAACACATCTCTTATGTTATAAGACATCTTGTAAATATTTGAGTGCTTAAGCAACAGTTTATCCTTTAAGTGCTCTAGCTACTTCATAAGTATTCTTAAAGTGTGTTCTCAAATCACTTGCTTTAGCCTTGGCTGATTTTTTAGCAACTGCTGGTTCTCTAGCATATTGTTTGCCCATTGAATCCTTTTAATTAATTTAATTTTTTTTTCAAATTCTGAATCAATATGATAATAACAACATAGAAATTAACAAGTGTGATTATTATCTTAACATGTTTAATGTCAGATGACAATTTAAACTTCTCTCATTTTTAAAGTATATACAAGATATAAAATCAATTATGTGAAAAAGAATAGGTTCATAATAGTTTTAAAACAATAAGTGCATTTCATTTTTTACATTTTTATTTTTATTTGTTTTTTAACATTTTCTCAAAAGATTCATCTTAATTATTACTGCAATATGAATCAAAGTTTTATGAATACTGAACACTTTGTTAATTTTTATCAGTCATTATAAAACTAGTCTGACAACCAATATTTAATTCATTTTAATCTTCTTTTCTTAATTCACTTTTTAATCTTTAATACTATTCTTAATCAATAAAAGAATTATTATTATTTTTAGTATCACTTCTCTAAAATCTATCTAAAAATTATTCAGATCTTTTAACAGAATGACTACCCAAAATAGGTCTTTATTTAGAATTAGATTTTTAACTCATTCTGCTATTTGTTTTTTAGATTGTTGGTAATATTATGCTATTATCAGAATTAAGTACAAATTTACAAAATCTACTATTTAATGATTACTCCTTTTATTTTGCCCTAAATTAAACTCTATATAATACAGAGTGATTTCTCCTAATAATTATTATTCATATTTCTTAAAATTATTTATTTCCACTATTTTCTTATGAACTATTAATTTATTCATTTCCATTTCTTATAATTATCTTTATCTAACTTCATTAATCTTTTTTTCATGGTACTCTGCCTTCCTTCTTACAACTTATGAATCTTAATCTTCAATTTATTTTACTTTTATTTTTTTCTGTTAAATTTCTTCATTTCTTGAGTTTTACAAATATGATTCTGTTTTTAATCTTTCATTTCTTACATAAATTCCTTCTTTCTCTATTATGGGTTTAAATTGCTCAATTATTAATTTCCTATCCAATCCCAATTATTCTTATAATTAAGCAATAGGTGATTTCTTAACATTTGGAGATAATTATCTCAAATCTTTTAATTTATTTTAAATAATATAATTCTTCTGATCCATATCCTTTAATTAAAATTTAAGTGAGTTTACTCTTTTTTTTATTTAATCATGTTCTAAATTTACTTAAACAAAACTTTATTAATTCATAATAAAATTATAAAATCAATAAATTAGTTTCATCAATAAATATGTTTTTGAAAAATTTTAATCAATTTAATATTCTAAATAAAATCCTTAATTACACTAAATTATGAACATCATTAAACAATCTCAATATAGAATTTGGATTTACAACCTAGCCTAATCTTTATCATTAAAATTAAAGGCAACTATGTATCTATGCAAATGATTAGATTGTATTATAATGAAAGATATTTATATAATAAAAAATTAATCAAATAAATTATCCTTTCTTTCTTTTCTAAAATTTTAAAAAATTATTAAACAATTTTTCATCTTAATTTAAAATAGGTTAAGTCTCCATTTATGAGTGCTCCTATTTTTTTAACAAATATTTGTTTGGAATAAAATCTTTTAGATTTTAATTTTAATCCCCTAGATTTATTCCTTTTTTGCTTAAATTTGTTTATAAATTCATAAATTTATTATCATTACTATTTCCTCTTATTTACAACCAACCTTAACCATTATATATATTGTTTATTTTATCATAATCTCTTTCAAATTTTACTGCATGATAACCAATATCATAACATATCTGTTATATATCCTTAGATTATATGTTTTCTTTCATATCCTTTAACTATAATGACATTATAGTAACAATTTTATCTTCCATTGATGATTTAGGTCTAGTATGGTTTATAATTTAAGGACTGGATGATTTTTAAGGGTAATTTTTCATTCTCTCTCTGATATTAGATTTATTTATTCTATTATTTTCATTTTTTTAAAGATTATTACTATTGATTGTCTCGGTTTTATTTAATCTCAAAAGTTCTTAAATATTGTTGCTATCTTATTATATTTCTCTTGTTTATGAATTATGTTTAATTTTTGGTTATTTTTCTTAAGATTATGCTTCTCTTACTTAAACTATTTTATTTTTATCTTGATTTGAACAAATTTAGATTTCTTTTTATTTTTTATTTGTATATTGCATTGAATGAAAATTTTTCATTAATCTATAAAAATCATAATGATGTTGCTAATTAATGATTTTGGTATTATTTTCTACTCCTTAAATAAAAGAGTTATTTCTTTGATTTAAATTAAATTATTTAATTTCACTAATTGATGTTTGATGATTTGTAGCTATATCAGTCTTAAATTGCTATTATTATGTTTCTGTATGAAATGATATTGCATTATTTGAAATGGATCTTGGTCGACACAATTTAACTTTCTCTTAATTATTTTGATTTATAATCATCTTTCTCTGATCCTATTAAAGCATTATTCAGTTAAAATTATCATTAAATTATATATTTTATTTTGAAGAAATGGCAATTGATAATTTTATAAAAATACATTAAATAAGAATTAAAACTAAATATTTCAGAATAAATTCGTCAAATTTCCATTGAATTGCATTTATATCATATTAAATCAAATAAAGATAAATGTAATTTTTTTCTCTAAAATTTGTTTAGTTAATTAATTTATTAATTGTAAAAATAAAAAAATAGATATTATATTCATTAGTGAATGACTCGATGGAATATTTCACATTCATTTTTTATTTTACCATCCTTTAATAAGAGTGAAATTGATTTTCTTATTTATATAAATAATAATTACTTAATTTCCTATGGTTCAATATTATTCAAAGCTTTAAAATAATCTATTATTTCATTTAAACTTTTTCCTTATATTTAATTTTAACCCAAATATGTTAAAATCTAAATTAGATTATTATTTCTTACATCTTCATTCAAATTAGTAACTTCAATGAGAAACTATTAATCTTCTTCATTTTCTTCTCTTGCATGTATTTACTACTTTTATCCTTCTTAAAATCTTGCCAATGCTATTATCTTTATCATTTAATATATTATCATAGCTGATTAATTTACTTGTTATATAGTCTATATGTCAAAGAAAACTTCATTTTTCATTACTCTAGCTTTTAAAATAAAGTTGTAGTAATTTAGATTGGGTAAGTCTGAATTGATCCTATTAAATAAATTTTGATCAAATTCTTATATTAAATTCATGCTAAGACTAATATTACCTGTATCATCATTAATAATAATTGTTCCTTTTTTTTATTATTGAATACATCTTTATTTACGAGATATTACATTAACGTAAGTAATATTTAATTTATTTAATACAGCCTATTTTTCATTAGGTGAAACTTTAATTTATTTCATCATTCTAATATTTAGAGGAACAATCTATTCTAATTAATTAGAAACATCAATTGTCTCCTTCTGTTTAGAGTACATATTCTTTTGTTATTAAAATTATTAAAGCTTTTAATACAAATTATAATATCATTATAAATATTGTCCTTCATTAAAATCAAAATATAAAACTGTATTCAATAGGTATTAATCTATTAGTAGAATTTTAGTAATTTAGTATCTTAAATTTCTAAGCGCCAAAAATATAGAATTCAGATCATATTAAATATTTAGATTGTCATTCAATTTATATTAGTATATATATTGAATTTTATATGGGATAGCAATAAATAATTTAAGTGTCAAATGTTTTATAAAGCATGAATTTTTAATATAAAATTTTATATAATATATATAATTAATTATCCTAATGTCTGGAATTTTTGAATATAATGGTGGATCCATAGTTGGAATGAAAGGAAAAAATTGCATTGCTATGGCTTGTGATAGAAGATTCGGTTAACAAATGTCTACTATCACAACTAATTATCAAAAAGTGTTTAAGATTCAGGACAACATTTTATTAGCATTATCAGGTCTCAATACAGACATTCACACATTGTAAATAATTATATATATATATATTAGTTATGCATTGATGGAGAAGGAGATCAATTTATATAATTTAAAAGAAAATAGAAAAATGAAACCAACCACATTTGCAAATTTAGTTGCATCTGCATTATATGAAAGAAGGTATGAATTCTTAATTAAGATTTAAGATTTGGACCATTCTTTGTTACTCCAATAGTAGCTGGTCTTGAAAATGGTAAACCAATATTAGCAACATATGATTCTATTGGATGTAAATCAGATTTGGATGATTTTTAGGTTGGAGGAACTGGAGGAAATTAGTATATATTTTATAAATAATATTTAGTATTTATGGTGCATGTGAAGCATTCTTTAAACCAGATATGAATCCAGAAGAATTAGAGGAAGTTATTGGATAAAGTTTAGTGAGTGGTTGTGATAGAGATGCCTTATCTGGATGGGGAGGAGTTGTATACGTATTGACAGAGTAGAAGTTAACAGTCAAAATATTAAAGACCAAATAAACCTGATGATTTATCATTGAATAATATTAATTATAGTGTATTGTCAAGCATCAAAAATTCTGTAGAACTTTTAATGTTTTAGAAAAATAAGTCAATTATATAATTATATACTAAACACAAAAAATAAGTCTTTCATTTAACATCTATTATCTAATCCAATCCCAAATAAGAATCTGACATCAAATACAATTTGTAATTTCTATTCCAATCATCTACTTCTAGATCTTTACTGGCAGTATTTTTCAAATATACTTTTTTCATTTAAACAATACGATCATCATCTCCTAAGATTAACCACCAAGTAGCCTCTCTTTATTTACTAAGTTTCTATATATAAACTTTATTGTCAGGTTTGCTTTCGTTTTTAAGATTTATTTTTAATTAGTTTTCAGTTTTAGTATAAGCTAATTAGATATCAGGTAATGCATTAATGGCTTTCATTATTTCAGCAATATTCTCTTTTTAAGGTACATTATTTTATAGGAAAATATCAAATTCTCTAAGCTAAAATTTATAATTATATAATTACATTATAAAATTATAATAGTTCTTTAATAGTTCTTACTCTATTTATACATTCTTCTGGTTTAAGTTTGTGTAAATGAGGCAAATTCATTAAGATTTATTCTTCATTTTTCACAAAGCCTTAAACAATTGTTTATAACATATATATTATATTTAAAGTAGTTTAAAGATATCCTTTATTTGAAGATATTTCAATCATGCAACTTATGATTCTGATACATGAATCAAGAATGAGTTTTTAATCTGTTTCAAAATCTTTAATAGGACATTTTAATCTGAAAATATGAGCTTAAATTAATAAATAAGCTTTTTCATTAGGATTATCCATTTTATTTTTATCACATTTTAATTTGCATAGTTTTGATAAGGCTTCATTTAAATGTTCTTCATTATGTCTAACAGGTACTTCATTAAATTCACTAGAATATGCTAAAGTATATAATAAATCTTCAAATCTACTCTCTTTTTAAATTCTTTCATCAAAATGCTTTAAAGTTGTATGTTTAAGATAATAAAAGGCAGCTAGCTTTCCCAAAAATGTTGATTCATATTATCCCTCTTCTTATGTAATACATTTTGATATCACTAAATCACTAATAGTATCAGCAATCAAATTATTCAAATACTGTTATATATCTTTACTATTAGTACTAGGACAATTATAAAATGTAGGATTTTTGACTAATCTTCTGAAGAAATATGTCCAAGTAATCCAATCGATAAATGTTTAGTTATTTTTAACAACTCCAGAAGAGATTTCAGCATTAATATGATCAGATATACCTTAAAGTAAACTTGATTCAATAGGGAAAGGAGAGTTTAAATATTTACGATAGAAATTCTTTTTACTTTATTCCACATATACACATGCAGTAGCAACTGTATCATATTAAGGTCTACCAGCTCTTCCTATCATTTATAATAGATCAGTAACTGGAAAATCTACATATTTCTTAAGTTTAGGATCAAAATATTCAGTACCTTTAACTATTACTAATCTAGCAGGAAAGTTAACTCCCCATGCTAAAGTAGATGTAGCTATTAATAATTGAATTTTTCCTTAAACAAATAGATTTTCAACTATATTTCTATCATTTTTATCTAATCCTGAATGATGAATTCCTATTCCATATTGTAGAACTGATTTTAATTATGTATCATCAACTTTGACACATAATTATGCTAATTCTTATTCAGTTGTTTAAATATATTGTTTTTCATTACCTTCTTACATTGCTAAAGCTATAATATCCAAAGCTGTTAAACGAGTTTGTCTACGAGAGGAGACAAAAATAATAGTTGGTTTTCCATCACTATATCTTTTAATATCTTGATAAGCTGGTTTATTCATAGTAGCCATTCTTGGACAATAAGCTCTTTCTGGAAATCCATTAAAATGAATAGTTACAGGAACAGGTCTGCAAGAAGGTTTAAAATTATAAAATCTACCCTTCTTAACTCCAAACCAATTACTCACATCTAATCCATTAGCCATAGCTGTTGATAATCCAATCATTCTAGTCTTTTTATTAATGTCATAACTTAATGAATTCATTCTACTAACTATAACTTCTAAGACTTAACCTCTATCTTATCCAAGTAAATGTATTTCATCAAAAATTAAAAGACATGTCTATCTTACATATTCTCTATTATTCCAACTTCTACTAATACCATCCCATTTTTCTGGTGTTGTAATTAAAACATGAGCCTTTAATAGTGCTTATAAATCTGGAGTATAATCTCCTGTTAATTCAAGTACAGTTTTATTGATATCCTTTAATCTCTTAGTCCAATCCTTTAATCTCTCTTTTGCAATTGCCTTTAATGGTGCTATGTAAACAACCTTGAATTATGGTGATTATTTGAACACTCTTAACATTGCAAATTCTGCCATTATTGTTTTACCTGAACCAGTAGGTGCTCCAATTAATATATTATCATCTGTATTATAGAGTCCAAAGAAAACTTATGTTTATATAGGATTAAAATATTTATATTACTGATATAATTGTTCGAATTCAATATTGTTTAATGCACTAATTGGTAAAGGTTACAAATCTAATAATTCAGTAAAATCTATCTAATCATCTTACATAAATGCATTTGATAGATCAATTTAAATTGTAGTCTATTCTTCATCTAACATTACCCATCTATCACTTTGAATTGTTAGATAATAATTCTTGCATTTTGAATTAAATGGAACATAAAATGATAATTACATTGTATTTTTTTTAATAATAGTATCCATATCCATTAAAAACTCTTCTGAATGAAGTAATTCTTCAGCATCATAAGCAAATATCCAAAAAGGCTCATTTTTTAAATGCCATTTACTACTGAATACAAATTAAGGGGTTATTAAAACTACTAATTATAAAATAGTTTAGGATATTGGTTTAACTTTATATTAAATATCCAAATCAGGTAAAAAGTTAACATAAGCCTTAAATTAAGAAATCAAATTCTAAGGTATTGATAAATATTTAGCCAAAACTGCATCATCTTCATTCTTCATTTAATAAGCATCTAAACTACATTCAGCCATAGCACCTATCCATGCTCTAGGCATATAAGCATCTTTAGATTTCATTATTTTTCTAGTATTACACCCTGAAAAGCTTTCTTTACTAAATTAAAAAAGTGGATTCTATCTAGGACACATTCTATTTTCAATCATCTTACACAATTTCAATAATTCTAGTGCCATACATGCTTAATTTTTTTTGATTGCCATATCTAACATACATCTCAATAATCTAATAGTATTTTAAATAATAATATTTGTATCCATTATTAATGCATAATTTTCAAAATTCATTTTTGCAAGATATCCACTTATAAGTGCAATAACTTTCTCTTAAGTTTCAATAACACCTTCAGGATTATCAAATGAATCACTTCTGATATCAGGTTCTTCTTCAAATGCCCAACCTTCATCATAAATCTTCTGTAATTCTTTAGTTTCTTCTGGTCTTACACGAATCATCTCAAATTCTTTGGCCTTAGCTATAATCTTAAGTAATTAATATTAATTCTTATCATTAAATTTTTATTTCTCCTATTAATCAAATGACAAACCCATTTCATCACATAAAATCTTCATTGTTTCACATTTAATATAATAATGTGAAGCAATTCTACCTAAATCTGTAGATGTAACTAGATGATTTCTTGTATCATATCTCACTAATTTTAATGAATCCAACTATTTTAAAGCCGACTCAATCTTTTCTTAAACTAATGTATCACAATCTAATTCTAAATCATCATATGCTCTTTAAACACCATAATGTATTGGATTCCTTCTTAATCTAATACTTAAAAATGTATGACACATCCAATTATAAGCTTCAGTATAATTAGTAATATTTCCTAAAACTATTTCTGCATTTAATGCTTCTCTTAAAAATGTTAATAATTTGCTTTCAATATAACTGGCATTATTTAACATACCCATATAATGACCAACATTATTAAAATCAGTTATTAAAGTTGCTTCTCCTTTATCATCAAACTAAGGTCTACCTGCTCTACCAAACATTTATTAAACATCTAAAACACATAAATTCTACATATCTGCTCTAGTAACATCAAATATATCTGTTCCTTTTATAATAACAGCAAAGGCAGGCAAGTTAACACCCCAAGCTAAAGTGGCTGTAGCTATTAATACTCTTGCTTCTCCACTTAAAAATAATCTTTCAACTGAATTACGATCTGCTCTTAACATACCAGCATGATGAAATGCCAACCCATAAGGTAACAATTTTTTTAATTCATTATCATTTATCTTAGTACAATTAATTTTAGTTGTTCCAATAATATGTCTATCACCTAAACGAGAAGCTCTTTCTTATATCCATTTAGCATAATTAACAGTCTCTTTACGAGAATGTACAAATATAAGTACTTATTTATTATGTTTAACAACTTCACTCATTAATTCATAAGCTTATTCATTTTGGATATCTCTTTTAGTTCTTCTTCTTTATCCCTTAGCAGGTGCTTATACAGGTTCTTTACATCCTATGAATTTCTAACATAATGGTACTGGTCTGAAAGTATGATCAAAAAAGAACACACTATCTTTATGGCATTCTAAAAATATTGCAACATCCCAATAATTTGGTAGAGTTGCAGATAAACCTACTAATCTGATATGTCTTTAAGCTCTTTATACTTATTAAAGTGTACGAGCAACTACACATTCTAATATTGGACCTCTTTCATCATTAAGTAAATGAACTTCATCAATAATTAATAATTTTAATTGTTCACTAATTTGATTCGTTTTTCTAGTAATAACATCCCATTTTTCTGGTGTTGTCAATATAATATGTGTTTCTTATAATTCTTTCTTAGATAATTACATATCTCCTGTAAATTCTTTAACTCTTACTCCCAAATATCTAAGTTTTGTTTAGAATTTTTCAACTATTTCACTAGCTAATGCTTTCATTGGAGATATGTAGACAATCTTGAAATCTTAATCTTTCAATCTTTTGTCTTTTTCATCTACTCTCTTAGATATTTCATGAAGGATTGCCAACAATGCTATATTAGTTTTACCTGCTCCTGTTGGTGCACATACCAATAGATTCTCTTCAGTCAAAAATGCTTTTGGATATATTTATGATTGAATAACATTTAGATTATTTGTTCCATCAAATGCTTTTCTTGCCCATTCTGGTAGTTCTTATATAGGAATGAGTTTATCTTCTTTTATTGGTTTTTTAGGTAATGGATCAATTCTTATGTATAAATATTCTAGTTTATCTGTTCTTGTAGATGTTGGAAAATATCTAACCAAAGTTTATTGTTCCATTTTTGCATATTAGTCTGGATCAAATTCTATTAAACCTTCTTAAAATGTAGTCTAAACTTTTTGTTAATTTGTATATTCTTATTTTCTTAATCCTAACATTCCTTCTTATTAAACATCTATTCCAATTTTAGCAAGTAGTTGATGATTTGAAGTTGCTGCACCATTATTTTAAAGTGATGGTTTCTATTATTAATTTTAAACTTCCCAAAATTTCTTTTCACTCAAATATTTAACTATTTCTTTTCTATATATCAATAAAAATTATGCAGCCTTTACATTTTTTAATATATCATAAAATTTACATTCCAATACTTAATTGGTTAATGTTTTATCACATAAGTCTTTTAATAAATCAAAAACTAATAGTTACCAATATTCTGGTGATGCTTTTACTAATACATTATGAAATTATTTATCAAACTCTGATAAATAATTAATATTCTCTCTGTCTTAAATTACTTCAATTTATTTTGTTTCCTATTCCTATTATTCCTCTTAAAATTAAATTTCCCATTTTGATTCAACATTTAATGGTTCCATATTTACAACATCTTTATAATTTTTTAAAAATTCATTAAATGTTCCATATTCTATTATTTGTTTATTTTAATCATCTTCTTAATGTAGAGTCTAGGCCATTATCCTATCTATTTGACTATCCACTTCATACATTGTTGAATAAAGAACTTAAAGCTAAACTTCATTATAATTTGGTTCTATGATTATAAAATCATATCCTCGATATGTAGCCAATACATTCATTACGCTTTTCATAAAATATTATTAACTCTCTTCTCCTTACATCACAGTCTATTTATAAATTATATAAATTTCTTCTAAGAGATCCACAAATGCTAATGTTATTTTTCCACTCAATCCTCTTGTATCTTAAGCTGCTACATGTACTCCTAATTCTTTTAGTAATACTCTTAATCTATTTGATAATTCTTTGATATGAAATTCGGTACCAAACATTAATCTATACAATGGCTTTGCCTTCCTCATTCGTTCTTCATTATACAATTCATCATCTTATCTCTCTAAATAAGCTTTATTTAAAGAAATTAATCTTCCATCATTATATCCTTATTCGAAATATCTTAACTTTAGAGTGGTTCGATTGAACTATATGGTTTTATAACTTAAATACATCTTTTATTAAATATTTCTGAATGTCTTATGCTTATAAAAGCTCAGCAGACAGGTTCATAAGATTACTATTCATTAAATTAAATTTAATAAAGAATTTATTTGCTAATTATGTATTTCAATCAAAAAGTAGATTTCTTAAATCTTATCTAACCTCTATTTTACCTTCTTATGGTTCTTCTTCTTCTTCAATAGGAATAGTTGATTTAACTTAAGATTGCTTTTGGGTCATTTTTTTTAAAGCCTATTAAGTGTAAGTATTTTAAGGATTTTTTTGAATTCCAAAATCTAAATCAAATGTATATTTATCATTTTATTAAGATGAAACTATTGAAACACTTTGATTATCGCTTGTAATAACATTTCTTGGTTTAGAATTAAATGTTTATTATTATTATTATTATTATTATTATTATTATTATTATTATTATTATTATTATTATTATTAGTATTAGTATTATTATTATTATTATGGAATTCCATTTGTAAATGTTTATACAAATGACTAATGATCTTAATGAAGTACATAAGAAGGAAATTGAGGAAAATTTCCTTATTGTTAATTTAGATTTTATGTTTATTGTTGAGTTTTTTATTGCATTTATTATATTTATTATTATGCCAATATTAATTATTACTATAGTAAATTCTACTATTCTAATAATTATTAATACTATTAAGGACTTAATTACTATTATTAACCTTACTAATTTATTGATTGTTATTATTAAGGTTATTATTAATAAGTATTTTATTATAAAGGAATTGTGTAATTTATTTATTTTTATTATTGCTAATTATTTAACTATTAATTTTATGGCAATTCTTTTGGTTTTTAAAAAGGTTGTTAAAGCATCATATCTAATTTTAGTAAAGATGCCTCAATTTAATCTTCTTATGACTTTACTAACATATTAATGTAGAATACTTGGAAATTAATTTTCAACGAACACTATTCTGTTGACTTGATTAGAGGATTGTAAATTCCTTACTCCATATTTTTACTAAATTGATTCTATTTTTTATTTATTTTCTTTATTCAAATTCAATAGTTCAAGTTAAAGCTACATTTCAATATCGTTAATATTTTATAGATCCTCCTATTATAAAATCATTAGAAATCAATACCCTAAGAAATTCTTAAATATGATTTTATTCATCTTAAACACTACTTGCTTATTTATGTATTTGCTTATTAGTTATTCTAATATTTTATGGTGGCTTTCTAGGAGGGTGTTAATGATTAGTATTATTATTGGTATTCTAATTAGTATCAATAGTATTTTATTACAATTGCTATTGAATTAACATTTATTAGGCAAGCAATTGTTATTCTTTTAACTACAATATCTTAGTCTGCTCAGAATTTTTAATAGGTGTAGTATTTTTTGGAACTGATGAAGAAATTTACTTTTATTTAGTATTGAGTGGTTCTTATTATGATTTTTATGATGTTAATTCTCTTTTATCTCTTTCTGTTCCTTGTTTTTAACTCATTTTGGATAAGACATCATCTGCTTAAGTAATAGCCTATTCAGCCCATTAAGTAGGCTTTGATAAAGGAGGCTTAGAGTTCTATTTAGCCAATTATCCATTTTTCATAGTATTTTTCCATAAATCCTCCTCATCATCACTTTATTCTTCTGGTAATCCTAGTAATTATTGCAATTCATATTTTCTTTAATTTGGAGCAGGTTTTTATTTTTGAGCTGTGCTTAAGTCAAGACTATCTAGAAGTTCACTTTTCTTCATGATTTCAAAATCCTCCCATTATTTTTAAAATTCTTAAGGCAATTTTTTGTTCTTAGCAACTTGTGATACTTCTAGATCAAGCGCTTCGAAATTATTGTAATTTGTTTATACTTTTTTTTCTAATTAAGGTTTTGGATTTTATTTAGGATAATCAGTTTATCTAGGTTGATAATCAGCCAATATTTGTTTAGTATTATTTCTTAAATAATTAATATAAGCTTATTCTTTAGTTTTCTTTCTTTAATCAAGCAATGCAGCTGCTTCTTTTTACTTTTCTTCTTCTTGCTATTTAAGTTTCTTTTCTTATTCTTTTCTCCTCTTATTATTTTCCATCATCAATAGTCTATGTTTTTCTTCATTCTATTGCATTTTATTCAATATGTCTTCTTTAGTTTTTACATCTGTGGTTGTACTCTATAAGAAATTATAAAATTGATACTTTTTTACTAGATTGTTAACTTACTATAGATTTAGTATCATTTTATTTCTTGTTATTGTATTTGTTTAAGTAACCAGCTGTTGACATTTAAAGTATAATAACTGTATATTTATAATAATAATATTAGATAATTCAATCATTAGCAAATAATCTTAGAAAGTCTTAATCCAATGAAGTTTGGAATGGCACTTTAACTGGTTAATTACTATAGTTCTTATTTAAAGCTGAGCTAGCATTATATTTGATAACTATTTATTCTTCATTGGCTCTGAAACCATGAGCAGAAGTGATTTAATTATTGATAGGAGAATATGAAACATTTTAGAATCCTAGTCCATTATATTTTAAATTAGCAGATTAAGGATGTTTTTATCCAGAAGATTATTTTTCTTAATAATTAAGAATAAAATACTTCCTTCATCAGTTTGATATCCATCCCTTTGTTGAAATTTATTTAAATTAACTTTGTTATTCATTTTGAAGAATCCCAAATCAAAATCATCAAATTCATCATTATTTTTAATATTTCCCATATTATTATTTTTATTGCCTTGAAATAATAATAAAATATTTACTTTATTCATCTATTTAAGCATACATATTTTTAATTGGTATTTCTATTCCATCCCTATTAGTATTCTAATTGCCTGATTAAATAGGTAATTCTAGTCCTGTTGCTTTAGGAGGTGTTTTATGTCTAGAAGGAGGTCTTTCATTTTTATCTAAATTTTCCATCTAAGCCTATTCAGTTTACTTTCTTCTTTATCCTGAACGTATAGAGAGCAATTCCTTAATAATATTATGGATAAAATTTAATACTTTAGGTGAATTCAGTTAATTCAAGTATATTGGCATAATTTCTTAATTCTCTGAATCATCTTCTTAAATAACATTAGGTTCATAATCTAAGAGTCCAAAATCTGATTGCTTTGTTTCAAAAGCATGTTTTGATTCATTTTTATCTGAATTCATGAATCTTTTTCTTCTTGCACCTTCAGATGTTTAAGGCCTATTAAGACTAGCGGTTGCTTTTCTCATACTTGCAATTGGTTCTTCAGTTTATTTATGTACAAAAGATGCATTTTTTTGAATTTCTTATTCTTCTTATTGTTAAGTAGGTAATTATAAGTTTTAATGCTCATCACTATCTGCTTCATCTGATTAATTTGAATAATCATCATTATTTTCAATATCAACTATTTCAATATCCTCCTATTCTCTAGGAGTCAGCTATTCATCATCATTAATGTCCATTACTAAGTTTTCACAATTTAATTTGGGTTCTAAAGTATTCATTTATTGAGTTTATGGTCTACTCTATTATTACTCTGAGAAACGAAAGGGTCTAGAAATTTGTTAAGTAAATGTTCTTGATGGCTTAAATGATCCTCTACCACTTTTTGGACCATCATCATATCGTTTTTCAAGACTTCTTCTTTTTACTGTACCTTAAAATTGACCTGCATATATTTTAGAAATCTGCTAGATATTATTTTAATAACTTTTTGGCTATGATCTATGTTATTGAAAATACTACTCACATAGTTTTTAAATATGGATTTGGAACATTATGTGTAACTGCAATCAAAGGTTGTTAATATGGACTCTTAATAGGCATTTTATCCTTTCTAGATTGGTGCGGTGCTGTACCTCCTCGTTTCAGGTTTTCACTAAGTTGAATTACCAATCAATTTAAAGTACCCTTAATTTGTAAACCAACTCAAATAAAATGGCTGTTATTATTGATCTTTCTAATTTTTAGGTTTAAACATATAATTATTTATGAAATAATTATAATAAATAAATAATAAACAAACTAATCTATTCCTTTTAGATCTATGATTTTTAACTTTATTTTCAATCATTTCTATATCTACTATTATAATATTCATGGGATATGTGATATGTATTTTATCATTCATTAATACAACAGATGTATTTTCTTTTCTTAATATTTACTTTAATTTGAGTATGTAAAATGTTTTGGCCCTTTTTTTATGATTCTTAAACAAGTTTAATCCTTTCTTAATAAATTAATGAGAATATAAAATAATTATATACTCTAAGAAATACTTATTTTTTAAAAAATTATTGTTTAAAATACAATATAAAATATTAATAAGATATCCATTAAAATTCAATTGATTTTAAACTTAATATTTTAAATCTTAGACGTTATAACATTTCTTAAGCAGTATATAAAATAATTTGCAACCTGATTATTGTTTGAAAATTCAACTAAATAATTACTATTTAGAATATGTTAAATATTATATTTGAGAATCTATTTTAAATTGTAATTAAACTTTGAAAATAACTTATTTATATTATTAATGACCGAAGTCTGCTAACCTAATTAAACAGGGTTTTTTCATACATGTGGTTAATTTAGTTAATGCGAATTGAATTCAGCCACATTAGTTTATTCATGTTAACATGATTCTCCATTTACACCAAAAGCTGGAATAATTATATCATATATACTTACACCAATATTGATTGGTATAGGAATATTAGGAGGAATGGGAGGTATAAATATTTGAAATTTTCAGGTGGAGTATTGAAAGGACCACTTTTAGAAATGATTCTTAATTACTCTTAAAGTGAAGCAACTCATATTGCATACTGTTTTATGTTTGGAGGTACTCTTCTTAACACAGCACTATTAATGTTTGAAAAGTACTAAATTTAAATATATATAGAAATCCAGATGACGAGCGAAGACCAATCATAAATTATAGAATTGCAATAATCTTTAATCTTGCTGTTCCTTTTGCAACAAATCTTGGTTCATCATTAGCGTCATTTCTACCTTAATTATACACTCTCATTCTTCAGGAGCTGTTTTTATTTGGAGTAGCCCCTATACTTTGGGAAAAAGGTAATATATAGAATAATTATGTAAAATAGCTAAAAATGCTAAAAAAGCAGAACTTAAAGTTAGTGAAGAATCTTAAAAAGAGAACACTTAAAATTTAAATGATTCAAATCTTAATCAAAAAATAGAGTTGCAAGCTATAGAAGGGATGCAAGAATAAAAAGTAAATATATTGTAAGATAATAATAAGGATTATATAATTTCTAATTCAAATTTAAATGAATCTCTATATTCTAAATTTAAATAGGAATCAGAAAACATTTTACCATTGATGCCAATTCTCTGTATTTTAGGGTCATTTGGATTAAATTAAGTAAAAAGAAAAATTGAATAAAATAGATATTTATATAAATGCGATCTACAAATCCAAATAAACCTTCGTATGTTGGAATTGAAGATTGCACATGGGAAAACGATTTTATGATCTTTATTTTAATCATAACCAATGTCTTATATGATTATTTGATTTTGTAATTCGGAACCAAATAAGAGAAAACATTTAATTAAATCAATTTTTTGCCAAAAGAAAGATATTTTACTCCAATCAGTAGATTTTTTAAGATTTATGCCGGTGGATTTCTAGCAGGATTTGTATCAGGATTTTTAGGAATGGGAGCTGGATTTGTTATGGTTCCAACTCTATTATATAGTGGATTAATTCCAAGATGTGCATCAGCTACATCAGCATTTATTTATTTAATGATTTCATTAAATAATTTGATTACTCTCCTTACTAATCATTACTTAAATTGGCAAACTATAATTTTATTTACTGGATTAGCTGTATTAATATATATAATTATTAAGATTATTGGAGGATCTGTTTTTGCTAAAATTGGTTATATCTTATTAGGTAAATACAAGATTGGATATTTTGTAATCCTAATTGTTTTTGCTCTTGATATTGCAAATATTATTTCGTAAATCTATTACGGAGTTGTATTTGGAAAAAGGTATGGATTAGACTATCTAACTCAAGCAAATAAAGAGTGTTAGTGATTTGTTATTCATCATGTAAAAATATAAATAGAATTTTTATTACAAAATATTCTCAAAAAATATGTTGATTTGGCTTCTTTAATCTTTTATTTATTTCTGATTATTAGGACAAACGTGAAGTATGATCCATGAATCCAGAATATGGTCTAAAAACCAGTTATGAGGATTTTGCCATTGTTGATCTTGATTATGGAGTATCACATTTAGGTGTTTCTATCACAGACGAATACCTAGGAGTGACATTATTATGATAGCCTAATTATGGTTATGATTATGTTCTAGGTGTTGGATTGAAAGTAGTCATTGTTTTATTCTTTTCAAAATGCTTTTAAGCACTAACATTCATATCACTCTCTTTAGTAGACACTAAAGCATTGATTGTAAGTAAAGGATCTACTTTTCCGAAGGCAGCACTTGTAGCTCTTTTTGGTTTCAATTAATCATGAGTATGTTCAATTAATTTCATAGCTGAAATTACTCTTGACCTTTGAATAGCTTCTTAATTTTAAGGAGCTATTCTTAAAGGAGGTTTTACTAATCCAATTCTAATTAGATTTGAATAATATTTCTTTAGAAATCCTTCTGTATTAACATTTGAGGCAAAATTATATGGATTCTCAACTCTTTCTAATAATTTCATTTAAGGTTCATCACTTTATTTTGTTTATTACACAAATTCATTAATTGTAATTTTTTTTCCTGTTTTTTTATATTTTTTATTGAATTTATCCAACAAATTGTTATTAAATTTTAATACTCTACTATGTTTAGGTACCTAATAGATTTAGGATTTATACTTAATATTATTAGAATACTATGTCTACATTATCATAAGCTTTTATTGAATCTTTAGTTAAAATTAAAGTAGATTTAGATTTTTTAATTTGATTATTTGGTGAAGTATTACATTTTTTATGATCAATAGGTTTACTTCCTACAAGAAGTCTCATCAATTATTTTTCTATAAATCATAAAAGTTTATTACATTTATATTAAACAATAATTTATCTAATAATTGAATTTGGAAAGAGACGTGTAAAGATCTTAAGTTTAATTTTATATAGTAGAACTTATGCTGACTTAGCAATTACAGTATAGTAATAAGTTTAAACACTATTTTAATCTTAATCAGGATCAATTAATAATTCATCTCCAATTATTCCATTCTCTTCTATATTAAATAAGTGTTCTTTATTCTTCTGAAATGAAATATGACCTTATGCTAAAAAAAAGAGATTTTCTCCTAATTGATTTTCCCTTAAATAAATAAATTGTATATAATACTCAGTAATATAAGTGTTATGAGGAAGAATAATATTTTCAAATTAATTGGTCAGAGACTCCAATATTCGTTTAGAATTCAATTCACCTAAACCTGGTATTATTTTACATAAAGTTTTGTGTTTAAACAAAAATATTTCTCCATAATATTTAAAAATTTCATCACATTCTTTTTTATCAATCATCAGTAAAATTGAATTATTGATTGCTACTTTATATATAAGTTGATTTTGCTAATATTTAATTTTATCGAATTAAAAGTCCTCTTCAATATAAAATAACGGATCTAATGTTGTGAGATATTTTTCATTTTTATAGATATAACCTTCTTCCAAATAATAAACTTCAACTTATCCTTTTACAATTAGTTATACTGCAAATTTCTGACTTGGTAACACTTAATCACCAAGTTAATAACTTGTAAGTTCTATATAATTACAAAGCTTTTATATATCATATCAATTTACTTTGATTTATCCTTCTTGTGATAATTGTTGGTGATAGATATCATTCAATTTGTTGAAAATTTATGTGACTTTTATTATTGTTGCCATTGTCTTAATATATAGAATAGAAGTACTTTAAGATCCTCATTAGTTTTTGGATAGCTTAATATTTTTTATTGTAACAACACTAAATTATCATTCTAAATTATTTATTCCATTAAAAAATAATAAAATTTATGATTAATATTTTCAATTATTAGATAATTTCTTTTAAATCTCAACATCCTTTAGATCTATGACTTTCTGCATGTAAACTCTTTCTTTTTGATGTTTATTCCTATATCAATTTTTAAATTAAGCTACTATTAATTAAGTTCTATTTGCTTATTCCTACAGAATAACTTTTATTTCGACTTAATATTATGAATATGAATTATTACTTTGATATAAGGGGTCGCTAAGTTAAGGATTTTTAGGACTCTTTATTTTTTAATAATTCATTTAAACTATTGTTTTAAGTCTATTGCAGTTTCATTATTTAACTATTATTGAATTACTCTTATTTTCCTGATTCATTGCCTAAATGATTTGATTTTGATGTCTATTTTTATAATGTTTAATTTATAGTTTATGTACTATCCCTTCTGGAATTTAATGCAGTTTATTATTTATATGTTTAAGTATAATACTTCAATTATTGAATCAAATTATAATTCTCTTTTTTTAGTTTCTAAATAATTAAAATCATATATTACTTATATCATTTAAGTTGTTTCTTTAAGATATTCTTTTCTAATTTATTCAGATTCTTCTAATTATTATTAAATTGTTTCAATGAATATTTTCATCTCATGTTAAGCCTAACTAAATTTATATACCAATTAATCATACTCTAATGTGTATTCTTATTTCTTATTCATATTTTTGTACTGCTTATTCTAATTTCTCATAATTTTATGTTTTTGGTTCACATTTGAAAAATTTCTATGAATAATTATTATCTTTAAATTTCTTTTTTAAAGCTTGAAAGATAAACTTCATTGTTTCTGCTAATTATTATAAATTTTCATAATCCTATAGTTGATCTTGTATGTGTTGCAACTCTACTTCTGATCTTATATTCTACTCAAGTAATTAAAGCATCTTTAATTTAAATACAAAACAATTACATCAGACAAGATTTCTTTCAAAGTATTTTCGAGAATATAGTCTGTACTACTATTTGTTAACATATTTAATGAAAATTAGAAATTTAGAATAAATTAATATATATATTATTTATTGTTACATTCATGTTAACTTATGTAAAGAATTTTACTATTTTTACTATTATGAATCTAATTTTTATTATTCTTGTTATTCTATATTTAAATTAGCTTCTTAATCAATTTCATCTACTTTTAAAATACTGTTATCATGTTTTTTTAATACTTTTTTATTTTTTAGAATTTCAATTTTAAATTCTTCGAAATTTTTATTGTCTTTTCTAAGTTCTTAAGAGAATTTCAGTGAATTTACTCTTTTAAAATTATATTAAAAACTCTTAAAATCAATTTACAAAGATCCACTCAAAAACTTATCTTTTCTTTCTTCATATTATAAAGAATATGACATTCCAAAACAACTTTTATTAAATCTATCTTATAAATTCTTATTCGATTGATTGCTCAACCTTTATTCAAATTAATTATCTTGTTTTTCTGAAGAATCTTCTGGGATCTGATTACTTGTTTTATCATTTTCTTCACTTTGTGAATTACAATCAAATTCACCTATATTCTTACTTATAGTAATGTTTTCAAAAACATTCAATTAAACATTTTGAAATAATTAATTTGGATTTGTATGATTGTTCTAGCAACTTTTAATTTCTATAGCAGAATAACCTCTTGAAATTTATTCTTCTTCTAATATTAGATTTTATTCTATTAAAAACTTAGTTAAATCTATTTCTTTTTTTGGAGTACTTGTATCTTCCCCTAATTTTGTCTTATTTCTTTCTTCTTGATTAATATAAAACATTTTTTATGCATTCCATATTTTTGAGATTTTCAATTCATTTTAAATTAATCTCAAAGTATCAATATATGGCAAATTATCTGTATCTCTTAATAACTTCTACTCTAAATTTATATCGAATTAATATATTAATCTATATAAATGACCTATATTTTTATTTTATAATTTATATCTTTAAATGAGATAATAGGCCCAAAAAGGATGGTAATCATTTAAGGCCTTATCAAATATAAAAATAACCATGTTTTCTACATATATCGAGAAAATGTCTGCATTTCGAAATTCATTCATCAATTAGAAAATTAAACCCATAATGTTACTCTCAGCTATTTAATCCCATAATTATAAATCTGTAATTCGAACTAAATTATCGATTATCTAATTATAGTCTTGCTCGTACTTCAACAAGTTTTATGATAAACAATCCAACTTTAAGCTTCTTTTAAACTGATTTCTGGAATATTTAATCAATTTTAGAGACATCAAAATTGATAAAAAAAGGAGTTTGTTTAAATTAAGTAACTATATCCGAGGAATCTGGATCATCCAAATTGATATTTTACATATCCATTGTATAAAAATTTGAGATTAATGAAATTATATGAGCAGCATTTTTTAATATTCTAATTTAAAATTAAATTATACATTGGATCTATATTATCTTAAATGATAATATCGAACATCTCTTTAAGGAATTCTCCATTTAAAATATATTCCAATTACTAATCAATTAAAATTCTTGTCATAATTTCATGTACAATGTATGTAAAATTGATAATACTTAATAGATCCTATTATTTATAAAATTCTAAGCCTTTTTTCAAAAAATTGATTTATTATTAGTTGAATCCTATTTCAAAAAATGCTATCAGTATTTAGGATACACTATGTATATTAAGAAATGGTAAGAAGGAAACTAAAAAGTCTTATTATTTTAACAAGTCTTAGAGAATTGATGAATCTCTTTCTTTTACAAGATTTAATAATTTATATGCTAGACCCCATTAAATATCAGGAACGAATTATTTATATAGTAATTCAAAAATGATTGACCAATGAATCTAAATATTAAATTTAAAATTAACTTCTATTTATTTTAGAATAGGTTCTAAATTCAATTCAATAATCTCCCAAATATTATTGATCTATTCACCATACTATTCTAATTATTCTTTTGGAATCAAATTATAATCAGCAAATAAAATATTTAACATCTAATCTACATTTTTACATATAAACTCTATAGCAATTGGATCTGTATTTCTGCAATATATCATAAATGAATCATTCTTTAATAAACTAAATAAGTTAGAATTGTTTTCTTTAATTATTTCCTCTATGACTTTTTGAGTTGGAGATTATAAAATGAATTACATTTTTAATATAATATTATTAATATAACTAACAATCATTATTTTTTAATATATACTTATATAGAAATTAAGAAATAAATAATTAGACTCTAATTTGAGAATGAATTTAAAGTATTACATAAATCAAATAAATCTGAAGATAAAAATTACATAAATATATAATGATAGTTTTAGTTAAATATTTCATTTAATTAAATTCTTTATGAAGGACTGTTTAATTATATTAATTACAATGAAATATTAATTAAACATTTGTCAATAAGAAATAGTGATAAATTCTTCTAACTCCAAAAATAAAATAAAGCTTTTATGTGAACATGAAGTAGATCAAAATGATAAAATAGATGTAAATACGTATAAATGTATCATATAATTAAAACATAAATTCCAGCAATGCGAACATGAAGTTGAATATTATTGTTTTGAAAAGGATAAAATAGATAACAAATGTCATTTCATATGTGATAAACTACTACCATGTGGTGATAGATGTAAAAAGAAATGTTACGAAAATTGTTTACCATGTATCAATAATTGCTAAGGATTAAAAAATCTGAATTTATGTGAACATTTTATAGAAAGCAGAAATATTGATTAAGAATAATAAAAACAATGCAATTAGGAAGTAAAAGTTAAATTAGATTGTGGGCATACAGCTAATTTTCAATGTTGGTAAAGAGAAGAACTATAAAAATCATATATTTGTAAATAAACCTGCAACAAAAAAAGAATTTGTGGTCATTCATTTAATTAATGTAAGAACTACTGCTTTTAACAATAATGCTCTCCATGTTTATAATAGATAACATTAAAGTTGGATTGTGATCATGAATAACAAATTTAGTGTTATTAAAAAGATGATTATATCAATACCGTATGTAAAGAATGCTAGAATAAAAATATAAATAATAAAAAAAAGAACCTTAAAAATTAAGTTAGCATTGATTTAAAATGTGGACACAAAGTTCAAACAACTTATGATCAGAAAGCTGCTGTTTTATAATCATTTTAATGCTTGGAAAAATGTATAAAACCACCAATATGCTAGCATAATTAACCGTGTGATAAGTTTTGTTACTAAGAATGTACTCCCTGTATAGAAATAATAGTATAGGAGTTATCATGTGGACATTAAGCAAAACTTTACTGTTTTAATGCCAAATAAGAATTAGAAAATTATAAATGCAAACAACCATGCAATAAAAAATGGCCATGTTCTCATTTATATCCTTGTTAAAAAGAATGTGGAGATCATAATTGTACTCCTTGTTAGCAAAAAGTAACCAAATAATTGAAATGTGCCCACACAATAACGAAAATTTGCTCGGATTTGGAAAAATATAAATGCAGAGAAAATTGCACTAAACAACAATAATGTGGACATCCTTGTCTAAAATATTGTAGTGAAGAATGTGACCCATGTGAATATAAAATTTCAAAAGTTTTTGCATCTTGTGCTCATGTAATAGAAATACCCTGTTTCCAAAAGGAAAGTTTTAAAACTTAAAAATGCTAATAATGTAATGAAAAAAATAATTGTTTTTTTCAATGAATTCTATTTCTTATAAATATTTAATTTTTAAACCTAAATCTAAATAATATTTAGGATTTTTAAGTTACTTTAATCGCCAAGTTTCACTATAATAAGATAACTTTTTTTTTTAGTTCTTTAATCTTTTCAAAAATGAATAAAATATTTATAAGTTGTACATTTATTTTATATTTTCAAATGCATAGAATAAATACTTTATTATTTTTAAATAAATTATCTTATCTTTATTTTAGCTAAGAAAAATCCTATTGTAATTATTACTTGTTTAATCCATTTATTAAACTAAAATTAAAACATTTTGCAAATATAAAATAATTCTAGAAACAAATTTTCACTTAAATAAGTATTTATTCATTATCAATCCACACAATTATATACATTATGATTTATAAGAAAAATTTAAAATGATTTTTGAACATAAATATATTATTTTAATTTATTAATATTATCATATCTGAAATATATTTATGATCAAAACATACAACTTTCATATGTTGGTATCATATATTTAATATTAATATATGCATCTTCTCCTCCATTTTTTTCAAGTGTTTCTAATGTTTCTTATATAAGATCAGATAGATTTTCATTTTTTCTTTATGAATAATCAATTTTATCTCCAATATTTACTATAATAATAATAATATAAATACATCTTTTATTTTTATACATATTCATAACTGGTAATATTTATCTATAATAAGGTACTAATGCTTCTCCTATCATTTAACCACTTTTGACTAATTTCTATATTTTCTTTAATGTAATACACATAATATCATGATTCTTTGTTGCTAATGCTTCTATTTAATATATATATATATTATATTTACTTTTAATAGGAATAATCAATTATGGTAATACAGATAATATCTTAGTTTCACCTTTTTATAATAATTCTTCACATCCATTGACAGCTAAGAATTTATAAGGATCTTCAACTTCTCTTAATCCTTCAAAGAATATTGGAAGATATAAATGATAATCTAAACATTCAGGTTCACATTTCCATACAATCTTTCTAACTGCTCCACTAAAATTAACAGCAATTGGAAGATCTCCACGATCATAATATTTTTTAAATAAAGTCTATTCAATCATAGGTAAAGCTTAAAAGATTCCTGATTTTGGTACTTTTTATGGAGCTTAACTTTTCTTAGGAGCTAATGATGAACACACTATTAAAAATGTTATATAACTTATATATTATTACTTCCACCTGTCCCTGCAAATTTATTACTAATATTCAATAAATTTGAACAGAATTTACCTGGTGATCTTTATGGAGAATGTCCTTTTATTCTTTTATTTGTTTATTATTATTGTAGCATACTTATCTAAATTTTATATTTAATTAATTTTCCAACCTGATGATGCATGTGCTCATGTTTTTTGATAATAATTCAACATACTTAAACTAATGAATTATTTAACTTTCCTCTAAGCTTCACTGCTGAATTTAACTTAATTGGAAGCATCTAAATACCTCTTTTTAGATTGACATGATATTTCAACAACTTCTAAAATATTATAGAGATCTTCAACTGTAAACTATTTAGTTCAACTAAAATGGTTAGAGAAGTTGTAATAAATAATTTTTTTTAAGTATTTTAAACAATAAATATATTCTAACGATAATATTATTTGAAAAATAAAGGCATGCTTCGCACAAATATGTCAATAGTTAATCTTAACCATTNTTATATGATCAAAACATACAACTTTCATATGTTGGTATCATATATTTAATATTAATATATGCATCTTCTCCTCCATTTTTTTCAAGTGTTTCTAATGTTTCTTAGATTAGATCAGATAGATTTTCATTTTTTCTTTATGAATAATCAATTTTATCTCCAATATTTACTAAATAAATAAATAAATAGAGATATACATCTTTTATTCTTATACATATTCATAACTGGTAATATTTATCTATAATAAGGAACTAATGCTTCTCCTATCATTTAACCACTTTTAACCAATTTTTATATTTTCTTTAATGTAATACACATAATATCATGATTCTTTGTTGCTAAAGCTTCTATTTAAGAATTTATATATTATAAATATATACTTTTAATAGGAATGATTAATTATGGTAATACTGATAATATCTTAGTTTCTCCTTTTTATAATAATTCTTCACATCCATTAACAGCTAAGAATTTGTAAGGATCTTCAGTTTCTCTTAGTCCTTCAAAGAATATTGGAAGATATAAATGATAATCTAAACATTCAGGTTCACATTTCCAAACTATTTTTCTTACAGCTCCACTAAAATTAACTGCAATTGGAAGATCTCCTCTATCATAATATTTTTTAAATAGAGTCTATTCAATCATTGGTAAAGCTTGAAAGATACCTGATTTTGGAACTTTTTAAGGTGCTTATGCTTTCTTAGGAGCTAATGATGATGTCACTAATAAGTTATATAACTTATAAATTATTACTTCCACCTGTTCCTGCAAATTTATTACTAATGTTCAATAAATTTGAACAGAATTTACCTGGTGATCTTTAAGGAGAATGTCCTTAGATTGGTTTTATTCTTTTATTACTTACTTATTATTATTGCATTCTAATATTTATATTATATTAATTAT